AAAGGAGATTATGCATGCTGGTGTTCAGGTACTCTTTTGTGTGCTAGTGAATGTTTATGTTTGTTTCTGTGCCAAAATTTGCATGTGCATATGTGTGCCTGCATGTGCGTGCAGGTCACCCTGAAGCTGACAGACCAGATGTGCGAGTGTCTGGATTGCGCAGAGTGATGAGTGGCTCCCTCGCTGACTCTGCAGACTTGGAACAATGCACACAGGTCTCTCGAACTAATGAGCTCTCTATATAGAGAGCACACAGAGAGCCTCCACGCTGCCTACAGTTTCAATCAGGGCCTCCATATCTGGGGAGCAGAGCTTTTTATGCTTGTGCTGGCGTCTGACCAAGGAACTTGATACAATATGCAAATGAGCATCGAGTACCTGAGGTGGATCCAGTTTGTTTCTGTCACAAGGTGGAGACTGACAGGATCCTTGCATCAGAATGGAGTAGGCTTTGGGACTGCAGCTGCACCACGGCTATTTTTGCGTTCGACTCTCAGATTCAGATTCACAGGCTTTTGCGTCTTCTGGATTCAGTCACAAAGCGCTTGCCATTTTCCGTGACAGCAACCGAAAACTTAAAATAAAAATACATTTGAAATAACTTGGAGTTTTGTGGGTAAATACACTGCATCACATTTTTGCATTGCAGCACAAGGACAAGGATGAATCATCTGTTTTAACATTGCAAGCTTTGTATTGGAAAGCTGTGCTCCCCAATGGGCTGTTACAGCCGACTCACACAAATATAGGTTATGGGGCTCAGAGAATGACGCAGCCTCCCTCGGGGCAAGTGTCCGAACTTCCTACTTAGAAATGACTCTACATTATTCATTTCACCTCTAATGTCTTTGTTTGGCAATAGTTCTGAGAGAAAGAGAGCAGGGTCTGTACCTCAACTTCAAACGGGAACTTGACTTAAAAAGAGATGGTTCACTTAATGGATTAAACACATCACAAAAAAGGTTAAAAAGCAATGTCAGATATGTCTTATTGCTACTTAGGGAAACCACAGAGGAGGGGAAGAGTGTTTTTGTTATTACTATTACAGGCAGAGTGAAGCAGGACATGCACAAGGCTTCCCTGTGCTTAATACGGTTCTAATGAGTCACTGAATTATCTGCTTTTAACCTAGGGTAAATATTTTTACCTGCCGTGATGGTTTAACCTCAGGGGAGACAATTCAGAGAAACACCACCACAGGTTCCTGGACTGCTGGGTACATGAAGACTTATCTGAGCTCGGTGATGATGAATGTTTTTCAGCACAACAGGCAGTTTGGAATGCAAATCTACTCTTATGCTACCAATCATAGCCTGGTAGCAATATCATAAAATATTCATTTTCACAGGAACCCCATTCTGTGGTGGTGCAAAATACTCTGCCTCTGATGGAGAAGTACAAAGATAGACTCACATACCCTACAGTGTTCCTGTGCCACATCGTGTACCTGTCAGGGAAATTACAAAGGCTCGTGAGCGCGCGTCAGATTTCAAACGCCTAACCTTTCAGTGTAAGGTTTGTGTTTCTCTGGAAGCGCTAAATATATGAGATGCCCTCTAGTATCGTACAAGCTTGCAGTTTTTGATCTATGAGGTTGTGATATAAGCTTTGGTTAATAATTGATGTCTGGAAGGATGCCTCTCTCTAGTTCCTTCATATGACTCAAAAATGACATTCCTGAAAATAAGAGGGGGTCTTCTGCAGGATGAAATTTTCACTTTGTGAATTACTGATGCACAGTGTGGGAGTTCCCACCCCCTCCTTGCTCCCTTGTTATTGTGCAAAGTTCAGTTTTTGAAGTGCTCCATGGCCTTTAGACTGGTAAGGGGAAGGCTTGCACTGACCTCATTAGTGCTGACTGGCTAGCATATGAAGCTAGTGATGTGTGTCCCAAAGTTTCTATCTGTATGCTAAACAACAAAGATGACCTTCTCGTTTTTTTTCTTATATGTCTTCCTATCACTAATTAAGTTTGGGAAATAGGGACTTGAAGACAACTGTTTTGCCAGGAGAGATGTGAATACCCTGTTGCAGGCTAAGTCAGTAGAGGAGAGTACAGTCCAAAAGTACAAGAGTCACTTTTGGGGAACACAAAACTAGTAAAACTTGTGCCAGGAGACCATTACCAAGAGTCTGTTAGCCTAGCTTAGCATACAGACAGCCCTAGCTTTATGAAAACATTGGAGACTGCAGAAAATGGCTCAATAACTCTTTTAAAAAAAGAGGTTTTTGAAAGCAAAAAACAGGACCAGGCTACTTGTTTGTGTTACCTAAGTTATGTTATTCACCTCCTGGCTGTAGCTGATTTTAACCATTCAGCGAGCGCCACAGCGTCTTTCATCTTACTCTCTGTAAGAAAGCAAATTAGTGAGACTCTCCCCTCAAGATGAACAACGGCATCTGTCATGTCAACCAGAAACCCCAAATGAGATATTTTTAATTCAAGACACAGAATCCTGTTGTAGCTGCAGTACTGAAGACAGGAGCAAAAGGAGGGGAAAAGGTGATCCTTCAGAAAAATCTCTGTGCAGTCAGGGGGTCACAGGGAGTGAATGTGTCAGCAGGATAATACACTTTAGTCATCAGATTGCTGTTCATCCGTGATACGCTCAAACTATGGCCAAAGCTCTAAAGTAATATTAATCATCAGGCCATTATGATTACAAAGGCCTCTTTATGTTGACAGATGATTTACTTTATTGCACACTAATAAACTTTCCCTGTATTGGTGATTGGCCTAAAGCAACATGACTATACACCAAGCCCACCTTTGCAGTTGCCCCATTGGCTGATATGCATATGGATGCATTTAATTGGTTACTTTTTTTAAATACTTTCTTTTTTCAGTTTAAACTTATCTCACTCAAATGTTTACTTGTGTGGTGTATGTTTTGTAACGACACCAGTGGAGGATACAAGCTGAAATTAGTTAGTCTGTGAATAAAGTTTCAAGTGTTGCTGGAGTTTTGACCTCATCGATGGCCATCATCACCTCATTTTTTGAAGCCTATGAATGATCTGGCCAAGTAAAATGAGTAGCTATAACTCACCTATAAAACTACTGCACAAACTTCTTGAGGGGTCTATAGCGCAATATTGCACAGAACAGCCACATTATTTGTCCAATATTTGCATTAGAAATTCAACAAAAGGCACCAACGTCACACAAGTGGGTGAACTATCTCAGATGACACTTGACACACACTTGGTACTAAATGTGAACACCCCTTCATTTATGCATAACTCAAGCTCTAATTGAATTACATCCAATAATTTCAACCCACATGCAGCTGTCGTTGTTAGAGTAAGAGCTATAGACTAACACTACCATTAAGGCACATTGTAAATGTGAACGTATGTCTTTTGTAAAGGTAGAAATGTTGATATGATGCGATATGAGGATTGACCACAGAGTGTAGTAAACATGGTTGTAGTCTTAGTGACATCTGTTGGTTTCTCTAGAGACTGTTGAGTCCAGTGATGGTCGAAATCATGTTGGAAAGGAAGAAAGAGGCAAAGAGGTGGGACTGAGACAGGCATTTATCCTCTTGGCAAACAGCTACAACCTACCTGCCAGTCTATCAGCTCAGCTGTGCCCTTAGTTTAACCAAATCCTGCAGTAAAAATGGGCATTTGAACATGAGACCCAACGTGGATTCCTTGGCTTTGCTTGACACTTCCAGAAACGGCAGGTTTTTGCACTGCAGTGGCTCCCTCTTTTAGCTGCAGAGATTGGGTCTTGCCCTGAGCCTAAACAAGCTGTTGTTTATTGCTTCACTTAAAACTATGACTTTGTCACATGATTCAAGAGAAATGCCTCCATTTCTGATGATTTTGAAGGGCACAGACATGAGGGCATGACCAATATCAGATGGACATGCATTGATAATGAGTTTGTTCTCAGCTGTATGTTGCATAAATTGGACCATTCCTTACAGTGAATTTTATAATTCTTATTTAATCACAATATCTCTTAAAATAGGCTTAAAGACAAATAAAATGATGGGCCAAAGAAAACGAAATCGACAAATTTACATCCAAAGAATATTTTGGAGTAATTTCCACATTAATACTTGATTTGATTATCATTCTGCACACTAAAGCAATATGAGGAATTGTGTTTTACTGCGCTTGTTTGCAAAATGAGGAAACAGTTTAAATGGGGACACTTATAATTGGTAATTACAAGTCTTAGCGTCATGCTTGTGACTCTACCGCTGTGGGGTAATGACTAGTTGAAATAAACTGAGTCCAACTGTGCTGAAAACAGATTGGCTTGTCAAATTAAAGTATGAGAATCAGGTGCTCATGTTTTTAATCTATCCAAAGTATTTATCCATTTTGTTTAAAGTTGTTTTATGAGCTATAATAATCTGTAAAGTGAGTAATTGAGAAAAGAAAACAACTCTGTGAGGAAATCTTCTGTGGGTTAGAAAGAAACTTCTGACACAACCACGCAGTCATAGAGCAGACACCATGGACTTTTAAAAGTTTATTACAAGCTAGTTGAGGAGAACTTCAGGTCCTCTGTGCCAACATTTCAATATTTCTCCCTGATATTAATGTTTACAGCCAGGGTGTCTTCGGCTACAGGTTCAGGTCTATTTTTCTTTCCCTACATTCAGGGCCGTCTCTGAAAACCTGAACTCATTTCTCTTGGGAATCAAATTTGTTAATCTAATAAAGGGATAAATCACTGCCGTCATTTCCCCAGGTGACCACTTTTGCAAAGAGGAAACGATGAGACATGGGGCCGTAATGTTCAAACTTGTATGCATTTGTTACTCATAAATCAACGTTACCCTCGGTCTCTCCAGTGACTCCTTTGTAGACTTTATTAGGGGCACATAATGAAAATCACATTTGTAAGACAACACTGCACTCCCACGTAGATCAGACCACCAGCGCTAAATTTCCATCTGGATCTAATGTGTAAAAAAAAAAAAAAAAAAACTTTTGAAAGCATCTGGAGATTGAAACATCTTTCATTGAAAATAGATATCAGGTTGGGACATGATGCAAAGGACAGATCAATCCTTTTTTTACAGAACAGTGGAATGTTGATTAAAAAGACGTTTTACAGTAACGGAGGTTGTCAAGGGTTTCAAACATCAATGATGGATTCACTTGTTATTTAAGCCTAGTGTCATGGTAAGTGAGGCGCAGGGTTTTTCACAAAGCAAAAGTAATGCCGTGAAGCTGTGAAGACAAAAAAAAATGACATTGAGAATTCAATTAACCTTATAAAAGGAAATGAAAAAAATAAATATGCTTTATACCACTCACGTCAAGCAATTTTACCTTTCATTTTATTCTTATCACTACACAAACAAAAAATAATATTCACTTAAATGTATTCATGTATTTGCTTTCTTTCTTACTGACTTCTTTATAAATATACATTATTTACATTTGTATGTTACAAAAGTATTAGAAGGCTGCATGTAGGTTTAAAAACACAAGTTACCAACCCTGTAGCTCTGAAATGTCCCTTTTATTGTTATCTAACTGAAGTTGTTTCTGCAGTGGTCGTGAAATCCGTCTTTACTTGAAAGCTCTAAACGTCTTCCCTCTGTAACTGCACTTTCACTTGTTGTTAACGCCGCTCTCAGTCTCACCTGCTATTTATTCCACTTATGTTGATATCATGCTATTATATGACTGGTGTGAAGCCAACAGGCTGATGGTTCTGTTGGCATGGACCTGACTAATCACAGCTTGGCAGTAGTGTAACCATAGCCCCATCTGATTGGTTAATTTTTGATTTATATTCTCACCAAGGGATGCCAACTATACCTGGCTTCCTCTGAGACATAAGAACTACTTTACTGTTACTCATTTATGGCCTCTGTAGCTCTGCAGCTCATCAACAGTAACATTTACAAAGGCAGTGTTTAGCTCTTGTTATATGAGGAATGTGGATAAAAAAGAGCCGCAACAGCACAGAGAAATCACAGCGGAAAAAAATGAGTGCTTTAGTAAAATGACTACTCTAGTCTGAAAAACAGAGGAAGTCTGGTCTCCTGGCTTCAGGGAGAGAATAACACTTCCTAATAAACAAGATTGGGGGTTGTGTCATTTATAAAGCTTTTCACAGACATAAATGCTGCACAATGCTGCTGATGAACCAAAGTCGAGTTTCCACCAAAAACAGACTGGACTTTCTTTTCAAGGGACTTAAACATCCTTTACTTATTTTTTCAAAAATGTTCTTATGTGGGCATTTATGTCATTATTTCATAAAGGGCACAGCGGACAGAGTAGGAAACTGGAGCAAAGACAGGAAGTAAATGCAGTAGAGCACTGCATGTTGGAGCTCGGCTTTTACCTTATGAGATAACACATTATAATACCTGACCTTGTAAGTCATAATAAAATGCTTTATAATGTGTTATGTTATTGCTATAAAGCATTATGATCATTTATAAGGGGTAGCTATACCATGCTATAATGTGATTATAACGCATTATATACACATTTATAATGCGTTATAGAGAGAGGCGTTAAATAAAGTGTTACCAAGATTTTAACTGCTGCCCTAAACCAGCACTCCAGTCCCTTAATCCTCTTATTTTCTTTGTTTTCACTGTAGTTTAAGTTGATTACTTTATTATTACTCAGATATGGATTCAGATTCAGATTCCTTTATTAACCATTGTGCAATACACATAGGAATTTGCTTTGGCAATTACATGAGAGTGTTTCGGATCTTTTTTCTCAAATAACATAGATACCAAAACACAAACAACACCGTGCAAGAAAATTTACCGTGCAGCTCTATTCAGCCTACTATAAATTACACTATTATAAAGTCACAACTGCCTCACACAGGTTAACAAATATAAATAAACAGTTCTCATGAAAAAATAGTTTGTGAAGCTGCAGAACTGTATCGCCTGAACTTATTTACATCACCTGCAACTCAGCATGAGGAGCATTTCTTATTTTACACCACGCACTCGCTCCTGTTTTAAATTCTTTGCTCACTGGTGCATAATGGTCAACTTGACAGCTTCTACTTCCACAGAGTGTTGTAAATATTTAAGTATGGTCTGGCAACACATCCAGACAGTTAAACCACTTGCTGCTCTGCCCGCCCTCTGAAAGTGGAAAATACTTGAACATTCAGAAATCTGCAAAGCCCACTCTTTAAGTCATTGTACTTTCAAAAGTACAATGCCTAGAGGGGGGTAAAATAGAGTCTCAGACTCCTTATTTAGATTTCTGGTGCCTGCAGTCGGAACACACTGAGTACCTCTGAAAGTCCCTAAAGTCCCCGGGGACACTTACTGCAGTGGAAACACAACAGCTTTGACACGTTTGTACGAGTACAGCTGAGATTGAAAAGGTTCTGCCTATCTTGAAACTAATTACAAATCAAACCGAGTCAACAAATGAAGGTCCAAAAATACACAGCGAGCTGAGTTTTATCATCTTTCTGCTATTGTACAGAAAACTTTCCTCCTCTGCAGTCAGCTATAGTTTTATTTCTTCAGGCAGGGCAGACCAAGAAATGTGCTCACACCTGCCGCACTCAATTTGCAGTTAAGCGAAGATTGTGCAACATCAGTGCATCTCAGATTGTTGGTGGTGGTGAGATGAGAAGAAATGTATGCCCTGTAGCTGAAAACATTCATTTCTGGGCAAGTTTTGTTAAGAACAAGCTCTTTAATAACGTGGGTTTTTACTGTTTTGGAATCGTACAAGGTTACTGTTGTCGTTTTAAGCTGCACGGAGGCAAATTAAGGTTAGGCCAAAAAATACACAAAGAAAATAAGGAGTGAAGATTAAGTGAATTGCCTCTTCACTGATTACTGAATCTGTGCTAAATATATGATGGTTTTGAATGAGTTTTCATGCCAGAACTGATGGATAATGAATAAAAGCTTCTTTCCCTTACCTCAAAACCAGCTGAAAATAGATAAGAAAATGAAAGCAGATGAAATGGGTTTATTCCTTTATTTGTTCTGTCTCTTTTTAATACTGCACTCCTCTCTGTTGGTAGCAAAGTATCTGCCTCACTGGCTTCAAATCTTATATTTTAAAAAAAGTGACTACAACGTTTCTAATGGATCCAACCCTCAGCTCTTCATCAGGGTCAGAGCACTTAACCTGCTGTCTGTATTGCATTCCACCATATCTCTCAACAACGTAATTGAAATCATTTGAAAAGGGTGGATTTCTCTTCTGCCGCCCCTACGGTGTGTTCAACACTAATTGAAGTGGATGTCTCAGGTGTCGACTGCTACCTCAACGTCACGTGTGCTTCTCTAATACACCTATATGATACCAAATCACAATACTCTGCTCTAGAAGTTTCACACTTTTTTTCCTCTTATTCATAGGAGAGGATTGGGTGTGCATAATTACAGAGAGGTGAAAAGATAGATTACTTTCCAACAGCATCTGTGTGTGGTTTTGTCCTGCAGCCACTGCTGCTGCTTCTGCTCAGTGCTCAGCAATAGTGAAGGCAGATGTTCGCTTTTTAGTTGGAGCAGAAGGGCAACACAATGTACTGTGCATGACTAATGTCCTGGGTGTCTTTGCTCCTTTTTTTCCACTCTTATGATCACTAGAGTAATTAGGACGGTTGTGAAAGTGAACCAGACATCAGAGTGGAAAAGGTCCAATTTCAGAGACGGGGCTATATAGTGCTCTTTTCCTCTTCCGCTGAATTTAATTAAATTAAAAACACACAGAATAATCCAACAACATGAATCGCTGTCTCCTCGCTCCTTTTGTGTGCTTTTCACACTGTCTGCTCACAAGTTTCCATCAGAGAAGTATGAGCTCGGGGAGCAGAACGAGGTTTGTATTCAGTCTGTGTGACAGGCGGCAAAGCAGCAATCTTGTCTGCCAGAAGACAATGATTCCACTCAGCTGCCATGTTTTGCACAATAATGTGCTATAAGACATCAGTCCCGAAATCTGTCATCTCATAGAGAAACTTAAAGTGTGTGGAAAAAGTCAAAGAGATCCGTCAGGGATATTTGATTTTTTAATGCACACTTTATAACTCTAAAAGTCTTCTTGTACTTTTCTTCGGTAGTCTTTCTTTGAAATGTGTCTCCTGTCCCTGCAGTTTTATGAAAACCAATTATCATGATTCTCTTTTCTCTGTTGTGGAACCTGTGGCATTAAAAATGATGTTATCTGTTAAAAAAAGAAAAAAAAAAGATGTAGTGCAATCATTTAGAGCTGTTTGGATAGTCAGTTCACTGTTAGGGTCATCTTTGCTTTTTATGGCCTCTTTAATGTGCTTTTTTCCCCTTTTAGATGGTTTTGAAGGTTGCAAATTGAATAAATCAAAGTTCTGACAGTGTTTCAGATAAGAAAATAATCCTTAAATGCCACGTGATTTGCTTGGAATCTGTGAGAGGCCTTTCTTCCTACTACTATCTGACATTTTAATGATTAATCTGTTTATAAAAAGTAATCAGATTAAATCGATACTGCACATAAACTGTCATTACGCCCGTCTTAGGGAAATTATTCTTAGCGCGGAAATATTCAAAGTGACAAAGTAAAAAGAAAAAAAAAAAAGAGCCACATATACAGAAAGCCATGCATCCTGTGCACAACCATCCGTGTCTAAACTAAGCAGACAGCCTGGGCAAAAATCCATTATAATGGCTACACAATGTCATCACAGATGTAACCCAGACAAAGTCAAAGCTAGTAAAAAATACATGTAGAAAGCTGTCCAGGTGCTACAGACACAAGCATTAGTGTCTTTAAAGAAGTCTCCTGCTCTGTAATAGATAGACTGAGCTCGAGCTTTGCATTATAGTCAAGACTTGAGCTTTTCAGCCAATGTTCTCCATGATTGAAATTCTCAGTCAGCCATCAATCTGCATTATAGACTGGTTTCCCCTTGTCTGGTGGGGGCTAACTGAAACAGATTGAGACAGCTCTTGCTCACTGCATCACTAATGGCTGCCAATGAAAGACATCTCTGTGCAGTTGACCCGTGTGTGGAACAGGATCACGTCGCAGCTCAGAGCGATGGGGAGAACACAGCTCAATATAAGGAGTCTCTTCGGCATCAGTCACCAGTCAACAGCATCCTCATCCTATTGACGAAATGCTGCCCAGAAATAGAATCTAATCACAGGGTTTGGATGGGCCCTAGTTCTCCTAATGGTTTACCATTAGCTGACTGGAACAAAGCCCAAAGTATAAAGAAATATCACGATATATATCCCAGGGAACCTGCATTGCATGGCAGTAATGGCTTTTCAATTATAACCACAGCATCTGCATTTTGTGCTTAAAAAAACAGCAGGGTCCAGTGATAGAAGAAAGCGCAAACATGCTTACTTTTAGTATGAATTTTTGGTATTATTCTGTGTCTAACAACCGTCCATTAACCTGAGCGGAGAGAAGGGCACACAAAACAGAATATTTGGGGAATATGCATTTTGTCCATTCAGCTGTGTTGAATGGATAATACAGGAGTGCAGCTGAAGTGAAACAATTTCCAAGCCATTTTACTGGCGGGACACAACAGAGTCATTACCTGCAGGGGCATAATTGACAGTGAACACAGGCAATCCTGTTAATTGATTACTTAGCCCGCTGCTAATGGAAAATGCAAAGGCTCATTGTATCTTCCATAAAGCTCATGTCAGAAACATTTCCAACCTGAGATGGGCAGGGACACACCTAATAATGCTGATACACTTCTCCCCAGGGTGCACCTCCATCTGAAGACCTCTTAGGTTGTTTTAATTCCATGCATAATTACCTATAAGATGATGTCCCCTGCAGAGACATGGCACTGATGATCAAAAACCACCAAGGGACCATGTGGTTCTCTTCTTGTATTACTTAATTTAGAGTGTGCCTTGTTTTATTCATCAAGGTTGAGATGGGGTTGCGGGGGTACGAGCCCCCTCTCCCCACTCGTCCAGGATTCAGCCTCCAGCTCCTCCTCTGATGCATCGTTTGCATCAGTACTTGGGAGCACTTGTCCGCGCGCTGCTGCACCTCCCCACAGTGCATTGACGGACTCCACTTTGCCAGGTGACGGCAGACACGCGCTCAAGAGTGAAAAGATGATATATTTCTAACACACCCGAAGTCTGGAATTCACGGAGAATGGAGACGCGCCTCGGTCACTGCCTTTTCATCGTTTTCTGTGAGTGGATTTGGCTCTTCACCCTAACTTCCATCCAGGGCGGAACGAAAGCGGAGGTGAGGTGCATTCCCTCGTGCCAGCTGCCGCTTATCACCGAGTTTCCCCGGGAACTCTCGGCGCTGGATTTCGCTGAATTAGACGACGCACCAGTTGAGGAATTTGTTGGATTTACTGACGGGTCACTAAAAGACGAACCCACTACTGAAGGAGACGAAAAGCACAACGTTGCGGGATTATCTGCGAGAGAAGAAAGTTCGTCCAAAGTGCAGCCGCTGCTGGGGGGAAATAACACGAGTTGCCTCGAGAAGGATGCGTTAAATGGTCAGCAAAAACTTTCTCAGCAGGAAGTGGTGCCTGCAAGTGTTTCACGCGCGGCTGACCCATCTCTTCTTAACGGTGACTTCACCCAAGAGGCAAAAAACACCAGCTTTCACGCTGAAAATGGGGCGCAGGTTGATGTAACGGAGGAAGAGGACGCGGACGTGCCCAGTTGGAGACGAACACGCAGCGCGAGGAGCGCAGAGGCATGGTCCGGATTCAGACCCGAGGAGGCCGGGGAGGAGGCTTCGTTGGCGGACCAGGAGGAGGTTCAGCTCACAAGTTCGACATTTGCTCTGACCGGGGATACGGCACACAACCAGGCGATGGTGCACTGGTCCGGACAAAACAGCAGCGTAAGTATACCATGTGTACCAGATTTACGCATGAGGCTCTTTTGACGCAGTGTGGTTAGCGTTTAATTACAAGGCTTAATTACGCCATTTAAAGCATGTACTTTTAACTGGCAATGATGGAGCAAATGAGGCTTGAAAGAGATGAATGTGAGGCTGCTGGGAGGTTGCGGACGTTCTGGGTATCAGTTCAGCTTTCCTTCACTCTCCTCCCTCTTTCTCTCTTTCTCTCCCCCCTCCTGTCTCTCACGCACGCATACACTATCAACTATTATTTATTGATTAGCTGTCTTGAGTAGGATGAACCTCCAAGAAACAAAAAGTATAAATAACACAAGTTTAAAATTGGGCGTTGGGCCTGACATAAATGATTGCTTTCTCTTTCCAGTTTATTTTCTTTCCCTCTCATACTCACTCTCACTCAAAAGCCAATTGAGCTGTTTTTTTTTTTTTTTTGGGGTGGAATCACTGATTTTGGCAGTTGGCTATGGGAATATTTTTCATCCGTAAACGAGATCAATGAACCTTTTTATGCACCTTATCTTCCTGCTAGAGCCTCATCCGCCTCACTCATAAATAGAGAGATGGATGAGGCTATATAAAAAGGTTAAACATACAGCATAGTGACTGGTACATTCTCCTTAAAGTTAAGCAGACGTTAATCTACGTCAGAGAGCACAGCCACTGCAGGGTACAAGTCAAAGTCATGAGACTGAAAATACTGATGTGAAGTATAAATAGAAATACCCTGATTGCACCATCTTTTTTGTTCCAAAGCTGCAACTTGGAGTTAAAAATAAACAGCGTATTAAAAAAAAACAAAAATAGTATCACAGTGATACTATAACGTGGAGAGAGAGTGATAAACACCCCAAGTTAAAAGGCAACCAGACATGTGTTTTAAGCTCCTGTTCAAAAATTGTTCATGGGAGCCGCGTTCCAAATATCAAGGGACTTGGCATTCCCGAGTTTGGGAACATCCTCTTCTTCTTCTCTTATTTCTGTAGCTGTGTGAACATCCAACAACCCGCAGCCAAGGATGTGAGCGAATGGGAAAGCTCCAAAGACAACAGGGGGTCTGCGATGTATGCTGGTCCAAGCCATTTACAGTTTTACAAGCAGGAGGACTTTGAAATGAGTTCTAAAAGATGCGCAGAGCCTTGTAGGGTTCAGCTAAAACCACACTCATATGCTGTCTCTTTCTTGTTTTGATCATGAGTCAAGAAGCAGAATTTGAATAATTTCTAGTCCCTAAATAGACTTTTTCAGTAAGACCAGGGAAATGTTTAGTAGTCCAGGCTGCTTAAAATTTAAACATGAATTAGCTTTTGACATCTTGCTGGATTGAAATGTACCCTGGCAATATTTCTGAGATGAGAGCCTGCTGATTTGGAGATGAGATTTATTAGTGGAATCAGAGTCTAACACACGATGACACGGGGGCTGGGGCTTGATCTGGAAAACCAGAGATCCAAGGTTCTTAGGATGGTGCATCTGTTTTGGCCTCAGGCTAAGTAAAAGTATTTATGCCTTATTTGCCTTTCATGGAGTTTCAGAAAGTTATGTCCCGTCTATGTTAGAAAGTGCAGACAGGCTGTGAGTCAGTTTAACACATTTGGCTTCATTATACAGATATGTATAATTGTGTGTCATCAGCATAATGGCTATGGAAATTGACGTAATTATGACATTATCTCTGGCCGGCTTATAGATTAGGGAGAGCATGAGACCAGGGCACCTTTTCCGCTTGATAAAAATGAAATGTTTAATTTCTCAGACATACAAACTGCTAACATTGCATTATCCCCCCAACTCATGTATAAATGAAACAAATTTGAAACACATTCAGCAAGACCAGCCCATTAACAAGGCCAGCGAACAATGTTGCAGTCGATTGTATCTCATGCATCACTGCGTCCAAGAGCACCAGTAATGTGAATGTTTCAAAAAAACACACTAGATTCAGTGGGAAGTTGTAAATAGAAGCAAATAAATAATAAAGAGGCAAAATGCACCAAAACAAACTCTAAAAAGGGTGTGTTTTTATGACTCCTATCTTCCTCAGAGAGATGTTTTGCCATTTTGGGAATAAAAGTGTTTCTAAGTGAGAGCCTTAGAGGCAAATACCACTCTTTAGTCTGTGTCAGAATTAAGCCAAATTTATATATTAGCTTAGCATCGCATTAAGACTGGATGCAAAGGGGGAGCAGACATGTTTAGCTTTCTTTTTAGGAATCATTAAAAAGGCGGTAAAATATCTACTTCTTCCCTTTATCAGCTGTTTTCATTTAAAGTTCTGATCTTAAGCTAATAACCCACGAATATTAGCTTCATATTCACCAAACTGATAGTTGACACCCATGTTTGGGTTTTGATCCCAAGCTCTTAAAGGCTGTGGCCTCATTGGATGGAGTTTGCATGTTTGGTGGAATCTACAGCCTGTCGAAAACATGGACATAGTCTCTGTGAGGTCACCGATTGGTTGCCTATTGGTTGGTGGAGATGCTGACCTGGCTTAACTTTCACTTAAAAGACATGCAAAAAAAATACCTTCCCTTATAGTGAGTAAAATATGAGAGTCACAGATCTGAAATATTTTGCTTATACCAGCATGACTTGTTTAATTCTGCTGTTAAGTGGGAAATTCTACCTGAGACTTAATTGGCTCCTTTGGCTTTTGCAACTATCTACATTTTTTCTGCTCTTAGGCTTTGTCTCCACATTTTAACCATGGAGGTTGCCACTTGGTGTGAATTGGACATGATTTAAAAAAACCAAACTATCAGAAAAAAGGTCTAAAGTTTTGCCACATATTCTGAAAAGTCTCATTTTCATTTTGCAACAAGCATGAATAGAAAATGATTTAATGAGTTTGCATTCATCCGTCAATGTGGCAAGGATTAGGTACCATCTTTTTTCAGTATCATGATAGTCTGGCTTTGCCCCCAACCCAGTGGCGTAGTGCCACATCCCACTTACTCATAGGATATTGTGTGTTTGCTCATCGATGTGCCACACCCTCTCCCCCTCTCTCTCTGCGTAGGTGCAGACCAGGTGGTCACCAAGGAAGCTTCCAGGTTTACAGCTGGTGTACTTTTATAAGAAATCTATTTCAATAAGCGTACCATTGAAAAAAGAGGCGCTCTCTCGTTTTAAGCTTGTCTGTTTAACTTGTAAAGTCACAGTTCAGTCTTAGTGGTTTGGTATTAAAAGATCTGACAGAAGTTTAGCAGCCTGTCACACTTCATTGGGTAACTTATGTTACAAGGCAAATGATGGAGGGGGACCATTGGGAAAATGTGGAAAAAGGAGATATATTAGCCCCCTAATACTAAAAGAGAGGACAGGGTTTTAGGGGTTTTGAGTGCTTACAGTGTTCATATACGTAATATCTTCTGTGGCTTGTTAGCGTGACTCAGTTTGCGTGGGAAAGTGCGGCTCTGTTTTGACACTTCAGGCTGTGTCCTCACATGAGGACTTTGTCATACACGAAACAAGTTGTCAGGCTGCCCACACTCCTCAAAAATTCAGACAAGTGTTGGTAAACAATATTGTCGAGCCTGCTAAAATATTTCTCTTAAATCTGATATATTTTTCTGGTGTTAGACCAACAGGGCATCTGCCAGCTTGAATATGCAGCTTGTGAGACCCAATGTGTGAGCTTCGTTTTGTTGTGATATTTAATTTTCCAGTCCAGCTTCAGAAGCTCGGGAACTTTTCTTCAATCGTTTATCCAATTATCACAGCTGTAGTTTCAGTTGAGATTTTAAATCAAGAAGAAAATCCATGAAAACTCAGAAAATTTATGTTGCTACTGCTGTATTATGTTATTGTCTGCCATTAGTCACAGTTAGTGCCTTTGTATACATGTCTCCATCCAGGCCAAAAGGGTCATTGGCAGTTTTTGTTAAAGATTGTTAAGCTGATAGTTCAAGGGTTTGAATATAATAAAGTATATCGTAAAAGTGACATTATGTAAAGCCAGTAAGCATGATTTTATGTAGATGCAACACAATATTATATTGTATGGAGCTTGTCTATAGCTATAATACAATGTGTAAGCCTTGAGCATGTTCCCTAAAGGAGTCAGTACAGATTCATAATTTCAATTATCTTGTGTGGCAGAGGACGTTAACTGAAGATCTGTCGAACTTTATGAGCTGTGAACCAAGGGCACAGCATGTTTAACAGTGTGAAATGCACGAGCTAAAATGTCCAATGGCAATTAGAGTGCAGCAAACAATTAACTTTGGTTTTGCATTATATTTTTTACCCTTTTAAATGAAATTCTAACTTAGGTGTGAAGAGCGAAGGAAAATTACACCTTCACCTGTTTTGATAACATCAAAGCAAAACATGGTTTGTGCTCCAGTGCTGGGCATTTATGACAACCACTGCTGCTGGGCAACAAGATGATCTGATGCTTTCAAAGATGCTGAGTGGAGAAGCCAGCCATAAACAATCTATCAAGTCGTATGAAATGGCAGTTTTGGATTTAACTGTAAGGATTAAAAATGTGGCTGACTCTGTGGAATACCTCTATTTGTGTAGATATAATTTCATTGCTCCTTGGCTCTATTCACAATAAAGATGCGCTGAAGCAACAAATTTCCCAGCTGATCAAACACAAATTTTAATTCCAACTAGACAGCGAAACTGAAGGTAAGAAAACACTCTAAAAAGATCCAGTTGAACACATTTTATTTCACATGATTTAACACATGGATCACAGTCTGCAGGTAAAATAGGCCAATTTAATTTAGCAAGTGTACCCAACACCAACAGGACAACCAGTCTTCATTTCACAAACCTGTGCTGGTTATGCATGCTCCACTCAAATAATTTGTTTCACATTATTCAGTTATTCTGATGCCGACTGCTGAGAATGGTGATATTTGATTGTTTAGATGACTAAATGTGCATATCCTTAATTCACACATGCATTAGGCTCCAGAAAATTTGCCATGATTAGCATGTTTGAATTTAAAAAGGCAGGATTTTTAAGCCCTTACCAGTCTCCTGGTAAAGCTTCACTTCACTTCAACTTAATTATGTCCCTAAATGGGCAAGTCGGGTTGCAGCAGTCACAGGCATTGAAAACACTGCCATACATCATAAAAGAAAATACATTTCCATAAAAAACAATTCAGAAGGTAAAAAGCATTCAAACGATTTAGAGGGTAAAAAAGCATATGTCAGTCATACCACTATTTTTGCATGAGCAGAGTGCATAAAATGCAGAAACAAAGTGCAATGTGCGGTTTGCGTACCAATAAAAGAAACCCTAGATCAAGATGATCTTTTTAAGATCAGCGAGATCAGGCCCATCAGACCTAGAGCCAATACCCCTACTCCGTACAGCAAGACCACAATAATTCAGTACGATACAAAATAATACTACTAATAATATTGATAATAATAATATACACCATCCAGCTGTTAAGAGCATGTGTGAATAAGCACTCTGGAAATTTCCAGAGTGCTCTAGTTTCAGAAGTGGTGGTTGTCACTCTCAGCTTCCGAGTGTAAAAAGGTTTGAAGCTAGGCTAGACCAAACTCAGTCAGTTTGCTGTTCTGTCTCAATGAAAATTTCATTCCTCAATTTACCCATCTGTAACTTAAAATTTGTAATGTGGAAACACAGGTAAGTGGAAGCAAAACTATTTGGTCTGTTTTCAAGCTAACTTCAGATATCTTGAAATCTCAACACAGCCTCAGCTAATTCTACTGTAGCCAAAACATATATGGTATTTACTCAGGGATATTTAAACAGGCTTATGGCAGTTGTAAGCAATCTAGCAGCAGCCATATGGGGGGAAAAAGTCAATAGATTTCTTCATAATGAAAACAGCCAACCAGATTTTTTAGAAATGCAAGAAAGAACTTTTTAGGATCAAAATTTTAACAATCAAGGAAACTCTTGAGTTTCATGTGTCTTACAAAGCAATCAGTTAAAGTGCTTGAATTATTTCTGTAGCTGTTAAAAATTTGTCACAGCAGAGTACTAAGACGTTAGTTTCAAGGTTACAGCAATCGATTTTATAGTTTCTTTTTCATTCAAGCGATCTGTCTGCTATTATTTCCCTGCACTGTTTCCCCTCCTCTTAATGGCAGGTAGCTGTGCACCAGTGGAGGGTTAACCACCGTTTTCATCAGTGCACATGTGCTAGCTTGCTAATTCAACAATGGCACGGGCGAGATTGGAGTGGACAGCATTTACTTAGTGGAAATATTCCTGCTATTTTGTGTTTTTAGGGGAAAGGGACAGAACAGTGCCCAGGAGATAAAGACTTATTAGCTACTAGGAACTCAACTTCAAATTTAAAGAAGTATTATGCAAGCTAAATATATCCGCAACACTTTGAGGCCAATTAAGGAGGAGAGAAAAGCCAGTGGAAATGGGGGACTACAAGGACCACTGACACCTACACCAGCTACTACTGCATCTTTAGAGGACAGGAATACTGCTGTTACGTCTGCATTTGAGGTTTAGTGCAAATCAGTTAAGTCAAAGTTGATCCTTTAGTTCAAGGAAATATAACAAGTGTTTAACTAATGGTTATAATCTTGCAACTGCACAACATGGTAGACACTACTAATATCAATTCTGCAACATATCTGTGGATTGGTCTATGTGATCAGAGTTTGGATGAGTTGGGGGAAAAAAAAGTTTGTCGTATTTTCATTTAATCTTTGCATCTTGCTTGGACTGATACCCCTTGTTTGCATGATCTTGTTAATTCAGTAGTCCTAGTCGTCTCTCACAGCCCAGACACAAGCTGGTGAGGTGAATCAGAGAGTCCAATTGCCTGTAGGTGTGAATGTGTTTGTCATTCTGTGACACATTCAAACTGTCCTGGGTGTTGCCCAGCGCAGACTCCAACCCCGTCGTAACCTTGAACGTCGTCCCGGTTAATTTCCACTCTATCCAGCTGTTTTAAATGCATTGCGTATTATATAAGTCACTTAAAATTCTTCGCAGAAAAAAAGTGTACAGGCAGCACTCTGTATAATTTAAGAGATATCACCAGTAATATAAATTTAACAGAAGAAAATGATAGCCAGGTTATAATTGTGTTAAAAAGTGGACACCATCTTCTTTCCTTTTTCTTCTTCTTGTCCGTGTCGCAGTCAGAATGATGGAGATCTATACAGTATCCAGTAGTTTCTCCTCTGTCCTTTAAAAAATCAACCTATTGATGGAACACCTTTGTCTACGTCTCACTGGCCTTGAGCTTCAGCTTGCTCTGCAGTATTGAGGGTATTTAGCCTGAGTGTCTTTTTCTTTACAGTTCTCAATTTCTTGGCAAAAGAAGCCTCATAATCTTTCTCTATCTTAAAGCTGAATGGCTGGCTCCCCTGGGGCTCAAACCTTTCTCCGTCTGGGGTATTTGCTGGATTTCTCCATCTTTGGCAGGGACTATTTTCTCTCCCTCTTCTTAAAATACCTCCAGCATCCCGCAGCCATTGAAAGCTTGTGCTCAGATCGTGTTTTGCTGTATTCTCAACCCTATTTACCAGTAGAGGGCATTCTCTTCTTCTCAATTCTTGGTACCCTGGTGCACAGCTAAACTAAAGGTAGTTTACTGAGACTGTGGTTTATCGTTTTGTCTGCCTCTGCGAGTTGGAGAGAGGCCAGGTATGCAGCTGTCACATCTATGACTCACCAGCTCAACTTCAGGTAAACTGCTGTATTTGCTGGCATTCTCGTTTTCTAGTTTGAGATTTTTATCAAGGTCTCTGAAAAATCAAGGTGCCGGAGAATCGGTGGTGTAGTCTTGCTTTGCCAGACCTTTCACACTTCCGTTAGCACAGTGCCAGTGATGGAGTGAGATAAAGCTGCATCTATCATAACTCTTCACTATGAGGAAAAAATACCCTTTTTTTTGTTGTAGGGTTTTTAAACCAACCATGACAGCCTTTGTGCCATCATGCCAATGATGCAGCAATGGCAATCTTTCAAAACACTAGATAGCAGATAAAGTGAAAGTTGAAGCAATGGTGGTTTCCATTTGTTTGTGAATATTGTGAGTCTTGTGAGCCACTGTATTGGTTGATCCCAGACTAAATGGATCACATTTAGTCTGGGATCCATTCAGACTATCCCTCTTAGTTAGGACCACATGTGATCCATGCACAAATAAACTATTTATCATGATGGACAATGACAAGTTGTGACTCACTCGTCTTGCTTCCTTAGAGCGCTCGCCTGTGCTTCAAGCTAATACAGATTTTGCTGCACTAAGCGGGGCGATAGTCAGTACAGGCTCCTTCAGAACACTTTAGAAAACACTGGTGACGGGAACATGAGGCCTGCGCATTAGGCATTCAAAGGTTTTCCCAATATGCCATGCAAATGTTTGTGTGTGAAGTAATGAGAAGGACAGCTTTGGTATTTAGTGAGATAAACATAAAATTGCACCGTGTTGGGATAGTCCTCCTTTGAGCCGCTGATCAGAGACAAAGCATCACTCCTCACGCTAACACTGCTGTGACAGAGTGGGGGCAATAATTATGCACTGTTAAGGTCCCAAAACGCAAGCAGAACAGCCATACAAGGGCATGTAATTCATTGAGACAGCAATGTGAGTACAGAAGCACTTCACGTGGCCCACAAGTCCCTGCTGGTCACTGCAGAGAATGTCAATTTGAGATACTTCTACATTGGTTTTACTCACAAACAGGGCCACAAAAACATCTCCTCCAGTCTATGATTTACGGGGTTCTTGTCCCGGTGAATAAGAGTGTGCCTTTCTGCCCAAAACAAGCCTTTTAAACCTTTAAAACCAAACCATTTTTCAGTTTGTGTTGCCAGCTTGGAAATTCTTGTCATCCTATGTACAGCAGAGTGTCTGTCTCTTTAGAGTCAGTCTTTAGATAAGTCTCTTTTGTTGAGCAGTCCTTTACATCTACTGATTTGTACTTAAAAGAAGTGTGAGATGACTAAGCTGAAAGATGGTCATTCAGAGCACACGCATAACATGTCCTATTCATTTACAACAACACATACTTGAGAAAAGTCTATGCAAGGTAACACTTGGTGCTACTTAGACAAAATGATGTGTTGTTCTTGCTTCAATGATCCAGGGACATTGAAGTTTGCGAGAGCTAATGTTGTTCTTGGGCAAACAGAGGTAAACAGCCAGTTAAAGATCAAACAGAACAAAGGTGTATTTCATTAAAGAGGAGAAGATGATTCTCGCCCATTAGCAGATGTCAGATGTTGACACTGAGTGCCCAGACAAAAACACTGGAAGGATAAATATAATGACTGCATGCTCACTACTGCGCTGTCAAGGCACAGTGTGCTTTTAATTGATGTCAGAAGCTCCAGTCTAAACTATCAGCTGGAAATGAGTTTGAAATAACTTTCCCTCTGCTTCCAAAAGATGATTGTTCCACTTCAAATGTGTGTTGATTGGAAATTCAGGCAAACAGGATCAGAGACAAAGCCAAAGAAAAATACCGATACTGCCAAAGTGAGTCATTCCCACACACTTTTTAACATTCAAAATGAGTTGAATTTTCATTTAGTATGGAAAAAACAAAAAACAAAGTTAAAGGCACTGTCTGGAGTTTTTAACTGGTTTTGGCATCGTACCATTCTAGCACTGATGCCTTTACATGACCTACATAGAAAAATAAGATTATAGCAACAAAGTTATTTTTTAACACTACTTACAGACAAACAGTTCACTCACCTGGTATGTGTAGAAGTTAGGCAGTGAGAAGTATAGTACGTTGACATGCTGGTTGAATCTAACCAGGGCTTAAAGATAGCCTAGCACTGTCAGACCTATCTGCTAGCTTCTGTTTGGCTAAACAATTGTCCACTAATTTCAGATATATTGAACCGATTATCTAGAGTGACCATATTCTGAATCCCCAAAAAGAGGACACGACTATGTGGGGTGGAGTCACGGAGCTGCGCATAGTAAATTTTGAGAGTTTTTCGGGTCTGGTCGAGTGTTTTTCACATGCTTCTAACTCAGAAAGTCCATGGGACACAAACTCAAAACTTCCAGACAAAACCCTGGACATTTGAAGGATTGTATAAACTCCCCCGGACAAGGCCGGACAGCCCCCCAAAAAGAGGACATGTCCGGGTAAAAGAGGAAGTATGGTCACCCTAAATCATCTAAAAAAAAGCAGTAAATTCTGTTAGATGACAGCACAGGAGCGTAAATAACCAAGATGGCAGTAAGGTCCATTGTCGGTACAATCGCTTCTCGAGGCTCTGCAAGTGACTGCTGTTATACCCCTCAGGAAAACTGAAGTGACTTGAATGGGCTGATACCAAGCAAAATGGCTGTGATTAGAAAGTGATGTTAGTGCTATCATGTGAATGATTCACTTACCTTTGAGGACAAAAGAGTTAAACCATTCGCATTTTCATCCTGATACATCTCAACAACAAGACTGTAACAGCTGTGTTTCACCTTTTGTAAGCTAACTGGAATATTTCAGAGTTTACAGAGTTTTGTTGTTGTTACATTGCAGTTCATAATGTTTGTAGCTACAAATTAAAACATAATTTTCTCTCTCTGCATCCTGCAAAAAAAAATAGTTTTGAACAAAGAGAAGTAGTGTGAAAAAAGATTTAATTTGCTTCCATAGAAAAAAAAGATGCTCACTTTGGCAAGAGCCCTGTCTTCGTGACAGCCGGTCACATATTCATGGGATTGTATTCATCCAGGGAAGACACCAATTTTGTCCACCAAAAACACAAGATGAAGACTCCTCACAGAGGCTTTCAAGCGTCATTAAGCTATTCAGAGCTAAGAGTAAAAACTAAAATCTACTGCAAAGGAAATCAATTTGTGATGGAGTGAAGAACTTGAAAGTTACATCTTCTTGCTCTGCGAGCTGCAGGCTCTCTTTTTTTTTTTCTTCACCAGAGGAACCACTGAACCACAAGTTGTAAAGCTACTATGAGAATACCGTATGTGCCTGACTGGCATTATCCTCAACGGTAGAGTGGAAATAAGATTTGTTCAATTCTTGAGCATGAGGCTCCTCTCACCAGAAGACAAAAATGCTGCATGCATAAAATGCTCTTTGTTAAATATATGGAAATAATAAATACAGGATATTTTTTAAAGATCTGTTTTAAGAAGTGTACTTGGTAGGGAAAAAGTCCTGGAGCACTTTCAAATTTGTGTGAATTTAGAAAATATCACAAGCCATTTAAGAGAAAATATGAGTGTTTTAGCCCTTCTGGTTTAGCTCCTGGCAAGATATCAAAAAATCACGTCTCCGAAAATTCAACCACATCCTTAAAAGAACCCGAAAGGTTATTGTAGCAGTGCCATTATAAAGGCAGGATATAAATGAAAATGTCTCAGACACGTGCAGGATTGTCATAAATGTGTATTATTATTGAAAGGTCTGAACAGAGTTAACTAAGGCAGTAAAAAAGAGTTTTTCAGCAGCCAAAGTGTCTCCCACCTGAAAACACCAAAATTAAATTTGAAAAGACACTCATCAAAAATTAATTAGTTTTTATTTATTTATTTTTTTTTGTTGGTATCTCTTTGGTTTCTCTTTGAGTTAGTAATGAGGTTGAAGGCATGTTTGCTCATATTACACTCCAATCCATCCTGTGAAGAGAAACCTGGTCTGGTCTGTGTATTCTGATGTTATAAGCGCCGTAGTGCCATGGCGTTGAGCACCATACTGAGAGAAAGCTATTCTTCTCTTCAAGCGTTCACAGTGAAACTTGTCCCTGCGTGTCAGTTACTGAATGTAGTCCCTTTTGCATAAAGAGCTATGCGACAAACACAGCAGAAACTGTGGTTGGCCTGTCAGGAGCAACATTTAATTTGGCTGACACTCGGTCCAGTCCGTCACTTATCACGCTTGTTCTGTTCCAGCTTTCCTTGTTGAATCTCAAGGGGAGCAACAGGGGACCTGATATGATCGATAGTAAATTGAATTGCATTTTAAAACCATTTCCGCAATTTATTTACCTCCATCCCCCCACTTTAATTCTGCCTCCTCAGCACACCAACACAAACAGCAATATTATATACGTTGTGATAAATGCAATTTCCTGCATGCAGCATGTTGACATGTTCAGACAACCCTGTGGCCGGTGCTGTCAGAGTGGACTTCAGCATCTACCCTCTTTTCTGGGTGGAGGGCTATGATGGACAGCTTGTAGAGGGGGGGAAGGTTGTTGTAGCATTTTGTCCCTGGGAATGTACATCACACATCCTGCTAAAGACACATAAATAAATTCATGAAATACATAGTAAGAACTGTAACACCACAATTCAATGTGTAAGCCCTCCAAAGGCAAAGAATTGATTCTTCCTGACAGAATTCCTGGATGTGGCATTGCTTTCATCGCATGGATAAACAGAGGGAATGGTATTTAAAGCACAGCACTGAGCAGAAACTACTGGCAGGCTGAGTTCAGCTCTGCCAAGCCACCAAGCCTTCCTGTGGTGAGGTTCTCTCACGCCTCGAAATCCTGCAGTGTGTTTTTTTCTGGGCAAGCTGTGCTCCCCTCCTGGATTTCCCTTTCTTGTTCAGTGAGCGCTGTCTAACATAGCATAAATTTCAGAAAAATCAGCCAAAGATTTTATCCAAGATATGGATACTTGGCTCTAACAATGCATCACACATCGTTATCTTTTTGGATTTTAAAGCAGGGGCTCTTATTGTTCGCTTGAATAGAATATGTTTAGTTGAGCCTTATCAAGGTGGGATGTTTGAGACCAGTACAGGTACTGTTTTTACAGCACTTCTAAACTATCATACAGTGTCAGCCTGTTTTGTCAAACCACTGTCTGCACAGCTTTGATGTTCTAGTGCTGCAGGTAATAATTCCAGTATTGCGATGTTGAACTTTTGGGGGCTTTACCTGCTTGAGTTATATGCATCGTTTACAGTCCAACTACCAAGTTGGTGGATGACAAGTGAGTAGGTGTTGAGACACCTAGGAGGAGATAATGTGATGGTTGCAGTACTTGCATGGAGGTGTCTGTTGATAGACATTAATTAAAGCTGGATTTTTCTGAGATGGTTGCCGATGGGTAGTGGATTGAATTTCACCACATTCACTCACCACACTGTCTGTTTACCTGCAGTCAGTGCCGTATAAGACACAGTTGACAAAGCCTCTCAGATAATTAAAGAAGGTAGAACTCATAATGGTTAAATCCAGGGCTTGGCTTGAACATGAGTGAATATGTTTTAAATTTTTATATAGGCATAAGTAGGGTTGTACTATTACTTGTGAGACAGTCAAAAATCATTTAATATGGGACTATTGGATTTGGTTATGAATGATATTGAATATAGCTGACATGCTAATATGCTGATTTCAAATTTATTTTGGCTGATACTGACACCAAAAATACTAATCCAGGTATGTTATTATTAGCCCTTCAGAAACCAGCATCTTCAACCATGCTTAAAACAGTGGCAATTTAATATTAAGCAAATAGTAAGTCAATACTAAGTAAACTGACGATGAAAACTGCAGCGAAATCTCTGTTCAGAAATGCTCTGCTAAACAATGGTGAGATGAAATACGTAGCTAATCATGTAACAAGTGCACAGCCGCTACAAATTCTCACCACCTCTATTCAAATTTCTAGTTGTTATTTAATGTTTTCCTGCCCAGTGCATGTCAGTAAGAAGTCCGTTTACAGCCTTTAGTATGAAGCCAAAACTAGCTACAGTAGGTATTAGCTATCCAAGCATAGCCTAACAAAACTTGCGTTGGACAGCTAGCGTTTGAAACATTAGTTTAGTTACAACTTGCGGCCTGCACAATAGAAAAAAAACTGATTTCTTCTGACTGAATCTTGACTAAAACAACACAAGACAGAAAGAATAAAGTCAGCTGTAATTTACTGGAAATGACTAAGACAAAACTTTGTAAAAACTGTATATTAAGAGTATTGAATTCAGTTTTTTTTTTTTTTTAATCTTTGGGTGGTTACTGCTGTATTTCTCAGCTTTGTTAGATGGCTGAGACAAACAGGTTTCTGTCGGTGCCAACCATTTTTTCTCCCTGCTTTGCTGAAACTCTTTCTGCTGTTCAGGAGGATGGTTTTGGAAATGTGCAATTTAATTGGCAGTGTTGAAAGACTGTTGTTTAGCTATACATTACAGGTACAAAGCTGCAAAGTTGTCTGTGTTTTCGCTGTTCAATATACAACCAGTTAGTCTTTTGTCAACTTGTTTGTCAGTTTTTTTGGTACATGATATAATTGATCAGCTGGGATACAGCCCAATAGTAACTGAAAGAGACCACCAACCATATCAGAGGCAGATACTACATGCTGGGACAGGGACAGTTAATCATGTATGCAAATGTACGGCTTATGTTTCATATCTTTGGCCAAATTGAGGTGTACAAAAAATGGTGGCAGCAGATGATTTTACTGTCAAGGATGCTCCACCAGTGTTTCCGGCTCAAATATGCCGCCAGGGACGCCCGCCTGCCTGCCAAAGTCTATTTGTGCTCTGTTTTAGCGTTTTTCTTTAATCTGTATGAGATCGTAACCGTCTATAAACAAGAGGAGAGCTGTCTTCATTCTTCTCACGGTGTCGCCACACTTGCTCCGCAGTTAATAAAGAGAAAGACACGTAACAGACACTACATCAACATAAGGCTTATCACATGCTTTACATGGCTGATCTTTCTTTTAGCTGTTTTAATTTGCTGCTGGCTTTCATTTCCAGGAGACGGATCTTTTGCATCCTTTCAGAGTAAAACAGCAAATGAAGTAACTGACATGTGAGACAGTTAAAGGGCAAGATAAAAACGTCTCAGGCTACAGTTTGTCAAGTGTGAACGTAACCTCGATTACTTGCAATCTTTTATAAATTAGTGAACCCTGTATTGTGAACTAGCTCAGCTGGGTTGATTGTTACATCTCTAGAAAAGGAATAGAGAGTTACATCTCATAAAAGGAAGTTCAATGGTATGGTAAACGTTGGAGTAGGAGCCTGCTGTGCTGGACTGAATTAGTGATGACACAGTTTCTAAACCACCCTGGGGTTTGTTTTCTGTATTAAATGTTTTGTCCAAAAGACTTTACATCTGTTGGTCAGAATCAATACCTATACATCACGATAAACCCAGTGTGTCGTGGTCAGACTCTGATGTGTTGTAAAAGTCCTTATCTTTGTATTTTGTGCTCTGTCTGTTTTCGCTGTGTCTCCACAACTAACAGTAAAACTCCAGATGTATATCTGAATTGTTACTCAGCTGAAGCCAATACAGTGCGTGCCTCAGTGCTCCATCTGTGAATCAGAGAGCCCTGTTGGTCCATGTTGTCAATATTCTTTTATTGGCCTTTGCATAGTTGCCACCTCATTTTGTGCTTCAGAACATTTTCATTTTACCGTGACCACCTGCATTACTCGCTTATTCGGTATGAGTTACAAGACCTGGCCGCTTTGAGAAACCAATCACATTCAGAACCATAACTCTGAGTCACTCCCTGAATTTATGGAGATGCATTTTGGCAATCAGGAGGTTTCAAACACTGTTGTTGAGCTTAACAAGACATATGGGTTAGAGAAAACCTTCTCCAGCATATTTATCTAATCAGCTGTTTTACTTTATTTATGTTGGTGGAAATGCACTTTTACCGAGCAGTCTAGAAGCTTTTAGTTTGCCAACATGGAGCTGATGCCCTACTATCACACTCAGCACTTCTACATATAAACAGGGTGCTCAAGAGTTAGTTGCAGTTTAAAAAAAGAAAAAAATCCTTGCAGTGTGGAAAACTTTTTGGTTGTGTTAAAAAAAAAAAAACAGCCCACACGCTGTCTAATCTCTCCTGCATTGATCAGACCCCCTCTGCATGCACGCTGAAGCTTCCAAGCCCAGCAGGCTGCTGTAGCCTAGCTGCTGAACTATCCTGTGACTTTCATTTATGGCGAAGAAGCAAACCGTGCAGGAGTACGAGCCCGGAGAAGAAGACGGTCGTTTCAGATGACTTATCAACCGAGTTGCAGCTTCCACATGGGGCCGTTGTCTTAACACGAGGAGTCCATTAAAGTCAGACACTGGCTTGTTCTGCTCCAAAATATCCACTCGCTGTCTATTTAAAATGCTGGTTATTTGATGTTCACAGATCAGTTGCATTACTGACTTGCAATAGTTACACAATGTTGCCTTCAGTCACACTGAAACTGAACTTTATTACAACAAGAAGGACGTTTTTTTTTCTTCTTTAAGTCCTGTGAATAACCCAAAGGTGGGGTAGGCAGGATTCTGTTAGAGAAGAGTCTTTTTTGTGGTGTATAAAGAAAAAAGCTTTTAATATCAGGCAATAGCTATTAGTTATTGATGACATTTGGTAATATGACAATATCGCTGTGTTTTGTTATGTCTGTGTAGTCAATATTTAAATTTTTTGAGCAACCCGCTCTTTCTGACTGTAAACAAAGCCGTTCTCCACCTCCCCCAGCCTGATTGGTTGTGGGGCAGACGCTGCTCCCCCGTGTCGTTCATGAGCCCAAACAAAGTTAGCGTGCTACAATATCGGACAGTAGAAACCAACTAGAAAGTACGGAAAATTGTCTGAATCCTCTTTTGGCCACAACTGCCAACGCAAGCAAGAAACTGAATTAAATACCGGAGACTCTGGCGGAATAACGGGCGCTTAAAAAGGAGGTAGACCGGACAACAGCTAAGAAGACGGGTCCAACATAAACGATGGGGGACGCTTTGGGATCTTATGGACCCCGTAACCTTTCTGCTGGACAGGTAAACCGCTTTAACAAAGTAAGCCAAGTGTCTGTAACAGAAGTCATTCTTGTCAAACGGGACCTGCTGCGTGTTGTAGCGCCGCTAACCTGTTTACCTCGGGTCCTGGACTATGTCACTTTATCCTAGTTGTAGAAGTCCTGCAGACATTGTGTTTGCTGGTAGAATGTTGACATCTACAGTAGCACCAATGCTTTTTACTTTCACGTTGACTGGGCCCCATTTGTAATTATCTGAAGTATTTATCTGCATTATATCTGAATTTAATTGAAACAATACGAGCAAGCAGGAGCGTCTGTTTGTGGGCGGGGCTTGCTGGAGCAGAGACAGAGGGGGAGAGGAGGAGCTGAGGGGGAAACTGGTTGGGAGGGGTAGAGTTTACATTCAAGATTTCTCCCAAAAACTGGCACTTCCTCATATCCTGCCCACCCCACCTTTAATAAAGTTTAATTCACATCTCCAATCCTCAGAACTCTTCTGTCCTTGTTTCCTCTGTTCCAGTTTTACCAGGACACCAACATAAGGATGGTTTGAATTAGCCTTACAAAACATGAGTAGTCACTGAAGCGTCTAATAAGTGAAGGGGTGCGTAGTGGAGAGATAATCATGAAGTAGTTAGTGACTCTTTTGAGACTGCTTAGTAGTAGCAAGAAAAAAATAAATGAATAAATGTTTAAGAACTGTTTCAGGAAAGAAATAATAATTCTTATTCATAAAATGTAAACCTGCGATGATAAAAGGGTGATTTATTAATGAAGTAAATCCCTGTCCGTTCTTCTGTAAATCATCATATCGACTATTAAATCAGCCATTTGGAAAGTCCTCACCGGGGATTCATTATTTTCTGGATACCCTTCGCTCTGTTCTCATTCACTTACATTATTGCGTTCTATAAGTTTTTCCATTGCTTTATAATTGATGATTGCAGTGACCTGCTATGCATGGCAGAGCCCACAGATCTGACTTCAAACAGCCCTGCTTCAGCACAACATCTGGTCCACGAGGAAATGTTGCCTTTGTTAATGAAGTGATATTAATTGATGTGGCAGACAAAAGCCTCTGTACATTGTGTCTCTCGCTGAGGTGGTATTGAACTATAAGGGGATGTGCTCCCCTGCAGGGTCTTGTTGCTGCAGAGAGTCAGTCGCAGGGCTATGAACAATGAAATAGAAATAGGCAATTCTGTCCTCATAAAAGATGTTATTAGATGCCGTTTTATGTGGAAATTTTATAAAGTGAGGTTTCACAGTTTATGTCACTGTAGCCCATGGGGCCTGAATCTGCTTGCTAAGCCGTGTTTTTTATTCCTTGAAAGGCTTTCGCTGCCACCTGGTCAACACTTCTGTGGTGTTATTATATCCTGTCAGCAGGTGTTCAGCACCCTTCTCCTGCCATTTAGTTCGCCGAGGTTGTGACATTTAATGTCACTGGGTATTACTTACTTGAATGTCATGATGCAATATCCTAATGTCCTACACACCTGTGCAACTTAAATCTTCGCAAATCAAAGCAGCTGTAATCCACTATTACTGCAAGTGTGAAAGGAGAAAATGACAAATTCCAGCACTAATCACATTTTTGCCAAACTTTTCCTTCCCAGCTGTTAGGTTTTGATTCACTGTCACTGCCCCCTCATTAGTAAAGTTTCCAGATATAGCAAGCAGCTCTAACAACCCAGTGTACACCACCTGGTCGAGAACTAACCAGCAAGGTAGTTAAAAAGCAGAAGATGTCAAAAGTTTCCAGAGATTTGTCATAATTTGATCTCTACTTTTCAGTACACACAATATATACTGAACAAGTTAACTCAAGCCGTACTAGGCCATACTACTAAACCTATATGGGTATGATGGGTAAGGGTTTAAGTGGTCTTTGGTTACCGTCCCTTAATGGTGAGACTGGACCAAAGCATCTGTTTTAACTGTCTTCTTCATCTCGGTTTATATCTTTCTCACTCTTTGGCCCCTTGTGTTTTTTAATATCCCAAGTCAATTTCTGCTCGGTTTTTCTTTGTTGCTGGCTGGTTAGCCATTAACCATCAATCTAATTTTGTGTGACCTCCAAACAATTTAAGTGTAAAATTGATCGACTTTCTCTGTGCTGTATTGTAAGGGGTGTTTTTGTCAGAAAGTCAACAGAAAGAGGTCATATCATGAACAGCAGACTAGATGGGCAATAAATTCTCTGTATATTGATAGGTCTGATGTGTGTACATCCAGGTTGTCCTTCGCTACAAGAATTGATAACTGTTGTCAGGAAGTTTTGATCAATCAGAGTCAAGCATTTTTCACAGCTAGATGATAGGTAAGAAAGCTGAGTAATGACATGACTTGAGTTGTCATATAGGGTGTCTCACTCCAATAAAGAAAAAAATATAGGTTGAAGAAACACATAAAAAAACACATGAAACTAACTAACTTCATGTTTTTAAAGGTTTTAATAACATTTTTGAATAACAGTTTGAGGTTTACAACTTGTGATTTGACAGTACTTGTACAGGAATGTACCAAGTGCTAATGGGGGTGTTTTCAGAGCACCTCTTGTTTTCACCATTTTGGATTCGCCCAAAATGTTGGTTTGCTGAATATTTATTTCTATTTTGAGCGTTTCAGTTTTCCTTTTGTGTTTAATCACCTTCTTGTACTGATATCACAACCCTGATTAGTCGATTTTTGGTCGACAATTTCAGGGTTTTAGACGACCAAGAATTTCTTTAGTTGATTACAGCCCTAAAACACATATAATTATATTATGCTCCATTTATGTATACTAACTAAATGCAGAGGCTTCATTGCTGTGATGTGGTGCATAACAGTATGCAACTATAACTGCACAGCTTCATCCAAAGGCCATTAACTTACCATGTTTAAAGCAGAGGAACCAAACTGCCGATGAAGAACACTGTCAGGTTATAATAGATGAAAGTTTGTTTTGGTCTACTCAAAGCTGAAACTCTGAACGTGTTGTTTTGAGAATTGTGGCATCCTATGTTGTTCTTGGGGGGTACAGCCAGAGATTTTGGTTCCTATGAAAATGGATCACTTTTTGCCCCGTCATTTCACTGCCACAGTGAAGTGGTTTGCGGTGAATATTTTTAAGGGCTCCACAGGAGTCACAGACCCTGAGAAATCTCCTCTGTATGGCATCTATGTTTGTAGTATTCTAGTGCAGAGAAGGATAAAATGTAGTTTCTTTTGAATGATGCATTGACTAGAAGATTCACCAACTCTATTGACGGCATGGAGAGTCGCCCTCCATCTCTTTCCATTGTAAAAAGCGAGGCCAAAAGACGGCCTCATTGGGAGTCGAAAAATTGCACCGGTGATTTAAATTGGAGCCAAGAGATGCAGCAGGATTGACGTCACACCCCTAGAACAGCAGAGATCCCTCGGGTCTGCGTAGTCCACAGCAGAATAGACTCTTGTGTTGATTTCTAAAATCTTGGCTTCACTTTTGGGGAGCTGTTCTCCCACTCATGTTGTATACAGTCTGTTTCTACTACCTGTTGCAGCATTTTAGACAGCTCTGGGTTTTTTTTAGCTCAACTTTCTTGTGTTTACAGCTCTGTGCGTGTCAAGAGGTGAACTATTTTACAGATTCAGTTGTTCTGGAGGCAGGTAAGTTCACAAATGTCAAACGGTTGGTTCACCTGGATTAAAAATACACCTCTCCTGTTGATACTCTGCACCTTTTAATCTGGATTATCCACAGGCTTTGACAGTGAGGTTAACGCCACCGGTCTTGTTTTTATTTTTGAAACAAACGAACAAAACTCTGTGTGCCAAAGTTAAAGCGAAACTGCTTGAGGCTGTATTTTGTTCCAGCCTCCATCAAGCTTCTTAACCCCGGTGCTAGGGAGCAACGTGCTATAAATAACGCGGCTCGTTTGCATTTTCTTTCTCTTTGTTACTTTCCCAGCCATTGTGTTGTCAGTGTCAGATGTGCAGTCAGATGTCTGGTTTATGTTTTTACGATGTTACTTTGTGAAGAAACTGTTTTGCATTGTGTCAAACTTTTTTTTTTTTTGATGTGATGTGATTTTTTTCTTTTTCCTTTTTAAGGCGAGACAAAATTCACCCCGAGAAAAATAAGCTTCAACACATTTCTCCTTTCTTCAGCTACTTTTGGTTGTTTTTTGATTTTTGTTGCTTACTGCTGTTTAATGCTACAGCCTATATACCATTGTGCATTTTTATAAAAGTCAGGTACACCTCTCAGACTTGTGACAGGTGTTGATAGATTTGTTTTTGTTATTAATATTCCAGTCAGTAACTCATGTAACAATCGCTCTCATGGAATCATCCATCTGTTTAATTGCGGTGGCTAAATGTGATGACAGTTTTATTGATGAGGCAACTTAATACCAACAGCTGATAAGGCTGGATCATCGGGTTGCTGAGAGTGGGAATGAATGGTAATGTGTTGCTGCTTTCATTTGTCTCAGGTGTTCATCCTTCAATAACAAAATCTCCCCTGGCTCCCCCTCCTCTTCCTCTCCTGTTTTCGTGATACCTCTCCTCTTCATACAACACCTTCATTTTTCAACAGTAATCTCCTCACCCTAAGCCTTTAAAGTCACCATTAAGCCTCTATTCATTCTTACATAATGATCAAATTCATCCCAGTCCATTTACCTCCAAGGTTTAAGGTTTACAGAGGATTAGAGGTTGAAAAATCAATTTGCTTGCTCCTAGATGTCGAGTAATCCAGTTTGGGGATATGTTGGTGCCACTGCGGTGTAATGGGCCGTGCACTACATTGAATCCTGCCTCAAACTGTGAGACCTTTCTCGTAATTCAAATTGAAAAATATGCAAATATATATATGGCGTTATTATTTGAATTCATGGGGTAACTTATCCGGAGAACTGCATGAAAGCATTAAAAGAAGAGCCTTTGTCCAGAAATTCAATTAGTGAGTTAACAGCTGAGGAGACATGCTGCACTTCAAACACCTGTGTAACACCAAAAATCTACAAAGTGAATATTGTATCATTGGATTGATATCAGCTACTTTAGAGCTCTAACTTTTAATGTCCAACATCTCCTAGAAACTTTTCCAGCCAGCAATAAGCAAAATTGTGTCTGACTGTAACCCTGGATCCCTCCCAAGTAAATGCATAAAGTTAATTGCTTTACAGAATTGGGGATATTTTTGGCCTAATTTTCCCACTGCTCCAGGTTGTTTTATTGTGCATGACAGTTTTCATAAGGGCAAGACTTTTCAAAGGAATAAAGGCCATTTTAAAGGAGCTTCATAAATCTCTGCAGCCCACTCTGAACACCATGATTTTGAGAAGCTACGCTGGTTATCTCTGAACTAGCGCTCTATAAAGGATTTCATAGATTCAGCACAAAGTTATATAGCCAAGTCAGAGTTTCCTGGTCAGCTTATTCACAGATAATTGGGACATAAAGCAAGACTTATGAGTCTAAATTTATTGCATTATTAGCAGCGCATGGTGCTGTAGGAAAAATGTGTTAACACTCTGTGGTACGAGATTTAATATTCACAGTATATTGATAAATAAATAAATTATACATATATATAGTGCAGGCAGGCATGTGTTAAGTACTGAATACTTCATGTTAGCAGGGGAATGTCAAGACTTTATTGACTTGTGTGGCTCATCTGGGGCACCTACTTATATAAGGATCAGAGAAAGTAAGTGAAACCAGAACCTCTCAGCTATCCCTGGTGACCACCTCCTACATTAAAATAACATATAATAGAATGTCATATAACTTTTTCTCAAACAGACGTTTTGTTATCAAAGTGAGCCTATCATGCCGATTTATGTGTAAATGTTCATTTTCTTTGGAGGGGTTTAGTTTTAATTAGTAATTAGATAAAAAAGGATGAACGACTGACAGCTCTGTATGCCAGTGCAGAATCCCGCTGGATTTGCAGAATAGAGAAAGAGGTTAGAGAGGAAATGAACATTAACACAAGAGTTTTTGACCTCCTCATAGCCACGAGAGTCTGCTTCACATCACAACAAGAAGATTCTCTACTCTGGACTGTTATGACCTGAGGGGGCTTCGACATCTTATCAGTGAGCTCAGCACATCTTTAGCCATAGAGAACTTCACATCCAACAGTGGGAGGAGATGGAGACACACTGTCCATATTAATCCACATTCATCCACACATAAATGTTCCATTTCTGTGTTTACATTTTTTGGGGGTTTGTTTAAAAGTTTTGTCCGCAATATGACCACTCAAAAAAAATTTCTGTATTAAATAAAAGAATAAATATCAGGGAAGGTACAATAAAAAAAAAAGTGCTATGGCACAAAAAACAAAATATGAAAATATGAGAAGTTAGTTAAGTCCACACTTAAGTACCAACTCCGACCAAGCAATTACTAAATCGCAATTTAGGATTTTGGGATGTTGTGTCTTGGGGCTGGGCGATAAACCGAAAATTTATCGATACTGAAATTTACGGCAATAATTTACACCATTTTGCCCATGTCAATATATTCAGTGTAAAAAAAATAAATAAATAAAAGTTGGTTTTGGATGAGTGTAGGTAGGCTATGGTCTCATGTCCCTTTAAGACGGTGTCCTATGTCAGAGACGTGACTCCACCCCATCCAGTCCATAACAAAGAGGGAAAGACAGGTGAGGAGATGGAGGACGGTTCAAAAGTTGTAGCAGCTGGAGCAGCAGCTGAAGTAGACAAAGTTAATGTGGGAGGGGGTGAGCAGCTTGTGGAGTAGTTATTGTCCATTTATTGTTATTGAGGTAAACTGCTCAATATATTGTGATATTGATTTGTGACCAAATCACCCAGCCCTAGACTCTAAAGACCAATCTTTTCAGCCATCCTCTAAACACTCCCTTGAATATGTGAGCTAATTAAATTGTATAGTAACGGTTTTTGAATCTGCAGCATTTCCAAAAGTCCTTTTCTTTCCCTGAAGTATTTCATTAAAGAAAAACAGAATCATCTTTTGACTTTCTGAGTTTTTCTGTATCTTTTTGTCACTTTTGATACATTTCTCTGGGTTGAGTCTTTTATTTTCATCAAAGAAATACAAATCCAGCTCTGACCTTTGAGCAACTTGATCAAAAAAAACATTTAAACTATTAGATGTTTTATAACCCTGTTAAGTGATTGCAAAACTCTCCTCAGTTGAAGCCCTATAGTACTGAACGTCATAAAAGGTTTATACTCAGGGTAAGACGGGACAAGAGTTGACTGGAAAATGAAAACTTCTTGTGTATTCACACAGGGATCACCAGCGTTAGATTGACTGGTTTAGTAGGTTTACACAAATACAAATAATACAGATAAACATACACATACAGAAAATTAAAGATGCAATAGAGTGGTGCAACATAACCTTCCCTTGACTCTCTCCGGTACATAGGTCACATCAGTCATGTTGTGCATTCACTCTCCTTCTTTATAGTGTTAATTGAGTCTAACAGCAAACAGGAACCGACTGACTCAGCTCTGAAAAGCCTTGGATTTTTCTGTTTTTCACAATGTCCTCACAGCTAAATGCTGGCGTTCGGCTGTACATTAGTGACCTTGAAGAGCCTCATATGTGCACAGCATGTATCAGTTTTGTTTCACTGCAAAATGCAATTACACTTTCCAAGAGGGGGGAGCCTGGCTTTTATCCAGTTGACATCAGGAGCTGCGACTTGTTTGATTGTTTGTGAAAGCTGTTCAGATTATCTGCAAACTATACAAGGTTTTTTTAAAAGTTCAGATTTCTTGTTTACATGATGGACCTCTTACTTGTTCGAGGAAATGTTTCCCCAAACACTCATACACTTGATAATTAGAAGATAGTTGAACGAGATGCCAAGAGCTGCTTTCCCTCGAGAGCAATGAAATGTAGATTTTATGATTGCACCATGCAGGCGTTTTGTGTAAAGGGCTAAGGGCACAATATAAACAACAGTGTTTGTGTAACAGGATGATGAGGTTTGACTGAATGGCACTCAGAAGGTGCTTTTTTTCAATTGATTGTACAAAACAAGTATGATACATATACGATATGTATATAAACACCCAATGATTATTGAGGTTCTGAAATCTGCAGAGAAAAATAGTTTCTCTTCATATTAAACTTCCACAGAGACCATTTATTGCTATCGGCTGTAATTTACAAGGCATCTTGAAATCTTTAGCTTTTTATATGCATTAAGTAAAGCCTTGTGTATAGTATATAACCACATATGACTATGACATTGTTTACGATCCGCTTCAAAAAACATGTCCCTGATATTTACGACGTCTGTCTCCGTGTGCCTGAAAAGAATTTTAATGCAGACTTATTTATTCATATAGTCATAGCTTACCAGTGCTGGCGTTTGCCTGCAGTCCACAGGGTCTTAAAAACCATTCTAGCATGCACATGTTGATCAGCGCATCCTCGGAGAATATGTAGGAGGTTTATAGCTTCATGAAAAACAAGGCATGTCATCGCTGGTTCGTCTGGTTTCTATTTAAGGTGGAGCTGTCAGTGAGTTGAAAAAGTGTGCATGGATGACTGTGCACTTCTTCTGCATGATGTGACACTTGATAAAAGCTGTTCCCCAAAATAATTATACACTGCTTCAACACAGTCATGTTTTTGATCTGTTTCATAGGTGATCCTCATGTTGACAAAATACTACGACTTCAACTCTGGCAGAGTGACAGAGAGTTCTTTATGGAGGTAAGATCTTCTGGCTGACACTGCATTTTACGTAGAGGACAATAAATAGATTTATGCAGTAAATTTCTGAAGGCTTTTGTGAGTTAATGGCTTTACCTCAGAGTTCAGTTGGGGCCTAGAACACACAGGAATGCGCCAAATGCCCCTGATGGCCAAATAATGGCACATTTACAGAATTTTCTTTGACATTTTTTACTTCCAAAATGTGTTTTTTTTACATACATGAGGCCAGAAAAGTCTAAGATTTATCAAGAAAAGACACAACTAATTGCTATTTTATTTAATAAATAGAAAAGAACACAAGAAGGAAAAGTTTTAACTCCGAAATAGGCTTTTTAAACAAATACAGTATGTAATTCTGCAAGCTGAAGAATCCTGTGCATGCAACATTGTTTTTTCATTTTGTCTTCATTTAGCCATGAGGCTGTCACACTAAGCATACTGACTAACAAAACTCATATGTGCATGGAGAACTATATGTTTCTGAAGTTGTTACTGATCAGACTGTGAATGTGTGTAGCGATCACATCAACACACGCTGACAGACAAAGACAGAGGATCTACAGCATGTACGTAATCTGCAATATGTGCTGCAACTTTGAAAACACGTGCAAAAGTCCAGAACGAATGTAACAGAAGAAATGAAATAACTGCATTAACAATATGTGCTGCAAATACCTGATTGATACACAGTAAAAGGAGAAAACACACTAAAACAAGAAGCAGAACCCTGCAAATCAAGATGTTCTCACAGACGTGTTTCTGTAGAGCCTGTAAGGGCACAGAGTAAAACAGGTTTATAACTGATTGGACAGAGAAGAAGACACTCAACTTGTTAAAAATGGGAAAGCAGCATGGTTTGGTATCTGGGAGTCATGTCTGAATGCAGCCGGCAGAGTCTGGCCTTAACTCTGACACCAGTACTGGCAGAGACACAGTGAGAATAGGAACGAGTGAGGGAAATGTCAGGCATACTTCTTTGCCTTAAAAGGCCTAAACAGGGTGTTTCGGATGCTGCTTGGGATGCGAAATGCTACCAGGGCTTGGTAGTCAGCATACCCGCGCTCTCTGAGCCTGACACTGGACCGGGTCAGCTGATGATAGTGTGAGCTGAGTGGCTGGCAGGGGAATAGCTGGGGAAGCTGCAAGGTGGACTCCAAATGTCCTGGTTCTTCTACCCTTAAGGCTCAATTCAGACCTTGAAATGGGGAGATTTCCATGCCTGACACCCCCTTCATTCTCACCATATATTCAGTATGAATGAACAAATCAATCCTCTCTTTTACTTTTGTTAACTTAACCAACTTTAAGATACTCCATCAACTTCAGCATGACTCCCTGTTGCTAAACTACGCCGCTCTCTCTAGACACACTTAATGCCGCGGGCCTGTTGGCTCTGGTTTCCTGGCAGTCTGAAGCTCCAGTGACTGTGAGTGGAGTAAACATCAACACTCACAAGCACTGAAAGCCTGACACTGGACTTGCCGAGATCCTTTTTCTGACCCAAACTACTCTCAGTGTCGGTTCCACGAGAAAAGCAAAGAAATCAGAAACTGTTTCTCAATCAAGCAGAGAAAGACTGGATTTGACACAATATACTTTTTAAAACTCTCATTTGTTTGTTTATTTGACTATCATGAAATGTTGCGTATATGTCATACATAGTAGTTGTAATTTAGGCTCATTTTCACGGCAAATATTCCTGGTTTGGCTTCTTAAATGAAAGGAGAAATGACAGGAAATTGAGTTTAAAATACTAATACCATTAAAATCATTCAACAAGTAATAAAATTCATGAACTTGAACTTCTGCGAAGATGGAAACTAGCATAAACAAAGAAAAAAATAAAGTAAAATGATGGCCTCGTTTGCACAAGCTGTGTATATATATATTTATGTGATCTGCAGTTTTAAATGATGCAGTTGGAGCTCACAGACTTGCTCCAGTTTCAACCATGTCTTTATTTGTGTTTTTAAAGCCTTAAATTCTGTCTGTTACTTGATTTCAGATGGTAATGCGCTCCATAGTTGTATAACTCTCGCTGAAATGGATGAATGACCAAATGTTGTTCTACATTTCGCTGCCAAACAGTTTCCATTATGCAGTGCTGCTCCTCTGATTCCACTACTTTATTTACAGGCTGACAGAATGTTTCTGCTACAAGGTTGTTCGCACACTTAAAGAGGAGTTTTATGAATGAAAAATTTACTTTAAAAATTCAGTCAATCTGACAGATTTTAGATAACGAGAGACAGAAGGACATGATCGTCAGACACACACGCACACTCCTCTTGTGTTTATTATTACTTATTCTAATAACAGACTGGGCCTCTTAATGTCTGGGCTTCTCCAATCAATAATTAGTTATTTTTTACCTGTAAAACTCTGAAGAACTTCCTTTAAAAAGTCTTGACTTGCAGCAATTCCTTGTGCTGTTATTTTCAGCTTTTCTGTGTTTTTGACTTCATTCATGTGTTTGCAGAGCGTTTTACTGAATTTACATTCATTCCACCGTTTGCAGCACGATTTCTCCTAATGATCCCCTGGGGCTGTTGCAGGTCCTTTGCCTTTGAAGGCCATTGTAGATACATCTGCAAAGTGGAGGTAACTCAGGTTACTGTTCCAAATATGCCATTAGCCGGCAAAATTTTTGGCCCTCCACCCCGGGAAAAGGTTGGTTTCTGAGTGCTGTAAATTCAGTGATTTTGTTATTATTTGCTGTCTTTGGGCTGCCTCTGGTAAAATATCCGCAGCTCTCAAATACCTGTTGAATTGGCACTGCAGCTCTGGTCATTTTATTGGAGCTAGCTGCTGCTGCTGCTGCTTCATATTTCATCAGTATCATCATTTGGATGACATTTTTTCAGGGACATTCAGTATTCCCTGTGTTAAAACTTGGGGACCTATAAACCTACAGCACATTTTGCAAGTTGCAGTTGTGTTATCCTTCTCTGAAACACTGAGAAACCTTCACACTTTCGCTCTGTCATCAGCTTGTTGCGGCCGTGCTTACGGCTCATCGTTTCTCTATGTAATGAAATTTGTCACACTGTCAGTGATTGTGTCAGAATGTGTCGGCTTTTTAATGAATGAATAAAAACAACTTTCATCCGTAGCATAAATTTGTAGTATCAGAATAATGAATAATATTTAATATGATATTTTCCTGAGTCTTTCACCTTTCTTCTGTATTTATTTATATAGCCAATAAAATCTAATTTATTTGAGTATTCTTTGTGTATTTATGTTCAAAATGTGAGACTACTCAGTGAAGATTAAAGCTGAAAGCTGCCACATAAATGTGACTCATTATCTGTCGGATGTAAATCGATATAATGATTTAAAATTTGTTCTGTATCTGTCAGTGTTTTTAAGGCAGTAAAATCTCTCTTTTAGTGAATTTGGATTACAGTTCTTTGAGTTTTATAACAGGTTGTTGATACGACCTCTAACAGCAGAGTCAATTCCTCTGCTTTCTAAACAAACATCAGTTACCTAACATCTATTGAATTAAAGAGCAGAATAGTAAAATGTGTCTTTGCTTTTTTAAAAGAAATAGCATTTCACATTCTGTTTGATCATTCTCTTATTTTGCATGCTTCACTAAAGCCTGTATTATAAATATTGTATAAAATGATCATTTAAAAACAAACCTGAATCTGAGGTCCCCTCGGCTTTGCAGTTCTCTGTTGCCGGTTGCTCATTGTCTGGGTTTTAGATCTATAATGTCCCTTTTTAGTTCACTCTTACAGCTCTTGTTGTGTAATCATAACAGCTGTGAAAATGCTCTACAAACACAATACATTTAACCTGTTTACCACCTCGCAGCAGACAGAAAGAGCATGTTAAGAAGTAAAGAATATAGTGAAGCATTTATCAGCCTAAAAGGCAGATATTTCCCTCAGGATTTGGTGGAGACTTAAAAAAAAAAACTGCTAAGGCAGTGAAATTGGACTTACGTCTTCCAGTGACTTCAAATGAATGATAATGTGGCTCCACGTCTGCTGGATGTGTAAATGAGCGACTGTTTGCTAACAAGTTCACAATATAACTTTGTTGGGTTCGAAGACAACTTTTTTTACGGCTGCCCCAAGTGGCTCCAATAAATAAGTAAATAAATAAATCCAGATTTAACATGAAAAGGTTTTAAGCTCAGGGAAAGGCTAATGCTGTAACAAAGGGGGGAAAAAAATAAAGAAAATATTCACCGGTGCACAGGGCTGATAAATAATAAATAACGATAACATGTTTTGTCTCCAACAACAAGTGAAGTGAAAGGAACCAATGAGGACCAGTTCGCCAAGCAACTGGGACCAGTTTGTGTTTGAGGGATGATGAGTGACATCCCAAATAACCTCAAAAAGCAGTGCCGGTTTTTGAAGGATGATAATTGTTTTGAATTTCCTTTTTTTTTTTGGGGATGTTGAAAAAGTTTCTTTCCAGCCAGCGGGCAAATATGCCTCCGAATCCTGAGCTGTGTAAAAAAAACACAAAAAGTGAAGAATTGGTGTTTATTCTATAACAGTGATAACAATAACAATAATAGGTCTGCTCTTTGCCTTGCATGCCACACAAGGTATTCCTGTTTATTTTATAATTAAAAAAATCCATTCATCTAGCAAATTGCTTCATGACTTCTGCTGTTGCAATTTTCTGCTTGCCTGATATGCTTAATGATACCATCAGCATCTTAACTAGTAGGTGTTGCTCTTTTCTCCTTTGCTCTCCCTCACAACCTTTTAAATTCATCCTTTTAATTGAATTTTAGGTCAACTGATTATGGGACCACATACGAGAAACTTAATGAGAAAGTGGGGTTGAAAACCATCCTGAGTTACCTGTACGTGAGTCCGAACAACAAAAGAAAGGTAAGCGTCCACATTTATGAATCCCCCTGCCTGTGTCGTAGAAGTTGTAATCACCTCGCAGCAGACTTATTATCATTTTTGCTACATAGCAGCCCTGCTGGAGCTTGTACCGCGCTTCTATTCCGAGTAGCAGGAACGCTCTTAAACCCTGTGGAATGGATGCTGTCAAGGTGGGCCGCTGATTCCCCGTCTCCTTTCTTGTCTTGTCTCAGATCATGTTACTTACAGACCCGGAGGTGGAGAGCAGCCTGCTCATTAGCCTTGACGAGGGGGCGTCCTATCAGAAACATAGCTTAGCCTTTGATATCCTCAGCCTGCTTTTTCACCCCGAGCAGGAGGACTGGATCCTGGCTTACAGCCACGACCAAAAGGTAACGTGTGGCTGTCAGATGGCATAAAAAAAGATGGAATACAATCTGAATAATGTGAAGGAAATACCTCAAATCAAAAAAATTCCAGCATGGAAGTATGAGCTTTGTGAGTAGCTCGCATGCTGCTTGACAGATCGTTTCTCTTTCGAGTTCATTTTACATGCCTAGTTGGTTGACCGAAAATGAATTTCTCAACACAAAAACACATAAAATAGATTCTTTTCTCTCTCTAAAGCATCTATTTTGTTAAAGGTGGGGAGTTAACCAAAGCTAAAGCACACAGCTGCTCACCTGCACCCCTGAAAAAGTCATACGGTCTGGTTGCAGTCTTTTACTTTGAAAGGATTTGTCCTAGACAGCACAGGGGAAAGCTAACAAGGAAGACACGCCCAAGCAATTCGCAGGCTCACTCACACACACACTCCTGCACACACAACTGCAATGGCATAAACACACACACACACCATTACTCTGTGTGAGAACCCTGCTGTCTGCTTTACTCAGCACCGCAGACATCAAACTCGGCCTCCCCAGCCTGCTGCTATTTGGAGGACTTGATTTTTAGAGAGAAACACAGTCAAGGTCTGAGAAGTGAGATAAATGGTGCAGGGAGGAAGATGAAAGCTTAGTTTAAGGCCATCGAAGGGTCAAAATGAAGATGCTCTGGAGAAATTTGGCTCCAGGTCACTCTGTGCATCTTTGCAGAGCTAAATTTCATCAGTGTGTACGAGTTTTTTTTAGCATAGCTGAAATTAATCTCGGTTTCATTTAGCATCTATCGATTGACTGTCATGTCTTTTAAAAGTTTAAAGCTCTCAGATGGGTAAAAATGATGCTGTTTATCCTTGTAAAGCTCAGAGCTTAAGATGCTTGCAGCTCAATCATTATGGCAAGATGACAGGCTTTCTGAATGCTCGGACAAAAGTCCGACTTTGCAGTAAAAAAGGAGACTAATGGCTTTGTGGAAAAGACAGAATATTACGATGACAGTTAAATGAGTGATTTTAAAATGCCAATTAGTCAGAGATCTTACTGAGATATTAAAGGGGACACTTTGATTTTAAGATGAAAGCAGATTTTTTATGTCCCCCCTACCCTCCTTTTCTTGGCATCAGCATTATTCCCTTTTTTCTCTGCATTCTTCCTCGACATTGTAAACCTGGCTGCAGAGTAGGACTGAATCTTTAAAGGAACTGACAGATTTTCTCATCGTGGATGCATTTTCACATAAAGTATGCGCTCAGCAGTGCAGTATTCAAAACAGCTCCACCGTATTGACGCTACAAAGTCTACCAATGTGACAGCTGCTTGATAATACAGTTGGACGTAAATCATGGCATAATTCTCTTGAATATTCTGACTGGGAAGCACATTTCTCCTACTGTAACTCATTTGCTTAATGCATCTCTCTTTTTTTTTCTATCAGCTCTATGTCTCTGTCGAGTTTGGAAGAAGATGGCAGCTTGTGCACGACAGTGTTGTCCCCAACAGATTCTACTGGTGAGTTTAACAATCAGTCTTTTGTGAGGGGATTCATCTTTCTAGGAGAGAAAAAGCTGATGTGTTGTTGCACCATATTTTGACATAGTAAAAAAAAAAAAAACAACAGTATGAATAATAGACAGGCCCAGAACAATTCTACATTAATAAATTAATATGTATGCATTTTTAGCTTTCTGTTTACAGCACTGGAACAGAGGGGAGATGTCTGTAAATATTTACATCAGATTGTAGCATAACTAAGAAGTTCACAGACTCATACTGAATTAATATTTCCTAAGTCTGATCAGTCATTTGCTTATTTACAGTCACATCAACAAAAAGCAGAGTCTGTCATTGAAACGTTAGGTTAAGTAAAAGGATATACTTGTTGATAAAATGAAGTTGCACACCTTTTTACATGTAAATAATCATTAAAGTCAGACTTGAAGGTGGGGTAAGATGGATCTGAGGAAGTGTCAGTTTGTGGGAGAAATCTTGAATGTAAACTCTACCCCTCCTAACCAGTTTTCCCCTCAGCTCCTCCTCTCCCCTCCCGCTCTGCTGCAGCAAGCCCCGCCCACTCAAATTGTTTGAATTAAATTCAGATATAATGCAGATAAATACTTCAGATAATTACAAATGTGGCCCAGTCAACGTGAAAGTAAAAATGCCTTGGTGCTACTGTAGATGCCAACAGACTACCAGCAAACACAATATTTGCAGGACTTCTACTTCCTCCGTTTTAAGCCCCCATTATTTTGCCAAAGTCTCTGGTATTTGCTTCGTTTTCTTGCTTGTGTTGGCAGTCCTGGCCAAATGAGGTTTCAGACAATTTTCCGTACTTTCTGTACGGTACTACTACTACTTCCATACTTCTGTACTGTGGTTGGTTTCTACAGTCCGTTATTGTAGCATGCTAACTTTTGTTGGGCTCGTAAGCGTAAATCGAGGATGTGGAGCGTGCCTCACAACATGACGGGAGGAGTGTCTGCCTCACAACCAATCAGGACTAAGGAGCAGTGTCCGCCAACCAGTCAGGTCGGGGAGGTGGAGAATGGCTTTGTTTACAGTCATAAAGAGCGGGCCACTCGAAAATTTTAAAATGTTGACTACACAGACAACAAAACACAGAAATATCGTGATATTCCCAAATGTCATCAGTAACTAATAGCTACTGACTGATATTAAAACCTTTTTTGTATACACACTACAAAAGTAGATGCTTCTTTAACCGATTCCTGCCTACCCCACCTTTAATTGACCATGACCTCATTTCTCCTTGGAGTTTGAAGTTTCACACAAAAAGTCTGATGAGATAAAATCTTAAACCCCGTATAGTGTGAGCCTGCAGATAGATGTTCAGGAGGTGATTGGGCTGAAAGTTTGTGCGCAGCACTGGTGCAGGACAGCTGTGGGTATGACAGAGCAGAAGGGGAGCCTGAAACTCTTGCATCCTAAGCAGACCGCCTAATTGGGAGGATATGTTTGTCAGGTGATTGTGTGAATGACGCCCGTCAAGTGTGAGAAACAGGGCAGCTCGAAGCGGCTTGCAGGCATCGCTCCATTAGTAACAGTCGATTCTGATGCATCCATGCCGAGTTGAAGTGTATTGTTTTATTGGCTGAACTGCAGCGAGTTTGAACTACTTTATACAGTTCATGTACAGTGTTGTTATTCTGTGCAGGAGTGGCTCACACACGGGTTGTGAGTTAGACTCTCTGTTGTTGAAGTATTTGGTTGCAGCTTTCAGATACATTAATGGCAGTAATTTTCCCTGAAATGCAGCAAAAGCATAAAATTAAGTAAAACTAGATTAATGAGTTTCACTCGAGTATTTCTATTATGTTACCACTCAACACTGATTACAGCAAGGGTAAAAGCTGAGCCAGTCAAATCAATTACTGAGTTTAATAACTTTTCTTTAGTAACCAAATCCCTCTTTTTGATTCGACAAAGGATTCAGATCTTGAAGTATTTTTCATTGGTTTTTATGTCATTTTTTAATTGAACCCACACAATGAATAATTAATCCAATGGAATAACTCTGCTTAAATAACACCGTAAAAGTGCCTGGTTACCACCATGTGTTAAAAATCTAATTATATGCCAGTATGATCAATCAGATTTGATTAATTCTGTATGATATCTGATGTATTTCAGCTAAAGCTGGCTTGATCATATAGCATAGGGCTTCTGGGCGCCTCTTTGAGTGTTTTAGTAATATTAGCTATAAGGTGCTGTTGCAGGGATCATGGCCTAGGATAAATGTTTAATTTATAGATTTTTATAGTTGTTGGCTACAAAATCTATCAGCCAACTTGGATTTAGGTCAGTGCAGTTTTTGCACATTTTGCATGTGGCTGAAATCCACTGACCCCGCACTCATCAGCAATATCACAGGAAACAAAACAGTAAAAACCCTGCAGGGAAGAGATAGTGTGATTTTTGACAAAATATTCTACAAGGACTGCCTCTTATTTACAAAAATATAGTTCAATATATAAGGGGAAGGTCTTTGGTTTTGGGAGAGTAATCTTGATTCGTTTCTGTTTGTTCTGGTTTGTTTGTTTCTGTGGTGAAATTTAAGCTCACAGTAACACAGTTTGCAAGCTTGGAACATCTGCAGAACTCAAAACAGCTGCACGACAAGAATCCACAGTTAATTCTATTATCTATAGGGTCATGCATGCATGATATTTTTCAGTTCATGTAGACTCACAAGACTCTACAAACAAAGCTGCAGAGGGGAAATATTTATCAGACTAAAGCAAAACATCTCAGTAATATTAAAACTACAATCAAGACTATTCCTGTACGCATCATTTTCTAACAGGAAAAGCTCATCAGGAATAGTTGAGGGGGAAAAAAAGGTGTTGCTTGTAAGCCTCATCGAAATCACACGACAATCAGCGCCTTTTTTTTTTTTTGCTGCAGGGGAGCAATTAAATCTGTTTCTGCGGATAAGTGATATGTACCTAAGCTCAGCTGTGCACATATAGATCTTTGTTCCCTGTAAAGCTCTATACTGTTGTTATTTTACAAAAGAATACCTCTATTGAGTAGGTTTGGGTATAACAAGACTCTTTTCCTGATGCACAGGGGAGAGCTGGCGCACGTTAATATGAATTTTACAGTATAATCTGTCTTAAAGATGAAGAAATGAGTGAACATTAAATGCATATAACCCGTTCACCCATCCAAGAAATACAAAATACACCAAACTAAAACTCTTTCAAGTAAGTCACTGTTAAGAGATTCAAGATTCAAGATTCAAGATTTGTTTATTTGTCATATGCATGTTAAACAAGATGAGAGGACCACTCGACTCAAAGGAGTACACATAAAACACACAATAAGTACTTAGAGGAATACAATAAAAATGATACAAAAATATTAAAGATGTATAAGAATATAAGAGAAATTGTAAATTTGTGAAATGGGAGATAAGTTGGTGGGATAAATGAGGTATGAATTGCCATATTGCTCATGATGAATAATGGTGTATGAGTTGCTGTATTGCACATGGCTTAAGGCTTATTAAAAATAAAGTGTATGTCCAAGTGTGTTTAAAAAAAAAACCCACTATATATATTTTAAGAGGATATTTATTGTGTCAGAATGAATTTGTAAAATCAGGCAGTTTTTGGCAGTTTTGGCATCCTACAGCGTTTGGCATGATCCTGTTAAACCATGATCAATCGAAAAACACATCTTTGATGTTCCAACATACTCCCCTTCTGTCTTAGGAAACAAGTCAACCCCGAGTTAGGCATGCCAGAGTAAAACGTTCCCAAAATCATCAGAGATCGGCTTTGTAAGAAGTTCTTTCATCTCACCATTTGCTGTTTGCCTTATCTGAGGAAAATCTGACAAACATGATTTACAAGAACATGTTAACAGGCACCTCTGCTAGTCAGGCGCAGGGTTAGTTATGTGGAGAACACAGCGTTACATTGCAGGCGTTTATTTAAGAGCGAGGGCCCGCTGTTCACTGATAGAATTGGATGAAGTATTTGACAGAAAGTCCATTAAAAGAGATGGAGCTGTGAGGCAATTACAGAGTGCTGAGGGAAGCAGGATGGGGGCTTTCTATATTATAGTTCAGACACAGTATGGAAAATGAGAAGAAACCCATCTTCTGTCACAACAGCTGCTATTAATACAACAAGTGGTCACTCCTGTCGTTCTGCACTTAACCACTATCTTGACGAATCTCTACTGAAAGAGAATGAAATGGCTAAGTACACCTTCGCTATAAAGTACGGCTCAGGTCAAATGTCCGTCAGACCAGTGTTTAAAGATGAGCTTGTTGTATTATTGCTCCTCAGAGAACAGTAAAGCTTTTTTATTTCCCATGTCCCCTTACAAAGTCAAAATGAAAATCAAACTCTAATGTGAAACACTCATACTGCAGTTCTGATGACAGAAAATTAGAAGATTGTTTTGGGACAGCAGCACAATAAAGTCTTTTATTGGAAGGTTTATTGAGCCGCTAAATATTCAAAGAAAATAACTTAAGAGAGTAATAATGGAACACAGATACTTGACAACCAGTTTTTCATTTCTATCTGTGTGTGCTGGAAAATAAGAGGTTTCTGACCTGGGTGTCATAACCAAGTACAGTCCTGTGATAAATCTGATGGGTAACAAGCTGATGATATACTGATGCATGTCTTTTACCCCAAAATAATGACTCTGCCCTCTCTAACAGCTTCTTTTTTTTCTTCATTTGTGAAATCCCTTCACAGCAGTAAGAATCAGGCATTCATAAATCAAACTCTTTATTTGTTTTTACTCTCCTTTCTGTAAATAGACTATTTTTAAAGCTCTGATGAGGCGTCCTCCTTGGACAAAGCAATCTTCGCTTATCTTGTCCTCTACGTGCATCATCCAAAATAAATCTTTGGTAACACTTTATTTGACGCCTATCTCTATAACGCATTGTAAATATATTTATAATGCGTTATAATCACATTATAGCACTGTATAACTATAGTTATAAACACTCATAAATGATCATAATGATTTATGGCAATAATCATAACATATTATAAAAGCATGTTATCATGACTTACAAGGTCAGGTATTATAATGTGTTATAACTGTTAACAACAGTTGTATTGCATTATCTTTGTGGGCATTGTCGGTGAGTTGTTAACAGTAGCGTGATTATAACGCATTATACATATATTTATAATGTGTTTAGAGATAGACATCAAATAAAGTGTTGCCAAGTCTTCTCCAGCTGACCTTAAGCAGTCAAAGGAATCAATCAGCTGGAATATTTCATCTTGAAATTGTAAAAACAGCACATCTTTTCCCTGATGGTCTCATTTGTTTTGGGGTTTCATGAAAAGGCATCAATTTGAATTTCAGTCTGTTTCATAAATAAATGTAAAAAAAAACTCTTTATAGAGGCTTTAAGTAAGTTTCTGAAACACGTCAGAGAAACTTTAAGATTCACTAAAATCCTTACTATCCTAAAAAAAGGAACATATACAGTATGTGGAAAATATCTCCAGGTTCCCCTTAACTTCACTGCTAGTCTTTAAAATATAACTTTTATAGGGTGACTATTCGTCCTCTTTTACCCGGACATGTCCTCTTTTTGAGGGGCTGTGCGCCTCGCCCGGGGAAGTTTATAAAGTCCTTCAAATGTCAGCGTTTTTCTACATAAGTTTCGAGTTTGTGTCACATGGACTTACTGAGTTAGAAGAGCATAAAAGACACTTGATCCGACCTGAAAAACTCTCCAAATTAACTTTGTATGACTCCGCCCCTGCGTAGTCGTGTCCTCTTTTGGGAATTTAGAACTTCACCGTAACTTTAAGCTAACCTAATATGTGCCTTAATAGCTTACTTTATGGATAAACCAGTTTATTTTTTATACTGTACGTAACATAGTTATTCTCAACTAACATTTACATTTCAGCACTTTAGTCATAAATAAGCTATGAAGGTAAGAAGGCCAAAAAAAACCCCACTGCTCTTTAGTGTCTAGGCTTGAAACAAAATATAACTTCATCTTAAGAGTCCACAAGCTGAGACGGTCTAATTTCATAACCATAAGTGGGTGCAGTATTTCATTATTAATGAACAGGATTTTATCATTAATTGACATCTAGCCTGAAGAAGAAAACTGATCCCTCTCTCCTGCGTTGTCCTGGTGTTACAGGTCCAGACTGGGTCTCGACAAAGAGCAAGGGATGATTCACCTGGAGATCAGCGTCTCTGATGGGCGTGAGTAAAAAAAGAGTTTGTACAGTTTGTACCGACATTTGTTGCAATACCCAACCCTGCTTCAGAAACTAACTTGGGAGTGATTTAATCTTTTTGCTGCCCTCACTAAAAACCGCGTCCCCCATTTGAATTGGCTTGGTGGAGACTCTTCATACGATTAAGCTAATTCATTTTTTAAGGGCTGGGCTGTGACTTGGCTCTGTTCTTGGCCACAGTGCAAAGAGGAGGGGTCTTCCATAAGGCCTTGTGTGTTAATGCCCCGTCCCTGGGGAGGCTGCCTCATTTGGCTGATGCTAACACACTGGGACAGCACTATCTACTTTATCTATTAGCAAGAATAAGAATTGGCCTCTAAAATGTTGCATCAATGGCTCGGTTAATGCCATCAGCATAAGTGATGCAAAACCTTGATTTTGAGCTACAGAAGGTTGTCTGTTTTCCCCTTTGCTGTTTTTTTTTTTAAGCATCCGTCTCTTGTTTCCCCACAGGGTCACAGTACATAACTTGTAAACTTCAGAATTGCTCTGATGGAAACAAGGGCAAGCCTTTCCCTGGATTTATCATCCCTGATTCCCTGGTGGTTCAGGATGAATACGTTTTTATCCAGGTGGGTTTTTATCGCAAGGTCTGGCTTCATTAAAAGACAATTAAAAGCCATAAAACCACTGCATTCAGTTGCATCTTAATGTACAGTCAAGTTTTTCATTAACTAAAAGGGACCATTATCCTGAGAAAAGATGGCATTGGAAGTGAAGTCACAGTGTCGTGTACTGTACTAAAACTCTGCCACAATACAAAACATCCTAATTAGTGGCAAACTCAGAGTTTTGATGGTGGTTTTAATTGTTTAAAAACATGCTGCCAGCAATCAGCGCACCCGGTGAAGTTTATGAATATTCACCTGACTTGTGATGAGCTTCAAATTGCTCTATTATGCTTGTTTTTAGGTGCCAATAGGTGGCCAGTCTGTCCATTATGTGTCCTATAAAAGAAACGCTTTCTACCCCATGAAGCTTCCCAAGTACACACTGCCAAAGGTAAGAAGACTGCTGCAGAGCGAGGCGTGTTTAGTGAACCAGTCCCATGCAGAGACACAATCTGCAGAGCAAGTGCAGCGCTCATTTCACTGTGAAACACTCATACTTTCAAATGGTTTTAAATGGGCTTGTTCCCAGTTAGTCATGATGTTTGCTGACAAATCCATTAAACTGTTTACTCCGCATTATTACCCTCCTGAAAACTGATTTGCCTATTCATAATTATATCTTCAGATCTCATGTTTATTCAAGAGCCATGCTTAGTTTTTAATCAATTGCCCTCCCTTCTGTATCAACAGATACTGAATTGATGAAAATAAATCTGGTGCCGCTCAGTTTATGTTCCCGAGAACTTGTCTTTGAAGAAAAGCCCAGTGTATTTGCACAAAACACAGTTTGCCACTGGCTTTCATTCAGTAAAGGCACAGCTAGATGGCTTTGCGGTTTGAGTGGTCATTTTATGTCAACAGGAGAGATTTAGAGCCCACAGTGTTGCGTCGGTCCAACCATCCATCCATCCATGTATTCTGTCAAAGTTTCTTTGAGTTGGATACACTACTTCTCCCCACACTGGATAAAAGGTTCTGTAAAAATTAAATGGAGCCTGTCTTCACTGTTAGTGCATGGCATGAAACGCCTGAGGTCTAATCCCTGCTGATCCTGACTGAATCTTGTCAAGAAGTGACAAATCGCGAGCTAGCTGCATGAGCTCTGGAACCTCTGTGCTCTCATTTTAACACTGTTTTACTGAAAGAACTCCTTTAAACCATCAGTTTTTCTGGCTGCTTAGCAGTGTCCTCCGCACAGAGACAACTACTGATGAGTTAAATCTGTTCAGGACTTGCAGATCATCAGCACTGATGATAACCAGGTGGTAGCAGCGATTCAGGACTGGCACCAGAACGATTCATACAACCTGTACATGTCGGAGTCCAGAGGGCTGTTCTTCACCCTAATGCTGGAGGACGTTGTGAGCAGTGGAGGACCTGAAGGCAACATCATGATCGACCTCTATGAGGTGGGCAGCTACAGTGCTGTTGGGCTGGTGCGGTCATCCTCTTATACCTGTGGTTATTCAGGCACACTGGATTCAACACTAGCCTTGTTGTTTAACGCTGCAGCTTATGGGACAATATTACACAAATAACGTCTAACATAATTATGTGCAATCATTTGTGAAATTTGTACAAGATTGAGAAAACTGATCTAAAACTTTTTCTTAAGATCTACACTTAAAGGCATGGTTGACGATCTGAAGAGCTGTTGAGGCAGATTTGAAAAAAGCGTCCCACTCCCCACACACAAACCTCACCCCTCTGTGCCCCACAAACTCCCCCCAAACCTGTATCATCCTCCTCACGACACACCCCCTCTGGCAGAGCAAAAAGCCAACCAGCAGAAGATCCTACGCTAGCTTCAAATAGGATTCACCATGTCGGATTGCTCGTGACTAGCGGCGGTAAACGCCAGCTCTGCTAGCGATCACTGTCTGCAGCTGCCTGGACAGCTACCATGTTGACATTGCAGAGACTAATAAGCGTTATTTATGTAACATGTGCCACAATAAAAGGCAAAAATTACCTGTTCAACAAAAACTCTGCTGTCTCGGCGTCTGTTTTCAGGCCCAAATCCTGGCAGAGCTTTCTCCACCGCTTGAAGGGTGACCCAATGTTTATTCGAGTTAGATTCCTTGATTGCTCACATTTTCTCTTCGACTTTGCCCTTTCCTCTGTCGGCTTGCATTTTCTTCCCACTTTTGGCGGTGGGGCAAGCAGAAGTATTTTTTCCCGTCCTTCTCCATCACAGCTCCTGTAGCTAAGCTGCTACGCTACTTTTAGCCGCTCAGAGCTCTGAGGAGGGCCGGGAGAGTGGGAGGAGACGAGTTGCAACTACGGGAGAGGGGTGTGTCGAATACAGCGAGGTGATTGGACGGAGAGGCGGAGCAGGAGATTGACCAGTAAAAGCTGTTCGGGACGGATGGCTCCCATTGGTCAATGTTTTTGCAGCCCTGCACCTGCTAGGGTGAATGGATTTTTTCCATTTTTTTTCTCTTTACTTTGTGGAGATCACACTATAGGACCATGATCGCCATATAAACGCGGCTCATAATAATTACCAATCTTTCCAATCGTCAACCATGCCTTTAAATTGCCTTTCTATAAGGAACAGTGGACAGAGCAGGAAATAGGGAGAGACCAGGGAATGGAGCCATAAGCTGGAATCGAACCCTGGTTGCTTAGGGGGCATAACCTCTGTATGTGGGCTTCATGTAGGCCATAGACACCCTTCTTAAGTAACCCTTCTGTTTGTTTTCTTGGAAATTTGGCCTCAATAATTCTCTGAATATTAAAATAACCGCTGATTGATTTTGATGAGCTTACTTTGTATTTTGGAATAAATTGGCTTTTGAACTGTTTTTCCAAAAATATACTTCTAATGAGAAAAACGTTGGACAGCTTTTAATTAATGATGTAAATAATTCTCTTTGAACACTTAGATTAAGCACCTCTTTGCCAAATTCATCAATCAAATCACCTTCTTGTGCGATTTACAGTCTCTAATTCTCCTCACTTTTTATCATGAGGTATAAAAATAAACTGGAGCCAACATGGGAGGAATATGCGATAAAAAAAGTTCCCATTTGCTGATTTTTGCTCTCAGTTAACAGCAGAGTACAAAATTCAAGAGAAAACTGTAAAGGCCACCGACAGCCTAAAACTTTCTGTGAGTTTATCTTGATTTTCTGCCATGTTTTCCTTAAGTGTACTCTGTGCTCAGATGTCTTAGATGTCCCCACATAATGGAACAGATGTTGCTGCATTGCATTTTATTCCGCTGTCCCTCTCTACTATCCTCTTCCTGCCTGCTTTTATTATCTTTTCTATGCCAAAATGTCATGCAGTAGCACATTAGCTAGGTTCTGTCTTAGGATAACACACCGTCTATACGCATATACAGGAAAAGCAGTGTCACTTTAAGCCTCTTGTTACACCGCCTGCAGAATAGCAGCTTTAAGTTGTGCTCTGGATATGTTATATGTGTGTCGACAGGGGTACTACTAGGTTGCGGTGACCGCACGTGTGTGTCACTCTGGATTATCCTCATCTGCAGCCAGCAGTAAAAGCATCGCATTGTTATTAACACACACCTTTGAAAGCCATCAGTGCTAGCTACTCTGGCTGCTCACTGACCTACACACTCACACACTAAATCCTGAAATATTTAGCGGCAATGATCTGACCAGCAGTGGATGTAAAACAGTCAACCTGCCACTGACGAACAAGTAAGCTCTTTAAACGGAGGAGAAATGTGAATACTGCACATGAGGCTGCATCTCTGCACATAAAAACAAAGAGTAAGAAATATCTCAGGGCTGCGCCATATGTTGTTTTGATTCTGCAGAGTCCTACAGATGGTCTAAAATAGTGCTCCCTGTCAGAAAAGCTATCACTTTCAGACATCTCTTCCTCTCCGAACTAGGCCTTCAGCTTTACTTAAGTCTGAATAATTCACAGTTTTTTCCCCCTCCCTTTTTTGTTGTTTTCCCTCTATCCCTCTCTCTCTCTCTCTTTCTCTCTTATGTTTGCAGGTTGCTGGGATTAAAGGGGTGTTCCTGTCAAATAAAGTTGTTGAGAACCAAGTGAAAACTTATATCACATACAACAAAGGGAGAGACTGGCGCCTTCTTCAGGCTCCAACAACCGATCTCCAGGGAAACAAGGTCTATTGTGAACAAGTAAGTGGGCCACTGACAAGAGAGAGATTTGCTTATTTGGATTTCTGTTATCTGCTCAAACAAATACTTCCCTGGATCCTGCTGTAGTATGGTCAAAGACTGTCTCTCATATGAAGGAAGCTCTGAAAAAGTCAGGAACTGCACAGACCTTTCAAATAATTGAACATACCTGAAGGGTTTGGGGTTTGAGGTTGGAGCATGACTGATACTGTACGGATTACCGAACCTCTTGAAGCCTACTTGTCCTAAATCAGAAAGACTTTCATCAATGTCAAAAGTCTGAATCACAACCATTTTTTTCCCAGTTTGAAACTGCCCATTCATCTATTACACTAAACACTATCGAGGTATGGTGAATTTTACAACAGAGTATTAAGGCCACATTAAGAAGAAAAAAAATGTAGACTTTGAGATTAAAGTCGTTAATTTACGAGAATAAAGTCGTAATAAAGTAATTATAATACTTGAAATAATGTGTTGATGTGCCGAAAGATTAATATTTCCTTGTTTGAGAAACCTTTATTGAAGTAAATTTTCACAACAACTGTCATCTCAAACAACAGGGTAGAATATGAGGTCTGTATTCTGACTTTATTCGTGTAAGTAATTACTTTATTACAACTTAATTCTCATAAATGATTTTATTTTGACTTTATTCTTGTAATTAATAGTTTTATTTTAACTTTATTCTTGTAACTAATGATTTTATTACAACCTTATTCTCGTAATTAATAGTTTTATTATGACTTTATTCTTGTAACTAATGATTTTATTACAACTTTATTCTTGTAAGTTAATGATTTTACCAGACTTTATTCTTGTAACTAATGATTTTATTACGACTTTATTCTCATAATGATTTTATTATGACTTTATTCTCATAAGCTAATGACTTTAATCATAGTCTTATTTGTTTTTTTTTTATATGGCTCTAATAATTTGTTGTAAAATTTAAATACATGTTTCTATTAAATAGTTTTTTCCATCATTTTAACTTTAAGCAGTTGTTGCTGAATTTTATCATTGTACATATACAGTAAATATAAAATAAAAAAAGAAGTTTATGAGTCCATAAAAACATTCAAATAAGAATAAAGTTTGTCCTTTACCAAAGACAGCCATGATAAAAATTTCACAGAGGCAGTTTTACTAAAGAAGGCTACCACAAATATGTCTTTCATCTAAACTACCGTTTCATATACTGCTGCCTTTACCACTGCTTCAGCTCACTCCTCTTGATCTCTTACTTTACTGGCTTTTGATAATAATAAAAAAAAAACCTTGAGAATGGAGCATTAATCATTACTACTAAAGCTTTGGTGTTTTCAGCTTTTTAAAGTTTCTGTCTGTACTTTGATATTCAACACCAACAGCACCACTTTACCCCTTTTACTTTTAACAGAGGCTCGATGGTGTACAATAATATGATCGTAACATTTTTAATTGTAAAACTCCCCGTCCCAGTTTTCTCAGATATATCAGTTAAAGCATTCAGCCTAACTTTTTCCACAGAAATGCTGTTTCGTCTCAAACCTATCCTATCCTCATCTCATTTTGACTTGAGGAAACTAATCTGCTTTGTGTTTCTGTGTTTCTGCAGCCTCACTGTTCCTTACATCTCCACCTGCATGTCTCCGAGAATCCCTACACCTCTGGGAACATTGTCAGCAAAGATACAGCTCCAGGAATTATAATAGCATCAGGTGAGGAGCTTATTTGATTTGCACCTTCGATTTTTCACATCCATACTGTTGTTTACTTTCAGTCATCTCGCTCCCGGTTCTCAGGTTGTGTTCCCAGCTCTGTCTTTTTCAGCTTACAGGAGTTTAAAAAAGGAAAATCAGATCAGTCTTTCTTGCAGATCTGCTCAATAGTTTGTCAGTGGAAAAACATACACACTATGTTGATGCCTAACTTTTTTATTCAGGTGTGGTTGGACCTGAGCTGACCAGTACTAATGTCAGTATTTTCATCACATCTGATGCTGGAAACACTTGGAAAGAGGTACAGTAAGATGTTTTAATAATATCCGCTTTTCTTCACCTTTACTTTTTAGAAACGTGGCAAGTTCAATCACGTTTCTCTTTTTACTGCAGGAGCTTTTTTTAAACTTGCCTTGAACTTACCCCCAATTTAATGCAGACACAATGAAAAAAAAAAAACCTCAACATCAGTCAGACATTATCTGAATAAAAAACACACTGGATCTGATCTGGCTTTCTATGCTAACTTTCAGCTCTCCCTTTTTTTTTTTCGCTTTTGGTGCTTGACACCGTTACAGAGGAATAAGGAATTGAGGTTTGACACACAGGCTTGTTGTGTGAGACATGTGCATCTCTGATCTGCAAAACCGATAAACCAAAAAGAGCTCGCTGAGTTTTGCCATCGGCTTTAAAAACTCTGCAAACCAACAAAGAAAGCAGCCCTTGCTTGATGCATTTGTTTACCCACACAACTGAGACTCCTGTGTAAAGAGCATTTGAAGTTTCTACTCGTTTAGTGTGTAGGAGTAAAGACGCGTGTTCCCTATGTTGTCAGTGATGCATACTGTGTGTGTCGACTTAAATGATTCCTCTGGTGTGATAAAAAGAAGCTGGTGGTGTGTGCAGGTTTTTCAGGAGGAGTACAGCGTGTTTTTCCTGAATCAAGGAGGATCTCTGGTGGCCATAAGACACACACCTCTGCCAATTAGACATATTTGGTAAGGATTTCCGAGGACGGAGTGCATCGTTTTTAGGGACTACACCCGATCTTTAAAACAGGGGCTGAGACTGTTTCCCTGCTTGAGGCTTTTCTTGCTGACTTGTGGTGGGTCTGTTTGTGATCTAACCATTGTTCTCTCCCTCAGGCTGAGTTTTGATGAGGGCAGAAACTGGGACAAATATAGCTTCACCTCCTCTCCTCTCTATGTTGATGGGGTGCTTGGGGAGCCTGGAGAGGACACCCTCATTATGACGTAAGATATAAAGAAATCAGTAAGCGCTGAAATGTCTCTAGTTTGTTAATTAACACGCTGAGAAATTATATGTCAACGAGATGAAGTCTTAGAAGTGAACATGGGCTTATTTAATGTGGTTTTGAAAGGGGTTTCATTAGCCGAAGATGTAGGGAAGTTTCCTCAGCCCACAGGGGGGACATGGATCAAAGTCAGAGCATCAGATTATCTAGATTTAGGCTTTTCTCCGCTGAATTTACCCATTTACTAAATGTTCCTGACCGTGTTTGTCTGACTTGTTTGTGCAGAATATTTGGTCATTTCAGCCATCGATCTGAGTGGCAACTTGTGAAAATTGACTTCCGGTCCATTTTCCAACATCGCTGCACATCTGAAGATTATGTGACATGGCAGTTACACAATGGGGTAAGAGGATCCTGCTCCTCCCCGACTGGTGCTAACATGAGACTTCTTGTCATTGATTAAACTCTGTTGAATCTCTTTGATTCAGTCACACAATAAAAGCCAGATGGCTCCCCAAAAAAAAAAAAAAACGAGAGATAAAGAACCTCTGAAAATGTTTTTGATCCATTATTCATCACAGGATGAAGTGTGCATCATGGGAATGAAGAGAATCTTCCAGAAGCTGAAAGCAAACGTTCACTGTGTCAAGGCCAGAGATCAGTATATTTCCCAGATGTCAGACTCCTGCCCGTGCACAGAGGCAGATTTTGAGTGGTGAGTTCCCCGCTCTGCAGCTTCTCCTTTCACTTCATTAAATCTAGTGCACAACGCTTTATATGTCTCCAGAGGCAGAGACTGTAAGGCAGACCGAAGGCACAACAAGAGGAGTATTTGAAGATTTATATGTCATAATTCATAACCTCTTTATCATATTTCTGTTATCTTTCTATAGGATCTCTGCAGTTCACTTGGCTGTAGCTTATAGAGTTATGCATGAATAATTAACTTGATTTATAGCTTTGCAGAGTTTTGCAGTCTAGTTACCAAATCTGGAGTGTTTGAGTCTCAGCCCAGTCCTCGTTTTTTAATATTATCACTAATTATTAGATCACCACTATTTCACTCCAAACTATTAAGTGTGTGAATCTCAGGAACTAGGTGAGATGTTGTTCTGAAAGTGAGGAAAAGCACTGCATTTATTAACTTTAGATTCTGGTGGATCTTGTCGGCTTATCTGCACATCTAAATTATCAATGAAGTTAAAGCGCTGTGTGTCATGCACCACATCTCTCTCTGGAGATACACAGTGTTCCTGCCGCAGGAGTCTGATTAACTCAAAAATACCTGCAACTCCCTCTCTATTACTCAGAGTTTTACCTGAACATACACCTTTGACCCAAGGGTTAAATTACCCATGAGGCCAACATAAACACGAGCACATTAGCAGCTGGCTGAGAGTAATGTAATCATTAGTACTGTGCAGGTAGCTTTTGCGTCTCAATTACTCTCCTGGGTTTAACCTGGGCAGATGTCTGTTGAGGTTTTAACTCACCCAGTTTTTCTTGTTGGCTCTTTTACACATTTAACATACTGAAGGGCTCATGCTTGAGTTTGAGATAAAATCTTTGAAAGCAAAACTCACAATCTATGGCACCTCTTTAGGTGACATGGCAGGAACAGTTGAATCAAGACCCTATACTTAAAAACTGACCCCCAAAAAACAATTAAGTCATTCTGAAAAATAAATACGTTTGAGTCTTCTCCATCTTCTGAGTCTTATTGCTAATGCTCAAATCCAAGTCTGGGTCAATGGTGCTAAAGCCAGAGTCAAGTCACAAGTCCTGAAAATCAGGATTTCAGCCCAAGTCCTGGACTTGAATAGTTCTACACTGGCAAAAAATGTACTTTTAAGTGATTTATGTCTTTTCTGGCCTCGACCATTTACTGCAAATGAATAAAAGTAAAAATATTCACACTGATGTTTAACATAAATCTCATTATTGTCATTGTTAAAATCATAAGTTTATCGTATTTGAGTTATGGTGTAAAGTTGCTCTATTAAGCACCCCAAATTAGATAACTTGAGTTTGCTGTTCATGGTTTAGATTGATTTATTAATTTGCCCAAATTTCCATTAAAATATTTGAGAATTTGATCATGTTTTTTTTTTTTTAACCACAATTAAGATTAATAGATGTAAAAAAAAAATATGAATAAATAAACAGAAAAAAGACGACTGAAAATATTGAAGTCTGTTCTCAGAAATCAGAGGAACAGTTCAGCCGCTTTAAAACGGTTTTCTCTGTGTCTAATGAGTCAGAACTTTGTGTACGTCACTTCAGCATCTCATACTTTCTTTTATCTCTCTGATCTCGCTCTCAGAGCTAAATGAGCAGCACTCACAGCTATATTAAACAAGCTTAACACCACGTAATTACTATAAGGCATATTAAACTTTCCAACTCTGGCTCCTGAGATTGTGTTCCCCCTGAACACAATGACAGGAATCTGACAGATCTCTCTGACTCTGCCAAGGTAATAATTGCAAAGTGTGCTAACACGCACAATGTCTTCTCTGCTCCAAGAGTTTGATACATAAAACATCAAATCTTACATTCTCTAAGCTGCTGGGCTGTTGCAGGTTCTCTGCTGTCTGTAACTCCTCTACTGTGTGTGATTCTGTTTGAGCTTTGTATTGGATATTCTAAATAAATGATAAGTAATCCCAATTACTCCCTCTTTGTCTTCCACCTGAAACAGTGACTACGGGTTTGAGAGACAGGTTGATGGGAGCTGCACTCCGGCTTTCTGGTTTGTTCCTTCTGCAACCTTGAGAGACTGCATCACAGGAGACAGCTTCCTAAACACCACAGGGTACGCCCGCCTGGATGTTTGTATTGGCATGATATAAGGGAGTAGTAGATATCCAAGCATACAGATGAACAGTGGTGGAAAGAAACCAGCATACCTTTTTTTTTTGTGAACAAATTTTAGTGAAATTGTAATACACGATGATAACATACCATACTTTTAAAAATAAACCTATTCCCCCTCCTTCCACCCAACCCTTCAGAGCTCCTTATCCTAAGTTACATACATATCTCATTGACCGTATATACTATAGACAACATGGTTCTGCCTTCCGCCAGTATACGGGATTTATGACCTATACTGCAGCCCGTCACCAGAGGGTGCTGTTCTCGAGGTGGCTTCACCCAGCGAGGAGGCAGACGGCGCTTATTCTATATACAGTCCATGATATATCTTAACGATCACTAAGGCAGGACAAGTGCCTGTCAACAGCAACAACTTTGCCAAGTGAGGCACATCAAAACAGATAAAAATGTACATAAAAAAAAAGATTTACACTGTAGAAAAGATTGTTGACATGTGGCATGCCAGCATTCCACGAGAGCCGCCCCACACCCAACAATGAACTATGGTCTCTGTCAAAGCCCACTTTGTCCACAGATCAGATATTACTACTCTACATTAATACAAAGTACAGAGATAGAGACCAGATAATAGGTTTATTAACTACACAACAGGAAGCAAGGTGTTACTATGGAGCATATACTTATCAGTATTTGGTGCCTGTGCTTAACTAGAATATCCAGATTGTGTAACCTCTCGTGGTAAATCTTGTTCCTTAAATATCGCTGTATCTCTCTCAAAGCCTCTCCACACGTCACCTTTTAAAACTGAACACATTTAAAAGATTAAACCAGCCATTTTGAACCTTGTTTGTTTTTTTTCCCCCTAAAGAGAGTCTGTTAGTCTGGTTGTGGCTCTTTGTTGTATTTAAGTTGTCTATAGGTTGTTGGCTGCTTCATGAACAAGACGTTTTGCCTGTGAACTGCTTTTAAAATGTCAAGCGAGGCCCACTGATTTGTTCCACAGTCCAGGCTCAAGGCAAAAGTGTCTTATCTTTAAGAGTGCCTCTTTGCAACAACCTGCCACAAAAAATAAAGACCCCAGAATGAGTTTCGATTTTAAATACCCTCTTAAACACACATTCGTACAAACAAGCTTTTGTGTACTCTTTAACACTATCAGTATCCATTACGATGTGAATATGTTTCTTGCTGATTTCTCCTGGAATTGTGTTTGATTATCAAGATGGGTACAATACACTCATGCATATTTTAAACATTATATATCTGTGATTACCAGCAAGATTCGGTTTCACCACTCGTTGAGAATCACTGTGGGCTCTCAGTGGGTAATGTGGATGTGTTAAACAAATTAAAATTTAATTTAATTGGAGAGAAAAATCATTTAAACTACAACTTTGCGCTGAGAGGAAAAGGATTACACATAGCATTAGAAGTTTCTGATTAGGGGCGAATTCATAACAATAACCAACTAACTATCAGCCATGGGGGAGGGATAGGCTTCAAAGCAGAAATACTACTGGAGGGTTTTTCAGGTAGTTCTCTCCCTCTCTCCCACAGTGCCTCACCTTTATTATAGTTGTTTCAAACAAATTCTGCCTTTTTTGTTTACTATCAATGTCACGTTTTCAGTTTTGTGAATATTTTAAGCAGAGTTTCTCACTAAACTTTTGGAAGAGTGAATTAAAAGTCTACAGTCTGATTGAATCTGTTTGACGAACTACTGCCACTAATGCTTTCTTCTAGTTTTATTACTTATTGTTGTCAGTAAGTAGTTTTAGGATGAGCTGCAGCCAAGGTTGCAGGCAGTTGTGGTGCATTACAACTAGTGTTGTGTAGCTCGCAAACGATTCGTTTAAAAGAACCAAATCTTTTAGGTGAACTTACTGAACCGAATCACTTTCTTGAGTGATTTGTTCGTTTCTCACTTAAGCGTGAAGTAAGAAACAGCATTGCCAGTCGAGCAGCTAGCGAACGAGGGACCGTATGCACCGATGCCTGAATCACTTGGTGAACGAATCATGCTTTGAACTACACTCTCTGGAATCATTTTCGAATTTTGAATTCATTTTTACAGCTATATTGCCATCAGAACAACTTGCATACAACAGGACACAGCATGTAACAAGTAGTGCATTAAACCTGCAGCATCCTATCATTGCAGCGGTTTGCGAGGGAACGGTGAATGTTCTGTGTGAATTCTTCTAAACGTTCAATGAGCAAATCACTCACTGAGCCCAATTTTCCGAGCAGACATGTTAATAGCATACCATAGGACAGTACACTTAAAACATCATGACTTATGAACAAGTTCATTTTTACTAACCTGTTTGTCAAAGCAACACAGCCCAACACTCTTGTCTCCCGGTCCCAGAAGCTTTGAATTGAACTGAATCCTGAAACGTTCAGCTGTGTATCAGTTCAGGAGGTCAGAGTCGAAAGACTTCTCCCGAAATGATTCAGTGATTTGGTGAACGAATCTTTTGAACGAATCTTTTCAGTGAACTGATTCTAGTGATTTAGTACATTTAGTACAGAACTGCCGTGCCCATCACTAATTACAACCATAAACTGGTAAAAATATAAATAATTTAATGAGATAAAAGGTGCAACACCGGTTAGATTTAAAAAAATATGAATTAACAACTTTTTAAACATTTAAAAACCATGACCTCCTCTGTACCACCAGGCCAACCACACAGGAGGATATGCCTCCCTCCAAACCTGTAAACCACACGCTGTATTTGTTAGTTCTCTAGCAGAGACTGAAAAGTCAAGTTGTCACAGATAGTAAGTAAACACTAAACATTCAATTAAGCACTGTTGTGTTGTGAATGACAGATTGTAACAGTATTAATTTCTGTTTCATCGTTGGATTTAAATATCCTTTAATTGCAAGTCAGCTCAAATGTGCCCACTTGAAACTGATGGCTGGTGTTGATAAAAGGCTAATTGAACTGACAGAGCTGTGGGAGTATGTAAACAAAAACACTTCATTATATCTATTATGAATGTCTTCCTGTGTGTGCATTTGTCTGCTTTAATACTCATGCTCTTTTTTTCTTTTTTTGATGAATCCCAGATATCGCAGAGCTTTGTCAAACAACTGCACCGAGGGAACGCAGCTGAAGTACAGCCCCAGGCGACAAAAGTGTCCCACTCAGGCACCCAGGGGCCTCCAGCTCTTCACCAGTGAGGGAACACTGGTGGCAACACTGGGGAGGAATGTCACTTTCTTGGTCTTCCTGGAAGAGGTGCTGAGTTGACATAAACTAAACCACAACATAGTGTGTAACATTGTGAAATTTCTTTTCTGATTGAGATCAGTCGCTGACATATAGCACAGAGGCGGGAGCAGCAGCATGTCAAGTAAATATGCTGTGACAGGATTTACAACATGTCTTCTTTCTTGTAGATATTATTGAACATGCATGCTGTTTTGTGTCAGTGACAAACATCTGGGGCTACAGTGTGAGTGACAGTATTATGTTTCCTTTCTGAAGGGTCTGGGCTCCACCACGAGCATAACAGTGGACTTTGGTGATGGGACTTCCATATCTTATGTAAACATAAGCTCCATCGATGACGGGATCAAGCATATCTACAATAAAGTCGGCATCTACCAAGTTTCTGCTACAGCGACCAACAGTCTGGGCTTTGACAGGGTGGTCCTCTACCTCCACATCTCCTGTGAGTCTAAAACAGAAACTGTTGAGTCAAAACAATCTAATCCTGTTAACTTTGAATGAGTTATTTTGAGGAAACTGTCATTTTTTTTCTCAGTATGATCTATATTAGGACCTACATTATTTACCTTTACTTTAAAGAGGAATTTAGTGTCGCCAGCAGAGAAAACATGATATTATTTCCACTTGGGTTCCTTTCTAGTGGAGAAAACCTAAAGAGGTACACTGTATTGTGAAAAAAATAGTGATCAAGTTCACTCTATAGTACTTTTTTACAGGACTTTATACTATTAAGTGTACTCATGATGCCCTTCCAGTGGAAAAATTACAATAGTGTCCATTTGGCTGACCTTTTAGTGGAGTAAAACTAAGAAGTATGCTCCACAGTAGCCTTATAAGGAAAGAAAATGATGGACACCGACTTTTAAGGGAGAAATGAAGATAAGATTACCAAAACTGACTTTTGACAGAGAAAAAAAATGGTAGAAGTGTCTCTTTTGGACACTCTTTTAATATTGGAATGTGCAAAATGCTCTCTTAGGTCCATTCCTAATAAAAAGAAAAAAACATGATAGTCTCCTCCAAGATGACCTACATGTGGAGAGAACTTTCATGAAGTGCTCTTTGAGCTGCCCTACCAGAGAAGAAAAAATGTTCCTCCTTAGTGGATAAAATGTTCACTTGAATGACCATTAAGATTAGGAAACTTGACAAAAATTTTCCATTGTGTATTTTCTGTAGAAAGAATGATAAAAAGTATCTCATAGGATGCCACTGACAAAACGTAACTTCACCTTCTTTAAAGCAGCACCTTTACCTTCACCTGTGTTCAGAGTGCCTCACAAAGGCAGCAGACTCAAACAGGCAGGACATTAAAATAAAGGCTAAAAAAAAACGATTAAGAAATAACTTGAAGTACTGGTACATCAAATTTGTTTGGGGAGCTATGAAAGACATGAAATTCTCATAAATGGATTTCAGTAGTTTTTGATTCTGGTGAAAATTAGAAAGCAAATAACCGCGACAAAAAGGTTACGGGTTAGGAGATCAAATTCAACAAAAGCTCTTTCCTCTTCATCCTCTTTTGACAACAGATGCAGTATGATTTTAACCACATGCTCGAAATCATTTTGCGCTTTTATTTCACCCCCTACCCCTCAGACAGCCATCAAGACAAGAGACAACAAGAATATTAAACTATAAAACAAATATGCTCTCAAATCTTTTATTCTCTCTTCAAATTGGCTCATTAAAGCGAGAGCCATCCGGAGTTTCGAGTGTGACTCACTCTGCGTTGGCCTCAGAAGCGACTGTTTGTCTTCTCTTTATTGACAGAGAAGATCAGCAGTGGTCAGTTTCAGTTGAGCTCATTATAATGGATACCAAATGTGACATTTTCAGAACATCCATGGAAACTTGTCAAACCGCTCCTGCTGTGCAATCAACTTCCCCTTTGTTTGACACTCAGAGCGTTCAAACAGCATCTGTCTGCCTACAGTAATGCTGTATCTGTGGTTATACATAATTTTGAGCTCTGTTTTGAGTAGTATTTGGACAATTTCGAATAAAACATGAAAATGTTGTTTTTGTGATCTCTCTCCAAAGGTCAACTTGAGCAAGTTCAGCTCTTGGCCGCATCTGTGGTTGTCAAGAACAAAGCAGTTAACCTCACAACGGTGTTACGCCCCAACAACGTGGGAACGGTCACCTATTACTGGTGGTTCGGTAACAAAACAGAGGCAAGCCTCACCTCCGCGCTCTCCGCTGTGTAACAGAATGACTCAATAGATTCACACGTCACGGTGAATCTTCTTCTCTGTCACTTTGTCTTTCAGCCGGTGGTGACCTTGGATGGAGCGATGTCTTTCACTTTCTCCTCAGAGGGGAGTCACTCTGTTGTTGTTCAGGCTGCAGTGGGAAATACAGTCCATCAAGATGAGATGACTGTTGCAGTTTATGGTGAGCTGCATGTTGTTTTCTTCACCATTTTATTTCATCTAAATACTGTAACAGCATGCAGATTATGTAATCCAATGTGTTTGTTTAATTGAGAGTGAATCAGTACTTTGAAATCCTTAATACTGCCAGTGATCAGCATTTTGAAAACATCTCCTTTATCTAGATCTGCAGACTTGTTTTTTTTTTGTAGCCTAAATCAGTGGGCAGAGTTCTTTTCATGCCGATGGCTCAGTTCTTATCACACGTTGCATAACAAATATTTCGGCCTAGGTAAGACACAATGCTGTGAGAGCTGTCTCTTTATTTCCAATTATTTTCTGTGAACAAGAAGGATTTTGAACTCCACAAGCATCCTGAACTTCTGACATGTTTTGGAGGAGTGTTCTGAATGGATTTTTTTAGTCATTCATTGTCCAATCAGATTGATTTAGAGGCGCACCACCTCTGGAGGTGACAACAAAGGTAACCGTTGTGTTGAAACAAATAGCCTTAGAAGGAAAACTATAGACTGCGTATTAAAATGAATCATGTCGGCCAAAAGATCAAGTGTCACTGACTGGCTGAATTACTGATCATAAACCGCGCCTTCTCCGTGGAAACAGGTGGAACACTACTCAGACTATAAAATTGAATAATACATCAGATTTAAATTTCTTTAATTTGTTGTCTGTCATTTTCTGTCATTCTTAAAGTGCGGACTTACAAGTGTTAATTTTATTTACTTATTTGATTTCAAAACAATAAATGATTGACAGCTCTGCTCCTGCAGTGCTCTGTATTGGATTACCGGAGTACAAGAGGAAACATGGAGGCAGATTTTTGGCTTCACACTCCTCAATAGGCAGAAATAAAAGCACATTGTCCATGTGGTGGATGAAACAAACCAGGAATTCTGTTGCTGTGAATTTAGCAGCCATAGTCGCTGTGATTTGAACAGAAAACAGCAGGTCTGGTAGTAAATTGGAGTGTATTTGGAGGTCAAAGGTTTGTTTTTAAGGACGTGTGATTCTGCTGTTGCCTAGCAAGCTGTTCTTTCTTGCAATTGTGGGCTTTGAAATAATAAAAAAAGATTCTCTGCTTTGCACCTTGCTTTATCTTAAAAAAATGGTTTAACAGTTTTTCTTCTTGAAAAGTTAAAGCTGGGATCTCTGTGGCGAGGAGTGATACTTAACTCTGGAAATTTTTGTAAAAGAGTTCAGCTATTTTTTAACCAAGACTAACACTGTCATTAAAAATGGCATGTACATGAAACTAGTATAAACCCAAGGTCACTGTGCCAATTACAGGTTTAAGAGGTACAATTTACAGGGTGTGACAGAACAATCAAGGGGATATAAAAGACTACAGTCAACATCAGAGAGCCTCTAGATCAACAGACTGATCATTTATTTTGTTTAAATCTTTCTAAATATTTCAAGATGTTAAATTTCTTATTTAAAATATATAAATCTCTTGGGTTTCTCTTTGAAGTAGATGAAAGAGTTGGAAAAAAGTAGATCTCCCTTGAATAGCAATGCGTTCATTCATCGCTGCCTATAGCTTAAAATCAATATATTTGATCTCACTGAGAAATGAACAAAGATAAGTTTTAGGGAACAGATAATGATGGAAACGAGGCTAAAAAGACTAAAATATACATGTGTGAGAAATTGCTTCTCACCAAAGTAGAGAAGAAATCTCCCACGTTAGCCTTCAGGTACTTTTGGGTTATAATTTACAAAATGCAGGGTCTTTAAAATAGTCAATTAATCATTTAATGTAAATCCACAAATGATGAGAGAGAAAGAAGTCCAGTCATCAGTTTTAATTTGACAATCACACAACACCGTTTAAGGCAAACCTTCATCTGTCATTGTGAAGTATTCTGCAGGAGGCCTCAAAAGAGTTGAGTGACGTTTTCGATTGTTTTGTGAAATAGTGTAAGTAAGGAAGTAAACTTTATTTGTTTAGCACTTTTCACAGACAAAAAAGTCACATAGTGCTTCACATAGACAAAAATAAAAATGTACATACAAATTAAAAAGCCAAGACAACAACATTAAACAGTCACAGCAGCCCCAAAACAATTAAACAAGAGCCTGAGCAAATAAGTTTTGAGTTGGCTTTTAAAGGAGTCAGCGGGGTCAATTAAGCGCATTGAGAGAGGAAGATCATTCCAACGCCTGGGGGCAACAGCCTGGAAGGATCGGTCTCCTCTGGTCCGAACGAATGCGCGGAACCATCAGAAGATCCTGAGTGCGTAGTGTCTGATGCATAATTCTTCCTGTGTTTCAGGTTATTTTCGGTCGCAGGTTTTGGCCTTCTCTTCTAATCTGGATGAAATGAACCCGGGGGTGTCTGAGTGGAGGGAGGACATTGGCAGAGTGGTGAAGAGCTGTGCGGTTCAGGTCAGTATGGTGAAGACTGTTATGCATTTAAAAGAGACTCTGGAAAACCTCGTTCAGTTTGTGACAATTAGCAGCTGAAAAAAAAAAAAAAAACTCTGTTGTCTGTCTAAGTGAGCCCGTGACATTTTCATTGTCTGTTTAACTGCACATGAAATGTATGCATGAGCTTTCATGCCAAGCTTCGCACTTCACTTCTTGCAGTGTGTCTGACCTCCCCTGATGTGTAATTAGCTGTTAACCTCTACAGGCTGACACGGCTCATCACCCAGCATCATTATTACCAGTCCAAGCTTTGAACTGAACTTGTCAAAACACTAAAGGCCATTAAGGGACAGATGCCATTTGCACTTTAAGAGCTGAATGCCATTGCCTGAAGACCAAAACCTCCAGTGAGGAGAGAGTACTGTGCTTAAGTACGCCTAGTTTCCCCACTGAGATACTGAGCCGATCCAGTAGCAGACTTTAAAGCTGACGAGAGTCACTCACAACAGCAATCAGGATCTGTGCATTTATTCTTTAAATACTGGACAGGGTACAGTAAACATGCACTCACTCAGGCAGAGGCAGGTTCCTATCGCTCTTGCTCTCTCTCTCTTTCTCTCTCTTGCCATCACAGAGCTTGTACTTATTTTGTTGGACACTTTTTTTATGTGCGCCAGTCATTAAAGCATCCCCGCTCAAGGTTACTGTTATCAAAGAGAGCTAACAAAAGTAGAAGAACGAGAACACAAAAACATGTTTTTGCTACTTAAAATTGAACAAAAGAACAACAGTTTTATAGAAAATAATAGCTTTTCATTGATAGTCTTTGTTTTCATCAATTCATTTCATAAATCTGCAGACCATTGGAAGTGGATTTTATCTATATCTAGTGGATTTCATGCATCTGTATTTGACCTGACTTTAACTTTATCGTGGGCTCATAAAACACAGATGTGGTCTCTGTGACATTACCCGAAGAGACATTTTGGAGCCAAACGATGGCTGTCCCCGTACTGAAAATGCTGACTCGACATAACTGTCAGTCAAGAGATGGAGCTGGTTAACCTCCTGGTGTGGTGTGTAACTTCCCAGTCAAGTCAGCCGTGCCTCTAGCTATCCAAAGTTGTGTTTTTTGTCATCTAAACGAGTGCATTGAACTTGCACATATTTTGGTGAGCAGTGAACTGAACGGCTCATAAAGTTGAACATGAGGGTAGTTCATTTAGGAGACAGAGATCAAGCGCTCATATTCAGGGAGGATTTGAGAGGTTTTCCTGCTGTGAGCTACAGCAGGCAAAGCTGGATTTACGGCATGCAGTGCTTCTCACAACTCAGATGTAGTAAGCAGTGCTGATGAATTTGGCAGTTTTAACCATTTGAAGTGGTTTTGTGAACAAATCAGGAGAGACTCCAACGAGCCAAAACTTGTGTGTGTTTTTTAAATGGAGATGAATTCACTTCTTGTGTTTGTTTGCTCAGTGCTTCTTTAACCTTGGCCCTTTTACAGCTTTTTTGGAACGTGTTGCAGGATCAAATTCAAAATGAGTGAATAATAATTTCAAAAAACAATGAAGTGTATCAGTGTGAATAATAATTATCTTGTCTTTGTGGTGTATTCAGATGAATAGAGGTCAAAAAAGAACTGGCAAATCATTGTATTCTGTTTTTATTCATGTTTTACATAATGTCCCAGCTTATTGAAATTAGGGTTTGTATTCAAGAGGATGAAAAAAAACACCTCAGCTTTGTCACTTATAAAGCAGATTTCTCTTTTGCTCATGGGTGTTTAAGTCAGAACACTTTGTCAGATATTCAAGCAAGAAATTAAAGCTGTATATGTGTCTTTAAGTAATTTAAGCTGCAGGCTTTAAACTTGACATCTGTCTAAGGCTCTGATGAGTGAGATAATTTTGTGGACACTTAGCTTAGTTAAAAAAATCAAATAATAAATTATGAACATGGGAGCTAGCTCATTTTTATTGTAAAAAAAGATGTTTGATGCAGTTTTGACCATGTTTAATTTTGCCTTAAAATGAGCATAGTTCAACATTCGACATTTAGGAACGTCTTTGGCTCTAGCAGCCTGCCTCAAGTGGGCACTTGTTGAACTGCAGTTTTTTTACACTTCCACGTTTGCTTCTGGAGGTTGCTGCCTGGTCCTTGTCTGGTATTATGGTCAGCCGCAGTGAGAGCCCAGAGGAAAAAAAAAAAAGGTACAACCAAAGCTAAAACCTTTCCAAATGAAACTAAAACCAAGCGCCACTGAAAAAATAATAAGAACAGGTAAACCAAGGCTCTACTCATTTATTCAACAGAGGATCAAAGATACACTTAAATACCGCAGTGCTTAAAACTTTAAACAGAGAATATTGTAATCGGGCTTTTGAACGCCAAAATAAAAAAAGGTAATTTCAAAATAAAAAATGTCCTCAACTACATGAGGTTATGTGCAAGACCTGAATTCTGAGCTCTATTTATATATATCCCACGGTAGCCCTCAGTATGAAACATTCACTTTGACCTTCTGTCTTGTCAGATATTACCTCGATTTACTCCAGGAAACTGACAAGAGACCTCTGGTTACAGCATTACTGCACTAAAAGCCCCGGCCTTTACCAAAGACTGTCTAATTCAACTTGCATGTTTTAGTCTATCCATGCATTACATCCTGACAGTGACTGCGGCTGAGGCTAATGAAATATGGAGCAAAAAGCCAACAAATTTTACTCATTAATACAGGATCTCATTCACAGTGTTACCTCATCCAGAATGGCTGGAAGAACCTTTTTAATGAGGCGTTGTTGTTTTTTGTTAAAGGTCACAGGAATCAGTGAGGATCAGCTCCTGGTCACTGTGCTTCCAGGTTTACCAACCACAGCGGAGATTTTCATCGTGCCCGATAGGAGGGCTAGACACGGAGCTGTGGATGAAAAGTGGGCACACCTGGATCAGGTACGTCCTCATCAAATTAATTTAATAGGCTCTGGCAGATGCTCTTTGATTTTTTTTTTTCTCTCTCTTTTTGTGGTAATTAAAGCAGCACAAAGGAAAGCTGGGAAAGTCAGAGACTGTCTCTAGAGAGAGCATCCCCAGAGAATATGTCCCTCACTTTGATACAACACGGCTAGGTTGTTTGTTCAAGCTTCATTGTTGTGTTTTTAAGAGAACATATTTGTTAAAGTTAAAGCATTTCTGTCACCAGATGGTTAAACCTTGGTTTACAGCTTTATTGTTGGTAATATTGACAAAGGAAAACAAATTCTTCTTGGACAGTCACGTGCTAAAGGTTGCATGTTTTAATCACATTTCTGCTTATGAAGAAATGAACTGTGCACATTTCTCAAATCGTAGTCTTTTCTCTTTTGATTTTATAGACAGTAGTGCTTTTGTCCTGAACTGGAGGTTTTGCCTGCAGCAGTTTGTGTATTAACGCTCTTGCTTCAAGCGAAAAATTATCCTGCACCAAAAGTTCGTCTAAAATCCCAACCTAATATAAAACAACAACTTTAATTCTAGATATTTCCATTATTTCCTCTGCAAACTCTCCCCTGTGTAAAGAGTTGAAGGACTAACCCAATAATTGCTTCATTTCAAAAACTGAAACATTTGTGAATCTTTCTTTAGTAATTACAGCAATCCTCCTTAGTTATCTCTGATTCTTGTTTCAAATCTTTAATTTCATGTAGTTTTTCACTGTATAATTATGACGTTAGATGATTGCTGTTATATATTTTCATGCTGGGTTTTATGGAGCCCCTGTAGTCCCACAAAGGTAATACTGTTATTACGTGGATATAAGTTATCATCCACTGCATCGAAGTTACTACCTTGAGCACAGAATTCATATGTGGAAAGTGGTTGTGTTCGCTCTTCTCTTGCCTCTGGTGATGAACCGGTCATAAACATTGGCTGGAACAGTGAGTCTCTTATAGGCGCCAAGTTAAAGACAAATCTCAAGAAAATGCCTGAACACTGACAGAGAAACCTCAGGCTTCTGTGGGGTAGCGTTTCTACATCATGGAGACTGAAAATGTAGCTATGCGCTAACAAGCAAACATGGCATGGTGAGCAGAAATGACTCTGCTGCGAATCTTTTTAACCACTGAAATGTTTGATATTAAACATGGTGGTTCTCTCAAACACAACACAGGGGTAAATGGGACTTTCACTTGAGAAGAGAATGTGGTTGAAGGCCTAATGAATTCATTTAGAGCTTATTAGAGACACAATGACACACCCTTCAACTCTGCCCAGCAGAGGGCGCTTATATAACATGAAAGACCAGTCTCAGGGGAACTGATTAAAGTACATTATGAGCAGTGCTGACACAATCAAAAGGGCAAATAAGGAGCAGATAATGACCTGAAATGATAAGTAATTGCAGTTGATAGCAAGATGAATTATTATCACTGCTGCATTCACACAGATTAATAACTCAGTAACATGTACACATGATAGAAATAATCATCTCATGCCACTTTCTATGGAACCAGACGGATATTTGACATTTTGTCCAACAATAGCTTACAGGTTAGATTTAATAGGCACAGGCTCAGGCCTATTAATGAGTATTTTGAATACAGTTTCAGTATATCTGTCTTTTTTTTTCTTGTACTTTGATGATAAATAAATAAATAAATAAAGTAATAACTTTTCTGAATACTTCCATCATCTTATTTTGAAGTGGTCCACCAATATGAAAAAGTTAGTGGATGTATACAATAACTTTGACTTCTAATAACTTTTGAAACTTTTCTTTCATTATTTAATCCTGTTTCAGTCCTACTTTATAAAATCATATTCTTCCTCATATGTTCACTGAAAAAAAAAAATAGAGTAATGTATAAAGTAAGTTAATCATAAGATTAGATTTCTTATGTTTTCTATCAAACATCTGAATAAATATACTAACTTAATGACCTGAAGACATTGTGCATACAGGTTTTTGGAGGTCTGACTGCATACCTTGTACGTATGTGGTCAAAATACACAGGAGATACCAGTACTTCACTTATCTACGTTGGATAACCAATCGTCTTCCTGTTTTTTTATGAGGAATATCAAATCTAGTTAAAATCGTGACCACTGGATTCCATAAATTTCAGTGCAGTATAAAAATCAGCTTGTGGAGACTTCATTTTAGGGTGGTAATACATCACAATGAGCATTATGTCGGTGCTTATTTTTGTCAAAGGTACATTATTGTTGCATGGTAACAGAGTTTTAAGTGCAGCTGGGTTTGGAAAGTCTGCACTTCATTGCCGTGCAACAGTAAGGTTAACTTTGACAAAAATAAATGCAGACATGATGCTCATGGTGATGGATTACCTGAGTCGACCAAGTTTAACGTCTGTGCAAATGTATTTTCATACTGCTCTGAAATAAATGGACAGCACAGGCTGCATGGAAGGCAGGAGGAACACTATGTTATTCCCTGGAAAAGGTCAGCCGTAATGAAGCAAGGATATTTTTTTTGTAGTAATTGGGGTAAAAGATGCAACACTGGTGTGGTTCATTAAATGAAAACAAGGGTGGACTTTTAATAGCTGTTCTGTTATTGGCACAGAGCATCCGCCTTATCTCATAGAGTTTTATAAAATATTGATTTAATTTAGTGTCTAAGTTGTGGAATAAAAACCTTCGATTCCCCTCTGAATCTTCAATCAGGGAACTGTAGTTACAGATTAATAAAAGTTTAAAGATAGGACACAAACCTAAACTGTGTTCTGATGTTTTCTTCTTCTGCGAAGACACAAAAAAATCACTTAAAGTCATTGAACAAGTTTAAGGTTCAGGTAATTTCTAAGATTTATAATAATGTAATACTTCCTGCAAAGCAATGCTTAATTTGAACACTAGAGGGCAATGTCTTCCCATGTAAAAGCCCTAAAACGGCACACATCAGAGAAATGATATTCACAAAGCATCTCTGCACACATTATAGACTCCATGCCACCTTTCAGGAGTTTACAGACTTTCATAAACCTTCCAGCCTCTTTGGTGTTCTATTTCCTTCAGCGAAACAAGTGTCCTTATCTTTTACAGCGTTATAGAAAGCTATTAGAAAAAACAATAACACAGAGCTACTTTTTAAACCTCCAGCTAAACAAGCTCATTTATTCATCATAACGGATAGGGCCACAACATATCACAAGTAAACATCATTTTGCTGGCTGGCAGTCAGTCTTGAACTAAGTTAATAGGTATTTAATTACATTGATGCATCATATAATTGGCATCATGGAGAAAGGAGGCAAACTGGGGCATGCGGCCTGGATTGGGAATTAAAGAGATGTATTTATCTAAAGCCTGTCTGATTACCTGGCAGAACCTCACAGACAATAGGGTAATAAATCTTCAGTTCACTGTTCTCATCTCCAGTGAATGACTTGCAGCACGGCTGCATTAAGCCAGTGTGTGCCCACACACACACACACACACACACACACACACACACACACACGCGTGCATTCGCTGAGTGTATGTGTGAAGCAGCTTATTAAAATGTGTAATAGATTTACTGACCCTGATATGCCACTAGAACAAAAAGTAATTATTCATACTGTGTAGAGCAGTCTAATTTTAACCAATGGAAAGATTTTAGAAAGAGCGAGATGGAATTAGTGAGGCATGGCTAAGGACTCAAATGGGCTCCAGGAAGGCATTTTGGTCTCTTGTTAAATGACTGCTTCATCTAGGTGTGAAAAGCAGGAGAACTTAAGGGAGAGAAATTAAAACTCCAATTTTATGATTTTAGAACATGGGAGAATTTCCAAAAGCTTTGCCCCTCTGAACTTCTTAATTTTCTCTTTTAAAAGGTAAAACTCCTTGTTTTGCGAGAAATAACTTAAGCCTTTTTTTTTTATCGATTCTCACCGGCTGCCTCTTTACCTGATGCGGAACCCGTTGCTCTTAAAAGCAGGCTGGGTTTGGGATGCAGCAGGTTTGGTTTTCCATGTCATATCAACGTTTGCTCCTCTTTAGACGGCAGCAAAAATTCTGATTCATAATTCAGGCTGCGGGATGAAATGACTTGGGCTGAAATATTGATGACTTTTGAATATTGCTGTGCAGCCACCACTAACAGTCCCCGTCTGCTCTGTCACTCCTCCTCATAGCTTTCTCAGGTTCTGCTAAGTGCTTTGAACCAAGACCTCATCCAGTTCACACTCAAACCAGGGCTGCTGGTGAATGTGTATGCCACACAGCTGTCTCCAGGTGAGTCTGCGGCTTCTGACACCAACACACCTACCTGGACAAACGGCGGTCTGTCAGTCCTGTTTTTTGGGGGGGAAAGTAATGTGTCTAAGTTAAGAGTTAAAAATATCAAACAAGTTCACAGGAAGAAAAGTATAAAAGCTGTCAAATGGTTTGTTGTTTGTTTTTAGTGTATGTACTCAGGGCTCCCCGGCGAGCCATCTTCAGAGCGATTGAAAAATCCTGGATGAAGTAATCGAAACCATAAAATCTTGATTGGACATTGGCTTTCTCATTCATTTCTCTTGAATATGCGCAGTAAAAACAACACAGCGATTATTCTACATTGACATTTAATATGATTGTGAGACAGTTTGCATTATTACAAAGCAGAAATATGCATTTTTCCCCTCATTTGTTCTCCGTTTGTCTTTTGTTCTTTTTACTTCAAAGCTCCTCTTGTCGACAGCAGTGATAGCAGCCACAGCAGCACGGCAGTCATCATGCTGGTGTCGGTCGTACTGATGGGCTTGGCCGTCTTTGTGATATATAAATTCAAAAGGTAAAGTATACCAGGTTTGAATTATAAAATCATACAGGCAGAGTAAAACTTTGTCCAAGCCTAGTCCCGAGTTCTGAGTCACCAATGAAAAATCTGAGTTCGTTATGGTGTCCCAGTCAAGTCTTAATTGATTAATATTATAAAGGGACAGCTGTTTACTCAAAATGATTCACCGCATGAACCTTGAATGACAGTGATGAACCTTTTGGATGCATAGAAAACACATTTTATTCATTAACATTAGATCCTCTGACAGGTATGTTTTAACAGCTATTAACATCAGAGCGCTGTGTGTCATATATAAATGCACACAAAGTATTATATTTGCCATGGTGGGATGACTCCAGGTGTCTATTAAACTCAGAAACACCTGCAAATCATTTGCTGTCAATCCCCGATCTAACTAACCAAAAATAATTATAACCAAATACCAACAAACTCTTAACAGTTACTGAATTACAGAATTTCCCCCCCTGGGATAAACAAAGTATTCTGATTCTGTTATATAATCTACAGTCCAGTTAGGCTAACTTTAACATCCCACTTACAGTTCTGCTCCATCTTGTGCAGATGTCTAATAAAGCCTGAGGTCTTCTTCTCCATCTTCTCCTCAACGTTTCTTTTACATATCACACATGTTGCTCCGCTCTTACATGCATTTTAAGTGTGAGTCCTGTTCATGGCATGTCTTTGAGCCTCCTGGCCGAAATGGTTGCTGAACAAAACATGCGTGCAGGTCAACAAAGGTCCTGTCTTTGCTCTATACAGTGAATAAATAATCAGGGCCTGAGTCCTACAAACAGGGCTCAAGTACTACCAAGTACTACCACACAGGCACATCCAAGACAAAGGAAAATTATCTAAATAATGTGTGATGATGAATCTTCTCATTTTCACACATCATTACAAATATTCATGATGATGTAGTTGTTATTGCTGTTTTGTTTAACCGTGTGTTTGTGTTGCATAATGGTTGGTTTAGAGTCGGCCCCATTATGTGCAGGCGGGCGCCTCACCGCTGAACTCTTAAAACTTTCCACAGGAATCCAGCCTCCATTTATCTCGGAGTTATAGACACTGGCGGCACAATAATAGCTGGAGGAATAAGACAATTCCCCTCTGTCTCAATCTGCAGAATATTACGGGGAATGACAGTCTTATCAATTCTCCCACAGAGCTGAATGGGTGTCAGAGTCCTGCAGTTATCAATATTCATCTATCCGACAATGTGAGGCTTGACCTTTCGGAAATGCTAAACACAGCCATCCAAGGTGAGGCATACTCTGCAGAATGGCAGGAAAGGTTGAGGTGATAAGTCCTGAGACAACATACATTATACAGTGAGGGACATACAGTAAATAGCGTCCTGTTCTGCAGGTAATCCCATGCCAATCACAGGGGGATGGCTTGCTTTCCGAGCAGTTTGCGGAGTTCTACTCATTATAAAGTACAACATAGCTTAACTCTAACTTTTGGGATATAATTACTACATTAAGAAATCAAGTTTGGGTTCCTAAAGCTGCCTCAAATGTCACAGCACCAGCTGCTGCATGGAATCACAAGGGGGGGGGATCTGAAATTAGAAATTCAAGATGTTAGTTTTAAGCAGAATTGCGGGTGCATCTGAAGGGGATGAAAAATTGATTGAAAACTGAGGTGAACAATATGAAAGTGAGAGAGCAATGCCCAGTGGAACGTAAAATGCCCTAGTTTCCAGCTTTCAAGCAATCCTCTCCCATCTTTAACAGTTAAAAATAGTGTGTGACACATTATGCACAGTGAAAGCATTAGTGAAACAGACCTGATGGCAGCTTTCCATTAACTTGCCGTTTTTAAAACCACTTTTTTTTTCCCTTTTTTTTTTTGCCTTCGCTCGGCCCTGCAGGAAGATTCCCGGCATCAACACATACACTGCAGAGCAGCCCGACAAAGAACAAGAGGTCATCCCGACGGTGACCTCCATCGCCGTCCCAAATCCTGAGGGGGACAAGCTGACCTCTTTGGATCATGTGGATGTACAGCTGGACTCCAAAAGCCGAGGTATTAATGTGTCCATTTCTTCCTCTAAGATACAGTTATTATTCCTCGAGCGTACACAGTTCATTCACATTGTTATTTCCAGACTCTTTAGTTTGACAACGAGAGTCTGTTCTTGATGTACTTCTGTATTCAGTCAGAGTTAACACGCAATCAGTGGTATCATTTTTGCAGCAACAAAAGGAGAAGCAAAATGTTGGTATACTGCTCAAAACGACAATAGAGCGTCTTTGGTTCTCTTCGATAATCCCTAATCTGCTGGAAGGTTTGGAAAGAGAAGTAGGCAGGAGCCTCCCCAAGCAACACACTCTTACAATACATACAGTGATTTTGACTCGGGGTGCTTTTATTCTATAGACCTTTCTCTGAGTTGTGTAGGATTTTTCAGGAAATAATTCAGAACCTGCTCTGAAGTTATTGCAGGTCCGTTGCATGTGTCCAAAGCCGCATACTCGCATGCTACCTAATAAATACTCAAACAGCAAGTACTGCATTCCGCATACTGACTTAATGGTGAATATGACATTTACAACCCATCCTCTCTGGGTCATATTATATTTTAAACCAGTCTGAGCTATGATGGCTAAGCTAGTTTGCTCTTTTCCTTTTTAAAATTCAACAAGAATAATCAAATGTCCATTATTTATAGATACATTTGTGATTTACACAGCTAGGTAGTTATTTTGATATACTGTCCACCATGACAAATAAAATGTGCTGCTTGTTGCTGGGGGGTTAGCGCTCCAATTGTACAGTTTGAAGGATTCTGATTATGGTTGTGTATGACAACTGAGCTTCTATAATTAAAAGTTAATGACTATGACGTGATCCAACCACTTGGCTGAATCAGCACCAGTATTTATCCTCATGTCTGTGTCTTTGACAGTCTTCAAAATTCACTTGGGCAAAGTGTTCAACATAGTCGGCACAATCATCCTCCCTGAGTGAAGCCAAAACACTTGAAGCTCCCCCAAACTGGGGAAAATAAACTTTTAAAAGCAGTTTCTCTCTGAGTTCAGTGTGTGTTTTGGTGAGAGGGAGGGGATGGTCCACAGCTCCACCCGCCAGACCGACTCTACGCACGCCTTGGCTCAACCAGTGTAATACGTCAGTGTGTATGGAAGTAGTGCTTCTGTTTACATGTTAAATGGGAGGAGACTGAGACACTGTCTGTATAAATGTGCAGCCTGAATGAGGTATTATCACATTACCCTTCCATCATTTCATTAGATTCAATTGGAGCTCGTTCTCCTGTAAATGTAATTAATTTAAGGATGCTCTACCTTGTATGGCGGAATCTCCTGCCAGCTCTGGCAGACTCTCAGGGCAGAGTTTACTTCTGCTGAACTTTTCTCCGTTAATTTGCACAAACACAGCGCTGCACTGTTTTTGGAAATACAGTCATTTTTCTTGTTTAATTAGTACAGCAGAATGGGTTGGCTTTTCTTATACTACACATCTAGGTTAGCCAAAAACTTTGGGAAAAAGAAAGGAGTCCTATAACTAGGGTAAACTTTTAGCCCCTAGCTTTAGTGTGTCTTCTTCCTACTTTGCACTGTTCAACTTCTTTGAGGTTTTACACCTCAACATCTATCATTATTATCAAATAATTCATCTGTCTTGTTATTTTTTATGCGTGTAAGTTTATATGCTTGTTTCTTGGCTGAATTTTTGATGACATGTAAATAAAAGCTAACTCGGTGGGTTTGCTATCCACTTACTTTGCTCGAAATCACAACAAACAGCAGCATGGCTCTCATAAACCACTCACAGTTTGCTGATTGCTCTGAAAAGGTTCATTACTCGACAAAACTGTGTCAACACATCCTCTTATGGGGGGCAGCTTGACTGAACAGAAGGCTAATGTGGCCATACCTCAGAGCAGAACACTGTTGAATATTTTAAACCCAATTTTGTAATTACATTTCAGATTTTGTTGACTGAACTCCCAGAAAACAGACATGTCACAAGCTCATAACAGTCTGCACAGTTTTGCTCCACAAATGTTAATTAAGTTTCTGCTCCATGATTGCGTGAACTGTCCCTTTAATACAGCAGCGACCCATTTAAGCTTGTAAAAAAAAAAGTTGAGGCTCACTGACACTGAAGAGATACGACATATTCGCTTTGTTTTAAGTGCCCGTGCTGCTCTTCCTCCCTGAGAATTATCACACAAGTTGCCAGGATACAGTTGTTATGATGCGCAGTATATTTATCCATTCGCTATCCTGGGCTCGGCACTGCGAGGTATTAGTATTCAAAGGTAAGTGAAGCACAATCAAGTGTCAGCTAAAGTGATGAGAATGTCGGGGTGAATTATTTGACCCAATAAAATAATTAGAGCATCAGGAAAGTACCGGAGTGGTGAAAGCATTTTCATCAAGAAATATCTATGAGGTTCCGCTTGATTTAGCTCCAGCCGTGGCTAAACAATCGACCCATCTGAGATAAATGTGTTTGCCTGCAAAAATACACCCGTATGCAAATAGCAACATAAAATCCCCTCTCTGTCTGTTTCTTTTCTTCTCCCTTGCCAGGGTACCTGCCATCTCACACAGACATCAAGCTCTCTGATGAAGGGCCCCATGTGTTTTAATGTTGGGAGTCTATGACCGACTCGAAAGCAATACATCTTCTTTGGCAGTTACTTCCAGCAAGCTATGAAACCACGGTCACAATGGATGGTCTCGAGTGTTTTGCTACCCATGCATGGATGGACCAGTTCACACTGTGCTGCCTAATCCCTCCGAGGAGACTGTACAGATTTCTACTCGCTTCTTGAAAAAAAAAAAAGGGACACTTTTTGACTGAAAATACTTGTATTTTTGCAAGGACATTGATCTTTTTATGTAAATAATGTACATCCATAATGGAGGACGTAAAAGTTATTTGTCTCTGCTGGTAACAGCTGCGTCTGCTTGAATATGAAAATATCAAGCAGCAGAAACAGATGTAATGTATGATATTATCTCCAAATATGCTCCTGTTTCTGTTCTTCGGGCCTGTGTTTGTGAAGTTTACTTTGTTTAACTCTGTGGAAACAGCTTATCTGAGCAAGACAGTGAGGGAAGCAGATTCATTAAGCTCTGTACAATCAGTAAATCTTATCATCACGTTCGCATCAAATGAAAGCTTGCAATATCCAGGAGATGAGGGAGGGCTCCTAGTCCCAGATCTGTGTATTCCATCACGCCTGCCGCTCAGAATGTTATACATGTCATAACAAAAATAAGGACCGAAAAAGAGGATGGAGGTGTCAGAACGGTATATACATCTGTTTCCTTTGTTTGAGCCCGTCGAATGAGTCTGTTCTGTGACTTTGAAATGAACTTCATTAAGGCTGATTCTCCCTTAAACAGATTATTTCTACATTTTATGAGCTCAGTCATGCTCACGGGTTGTTTTGCCACAATGATCTCATTTTTTTTTGTTTTTCTAATAGCAACTGTCTATCAGACTGTTCAACAATGCAATGACTTTTAAACTTGTGCATCATAATTTCTGTTGCTGGGAGCATTTGTTGTAGCCTGGTTTTTCGAAAAGTTAGTTAAATTTACATTTTCTGAATAATTCCAGCATTTAAGGAGTAAACTTTGGAATTAATGCAACAAAAAGTGCCAGATCTGTATAATAATTCACTTTTTATCATAAATCCAATAGACTTATGCTCTATGGGATAAATGTTACTCCTATTTTTGTCGCCTGTCATCCGACTGATCTCACTGTGAAGAAGGGAAGTACAACTCTGAACTACACCAGGTTTCAATTGATTTCTCTTTTTTGGGTCAGAAAAACAACCTTGAGTTTATTTATTTTTTATTCATTCTGGACTGTTTATCCGCCATCGTGACACCAGCATCTCCACACGGCATTCCCCGAGTTTACAGCGATGCAGAGGTTCCTGCAGTCTGTTCCAGGTTTGCCCCCCAAGGACTCGGAGGACAAAAGGCTGTGGATTTGTTCATCTCCTTGGCTGCGAGGGACACGGAGATAGAGAAGACGTATCTGCTGTCAACAAGGCTCAGCCTACGCGCAGAGCTTTGGTCAGCTGCTGTCTCTTTGGGATAAGTACTGAAGTTCTTCTTCATCAAACTTTTCTTTTTAAGTGTTGTCAGCATCATATGTCAGAAAGACAAATTGACTAGAGGCCCCTCCATACTTCTTCCCTTCCAGTCGTGGGATCGAGCCTGAAGCATAAATAAACTCTCTCTCGTCATCAGGTGAACGCTGTCTCTCTCTCTCTCTCTCTGCACCAAACATTGGAGGAGTTTTATTTTGTGCTTGTTATATATTTAACAAATTTCTGTTAACTCCCAATATCTGACCTGTGAATACGATTGTGAAGATATTTGCATGATGTATTTTTTTCCTCTTTTAAGATACTTAAAATATGTCTTTATTAGGGAAAAAATGAAATGTTAGAAATGTAAGCTGCAGTTTTTCTCTGGTTTCTCAACAGCTAGAAAACTCATTCATTACAAGTGACGTGATTATTCAGTGGGTTGTTTCTGTGTCTTTCATTTGATCTTGCAGAGGTGACCATGGTTGCAGAATAAAGCAGAAACACAACATTAATGCAGCATTGGTGTTTGTTAAAATCTCTGTTTTTTTTCTTCTGTTTTTCAATTTTTTGAAAATGAAGGTCTTTAAATGCAGCTTTTAATTTGTTTGGGTTGATTTCATCAATTAAAAAGTGTTCAAAGGGAGAAATTAGCAAGTCTGAATCATATTAGGAGTTTTGATCGACAGGTATTCTCACTTTGTTGAATTAGTTTTTATTCCACTTTGTCTCTAACAAGTGTTGCTTAGCATGCTAGAAGTTTCACCGCAGCTATTTGCATGATACAATGGGAGCCCAGCGGCAGGACAATGAGAAGTAGCCTGGAGTGATTCTAATGGGCTGGTTTCTTGGCTCTCCCACTGAGCAACAAATTAATTACCCCCCTCTCCAGGAAATCAACACATACACACACAATCAGCTAAGATTTTCCTAGTCTGGGCAGCACCTTGAATGAAAAATGTCCCACAACAATAACCCACAGCAATATTGTGTTAGCCCCAGTGTGAAATTGATGAGCATGTTTCCTTTCATTGAGTGCTACATTACGGTGTCTGGCTGCAGCGAATCATCCATTAGTGATTGTCACCGTTCAATTTGATTGTGCGCTGCTGAACATCCCAGGGCAGTTAGAGAAAGGCCTTGGTGTTAATTCAGACTGAGAGCAGGAGCGAGAATAAGACTCTCGGGGCGTTGATGGCTGCTGGAGTGATGAAGATTGGTGTGCGATATGGAGCTGTTGAAGTGGCAAACAAAATGCAAAACAGAGGAACAAGGGCATTGTTGCTGCAGATTTGTATTTGAAGAGTTGTTTTAGCCAATCAGCCGTACAGTCCTGTCCTCCAACCTTGCTGTCTGTTTGTCATTTTAATGTGCACAGCTTTTATGCCTTCGTGCTGGTACTTAGCGAGAGGCACTTTATGCTTTTCTTGATAGTAATATCTCAGGATCTTCTCCTTGATTTTCCTTCAGATTTGGTACAAACAAACTAGATAGGCCTGAGAATGGAAGGTTAAAATAAGGTAGCCACAGGTTAAATGACAATCCCACAGATCAGGTCTGTTGTCTTTTCATCCCTTAACATGAATATTTCTAAATTTGGCGCTTAAGTCCATCTAGATTTAGGAATGAAGTGACTAATTCTGTCTGATGCCACTCTCGTTAACTCATAAGTAAAAACCGTCCCAGGTATCGCTCACTTGAATCACACCTGTAAGTAAGAAGAAAATCCCACTTTTACATCAATACACTTACTACCTTCTATCGAGTGCCCATTAAAGCTCTCATTTATTGTACCAAAGAGCTGAATAGATATAGATGTGAACTGCAACTTTACTACAAGGCAGAGTTAAACAGCTGAGGGGTGATAAATCTTTATCTTTTCAGATCTGGAGACAGAAACGTAGCTCTTCTAACACCAGTCCCTCTTAACAAAACCATCAGTTCCTCATCATTCGAATACAGCCTCTGTAATTGTTCCAATTAAATCCGTATCTGGCAACTTGAGTGATCAAGTGATAGAGTGAAATGAAGCTCAGTGCGAGTGTCAAATGGGAATCTTCACATGGGTGTTATCACACTTGTGCCCATTAAAGCCAGCTTCAGAGACTCGGTGGAATCATTAAAGTGCTCTGCTGAGACCGATACACCGGCTGCTACAAGACACCTGTGTGTGAGATAAGACTTGAAGATATGGTAGGAACAAAGCTCCATGAACTCCTTTGTCCTCGGGTTTATGTCACGACAAGATGCACATTTCTCATTTAATGACACCCAGATTAGTCTGTCTTGACAACCTTAAGCAAGGACAAAAAACTATTAACAGTGTAAACCATAGTACAATCTTCTTTATCCTAGTAACATAGAAAAAAAAAACAAATTCCATATAAAAATACATTTATTTTGAACAATCTTAAAATGGCCATTTGTTCACAGTAAGAAATATGATTTAAAACAAGACGTTTTTATATCATCAACAAAAATGAACAATATCATAGATCATGCACAACTTTAGGCGATTGCACGAGTAGACTATTAGACAAGGTGTTTACTTATTCGTTTAATGTGTCAAGTAAACTTTAAAACCAGCCATGGAGTATATACAGTACTTGCCCATCCTAATTTGGTAATTAAGTAGTTTTTTTTTGTTTTAAATCAGAGAGTATTATTAGGGCATGCCACTGCAAAAGAAAATAATGAATAAATCAAGTAAAAGAAGAGTTCATTGTGAGGCTTGAAGTCATGAATACTCTGCCTGTGCAGTGAGTTGACTTTACAATAAGGTAGGATGAAGCTACTGTATAGATTTACATTCTTTCTTTTTTATATACAAGTTCTGAATCCAGTGTTTCCACCTCTTAGGCCAGACTTTCCTGTTCTTTTTTCACATTTGTGTTGTGTAACATCATCTGAGAAACAGTCATTAAGAGCACCATGTTATCTTACAAAGCAACTATATGTGTCTTCCCCAAAAGCACTCACAAAGTCAAATGTTGACAGTTTTATGTATTTATAAATATTCATCACTTTATATTTACAACTCTGAGACCTGTAGTTCAAGAGCGGGAAATGTTAATGTTTATCCAGAGAGTGGCTGAACTTTACGAAGTAAAATATTGGCTAAACTTTATCTGTGAACTTTGTTTAACACCATAAAAAGAGAACTTTCTGTGTTATCTGTCAAGGAAATAAATAAAAGTCATAAATTATATAAAAATGACATAAAATACTTGATTACTCATGCCCTCAATCCTCCCCCGGTTCATACAGTACCTGATATAGCACTCTTCTGCTGAGTGTCCTTTTGTGTGTCTATGCGGTAATGAACCGTTTAGAGTTGAACAATGTGCCCCTCACATTACAGGAAAATACCATGCAAAAAAACATAAAACTCACCCTATTTTTCTCTTGTACTGAACCACAAGGTAGGGCCTGTGTCCACTAACAGCTTTTGTTGTGCAGGCAGGTCCTACTTCATACACCAAATCAATGCAGTTCAGAGTCCTAAACAGGAACACCGTTAGCTGTGCTTTGTTGTTGCTCTTCAAAATTTAAAAAAAGTTGCACTTTTTGAACACCGCTGTGCTTGTCAGTGTAACGTACCCATTGTCAATCAAAATAAGGAAGGACCAGGACTTCTGATATTCGATGGAAAAAAAAAAAAAATTGTAAAAGTGTTTTTTTTTTTTTTTGTAAAAGTATACTGAGCTGTTTAAAATGACTTGATGGTCTTTACTAAGTGCTGTAGGATAACCCTCATGACCTAGCAAAAGCTAGTGAGAAGAGCTCTGACATTAAGGTCATGTGCCCTCACTTAAAATGCAATAAATGGACACAGGCCCTCATGAAAATGAGGACTTATCAAGAGCAGGCAGGGTTTCTGACATTTGCTTGCCTCCATGTAACCTCCATGTAACCTAAAGTCAGAGGCAGTCAAGTATTTTTTCTAAAATCCAACAAAATTTTTATAAAAAACTGGATAAACATTGCAAGTGAGTTGTTGATGTAGCGCTAACAAGCTAACTGGTGTTATACACTACATCCGATTCATCATTTCACCGCCGTCAAACTAGAGGCCCTGGAGTCTGGCTCGTAGAACTGATCTTCATCAAGTATTGTGAAGTAGATATTTAGTCTATGTGAGTTAAAACATGACTTTTAACAATAGCAGCTATAAATGTGAAATAGAAAAAACAAAAAACAAACAAACAAAAAAAAGAATGCGGACAAAGCAAACAATTTCAGCACAACTGTAACACAACTATCTGTACTTACTGAGTGACAGAGTGCATGTCTTAGACATTAGTACAGTTTGGAAATTCCCTTGTAACGATTCTCTCCATGTTTCTCCCAATGCCACCTGTAAACAGATAAAAACACAAACAAACAGGCTCTATAAAAGGATTGTGAGCTTGTTTGCACATCATAGGACCCTTGTTTTTTTACAAACAGAACATTAAGTCTTTGGAGTAATCAACATCACACTGACTGATTATGAAGTTAAAACTGTCTTTTATAGAACAGAAAATAACTGTGGATTCAGTCAGACATCTCTAATCTTTTAACTTCAAGATCAAATGGTGTAGAAGCTTTTCAGCTTCATAATAAAGTCCTCTGATTCATTCCTGTTGTCTCAAAGGAACGTGGCCCATCCGTACAGGGCTGAGCTGGTGATGAAGGGCTGATAAGATGAGGTCGCTGCGGTGACAAGTAGGGTTGCTCAGATTGTGCAGACACAGACTTCATCAAAGGTGCAACTTTTATGTCTTGAAAGAGTCAGTAGTTAAACAACTGTGTGACGCTGATTATGTGTCACAGAGGACTCTTATGCCGATCCACATTTTAACACATTAAGTTCAAGTTTTGGATAGTATCGCTAAACTTTAACAAAGTCTCAAAACATAAGTTGCGCAGGTGTTGGTGTAATCCCCAAATGTGTTTTCTGACTTCTCTGAACAGCTTGTTTCGATTACATTGTGAGACTTGACCTGAGCCTGATACTGGTCTCTGCCATCCTCTTAAGGCAATGTCAAGGACAAGTCCACCTGACGGTTCTGTCAAGGACACGTCCATCCAAAAGCTGAAAAGTCTGTTTTTACACTTAACTCTCTCTCTTTGTTGAATCACTATGGAGCAGAGAGATGCTCATAGGCATTCGTGGTTGTGGTTGTGAAAGAAAATCTCATCTTTTTTTTTTCTTCCCAAGGACACCAGAAGACGGGGGAGACAGTGGGAAATTTAAATATTTTTGGGACAACAACAATCACAATGTAGCTGTGAGACCTTCCCTGAGGGCTCACTAGAGAGATGTAAGTAACAATATAAAAACAAGGTAATGTAACAATAGCAAGCTGCTAGCTTTAAAGAGACGCTACCGGCTGGGCTCAGACATTTTGATGAGACAGCTGTGAGGAAAAGTTACAGAAACAAGCTGGGTCTTCTTGATTTGCAGTTTCTTGAATCATGTAAAGCTCTTCTTATGAGTGTCCCAGACTGACATTAATAGAGAGTGAAAATGAGTTTAATGAGGTCTCCTTCAAACTAACAACCAAGCAGTAAATTCATCAAAGTAGAGACTTGGCTGTTGATTACATTTTTGATGGAAAAAAGAAAATATTAGATTTAAACTGTTTTCTTTTGGAGATGGTTTAAAATCAAAACAACAAAAGCTCAGGTAAAGTTGGGAACTAAGAACTGAAAGGTCAGTCAAAGTCTTTAATGTCTCATTATTGACTGAAGTTTTTCCCCAGTGTCAGTCCAGGTTAGTTGAATCTGTTGAAAGTAACGTGTGAAGTGGGAAAAAGACCTGATCTAAACTTAAGTCAGTTTCACTTCTGCTCTCAAACTAAAAAATGTAATTCCAATAATTTAACTTATCACTCGATAAAAAAACTTTTGAATTCTGGATAGCTGAAGATTTTGAAGACGGACATAAACATTATACAGTGATATATTTTTTTTATCATACTTTTCTATAATTTTTTTCATAGTATCCTATGGCATTTTTAAAATACTACAGCATGGCATTTTAATCATACTGTATTATGATATTTTATCATACTATACTGTGACATTTTACCATACTATACAATGACATTTTTATCACGCTATACTGTGACATTTTTTTTATCATGCTCTACTATGATGTTTTTAACATATTATACTATGACCTTTAATCATACTACAGTATGACATTTTAACCAACTATATGATGACATTTTTTATCATACTACACTATGACATTTTAAACATATGATACACTGATTTTAATATCATACTTTACAATGACATTTAAGTCATACTTCACTATCACATTTTTTTCTTACTATACTATGATATTTTTTATCATACTAAACTATGACATTTTTATCAGACTATTCTGTGACATTTTTAATCATGCTATACTATGATTTTTTTTAACATACTATACCATGACCTTATATCATACTATACTATGACATTTTAACATACTATACAATGACATTTTTATCACACTATACTATGACCTTTTTTATCATACTATACTATGATTTTTTAAACACACTATAGTCTGTAATTTTTTTTTCATTCTTTCGAGTGTGAACCTAGGCTAGATATCTTTACAACTGTGACATTTTTTTTAATCACACTATAATAGGACATTTTTATCATACTATACTATACCTGCACAGTAACATTGGTGACACAGTAACATACACAAGTTTGAAGACATGTTGATTTAGACTTCAATTCTTTGGACTTTGGCCCACTCTTTTTTATTCCTCAGACAGCTATCCAGCTGTTGCTCTATAAGAAAATCATTCATCTCTTCTTGGGTTTCTGTCCTAATGATGAAGTGTAACACCCTCTGTCTTTCTAGTTTTGGACTCCAGCAGCTTCTGAGCTCAAATCTGGCTCCTTGGCTTATGATTGCTTTACTACATTCACCCGCTAGCCAGTCTTCGACTATGTCTGCCTCTGCTCGGGTAAAAAAAGTTGTATAAATAGCAAAAGAGCTGAAGGAGGCTGAGCAGACTGAGATGATATCTCTATGTCTGATTCATTATTGAAATAATGAATTTTATGTTGCTGTATTGTCTAAAGTCATCTATCCAACATATAGATGACCATTATGAGTAAAAGTGTAGATTATTAGAGGTGTAAAATCATTAACTCCATACAAGAAGTGGATTTTGGCCGCCGCCTTGGGGCCAAAAGGGCAAAAATTAATTTCCAACAACCAAAAATGAGACTCATAATTAACAAGTTGCACCAACCTGTCATTTAAAGCGATCATGGATTTATGTGTAACTTATGCTCAAAGTTAAGTTGTTTAATATGTGTGTTTAAGGAGACTGACTCCAACTCAGAGGCAGTCTCGAGTAGCCATTTAAGGAAATACAGTTTTTTTTTAATTTTTCTAATATTCCTGAATGATCCAAAACATTGACACTTGAGTGGGGCATAAGGATTTTAAAAGAATTAACAGTAGTGTGAGTGGATGTAAAAACTAGTCCCTGATTGGCTGTTTTTTTATGAGTGCTATTAATGTAATTTTGCAGTTATGTGATAGCTCAAGAGTTGTTCTTAAATGCTTTACTCTTACACATCCCTACTGTAAGTGGTGGCAAGCTGCTAGATTATCATGCTTCACACTCAGCTAAGAAATGTTTTACCCCTCAAGTGGCTCTGCAGAGCATCTTAAGTGGTCTCCTTTAAAGTTTTGATAAGTGGATGCAGGATCAGACCTAAATGCATCCAGCTTACGCCAAACCAAGGTTCATTAAAAAAAGAAAGCTTGTCTATCTTTCACAGCATATGAGCCTCAAGGGGGTCTAAGCGAGAGACTAAAGCATGTCTCTCAGGGAACTGTGGTTGAAACAGAAGATTTTTAATTAATTTTACTGTGTCGTTTTACTTACCTTCACATTCAGAACTTTGAGGAGCCCTAAATCTATTTTGCAGCTCATCAAATTATTTCAAAAGAGCTGAAAATATCAACCTACCATGAAGAGTGTGCACATGTGAGCGGACTTCAATCATTATAATCAATTAAAGGTTAAGTAACTACAGTCTGTGACGGTTTTTGCATTGAAAATGTCATTTTAATCCTTCAAATCCTGCTTTCAGTGATCCGACTTTGTTGAAACTTGTCTGAATTCTGGTTGGGATTCTTATCTCAGCTTCAGCTGCTCTGTTCAAACTACCAGACTTCTTCCCAGAGCTTCCAAAGCCATTAGACTAGAATGGGATCACATAAAATCACTGTACCCAGACATTAATTAAATTAAAAGTGCTTAATGTTTTTGCCTCTGGTAGGGGGCATGTTTCCAACTGTCTGGAACAAGACCCCTACAGGCTTTGGAAATGTGTCTCTCCTCTGTGAAATGTATTACAGAGGGACATTGTGTCCATAGGTACGGCAACTTAATCTAAAAAGTCACAGTGTTTACGATTAAATAGTGTGCAAAACAATGAAATTGTTTTTTTTAAACTTCTGTCTTCAAGCCTAAATCAGAATGCAAGACGAATAAACACCAAGTCTCAGGGTAATAATGGAATCATTAAACAGCAGGTAATAAATTTATTTAATCAAACTCCAAATCAAAGGGGTCTAGCCTGCTCTGCCCTTTGCTAAATCAACCATTTCAGAAGTAACCAAAAAGGAGTTAATTTGTTTCAGAACAGCAAGGACTCGGAAAGGGTAAAAACAGCTGAGAAATGAAGAATAGCCGAAAGTGCTGAGTGACCAGAAAAAAGGCCTGCAGCCCACATGTCTGTGTCAGGAGAGCCGCAGTGGTGCTTATGTCAAGTAATCCGTGCTGTCTACAGGGACCGAACAGTTCCCATCTAAAAGACATCTCCGTGAGTGTCAGCCACGGCCATCAAAAAGTTAACCTGACATCCTGATATCTGGTTACCATGCTGCAGTGTGTAATTTACAAAAACACGACACATCTGCTCTTCAGTGCACAGTGACCTCTCATAGGGGAATCTTCATTTAAAATAAGACGGGAGAAATCTGTGTTCACGCTGAATGTAGTTAAAATTTACTCAAAACAGACACTCACTGCTGACTTTTAGGGCTGTAAAATGTTAATTAGTATCTCTCACAGTGACACTCATCCTTGAAAAACCTATTTATGAGATTGAGAAGTGCAAAAGTAAAGATACTTCTTCATTTAGTCTTTGCATAAAATTTGCAGTAAAGCTTTTTCTGTACTAGGGTAAGCTTAAAAAAATAAAGAACAAATGTTCTCACATACAGTAATGATGATATATGCGAGGAGGTGAAGTGGGAAACTGGAATTATTCATATTAAATTCATATTCAACGTGAAAAGTTTTATTTCAATTTATGCACTAACAGGAGGAGGTATTGTTGTTTACTGTAGGGATGTCCTGATACTGGTCTAAACTGTTGGATCAGACTCCACCAGGGAGTTTTATATCAATCAGAGATCAGAATGTGAATCTCCCTCAATCACTTGCCTCACTTGTCACGACTATCAGTGGGACACAAACATGAAGGTAACTTGGCAAAGGACAAGTTGAAGGCAAGATAATCGGGACATCTGTGTGAAACTCTGGCTTACAGTTAAACAGGAACACATGTGCTTAGTCAGCCATATTCCAGCTTTACGGCAGCCTACAGTAACTTTTCAGGGACAAAGCATGAACACATGGCGGTCTGTTTCATCAGCATTAACAACCCAGTGGCTGAAATATTGAAGGTGTGGAAATATATTCAACTAGAACTCTCAAACAGTCTAACAGCACTTGCAATATGAGAAATATGTTTGATAAGACGGATAATATGACCGATTAGATACAACATCTCCTAAAACCTGAACATCCAACAGTATCTTCAATATTCACTGAAGCCGTAGAGGAAAAGGTTGCTCTAAACTTTAAAAGAAAGGATAAGTCTACCAGAGAGATCAACAAGGGCTAATGAGTAAAGGTGATTGAATTCATTGTTTTGCCGAGTCCATTTCTTTTGCAGATGTGTCGCTCTTTTTAATTTTAGCAAATTCAAGAATCAGACTCTGGACTCAATATCAGCAGATAATAGAAATGAAAAATTTGGATCAGGTTTCGGAGTCAAAAATACTGATCAGGTCATCCTTAACGTCTTTCTCTGATCACCTGCTTCAGTATGTAGACTAACACTACATATGTAAAAGTGCAGAGCGAGGGGATATCATCATTGGTAAGAAATGGTAATTTCATACAGAAATTTAGCCCACATTAGCAAAATGGATAAACCAAAATCAGAACCTCCACTTCTGAGCCAATCAGAGCACAGCAGGCATGACAGCAGCGATCCAATCAGAGCAAAGCTTATTAACATAAATGTTACTGAGCCAAAGGCAGTTTGGTTTCCTGTAAGGTTTTTTAGGCATACTAAAACGGTTTGAAACAAATCATCAAATAACTTTTCAGCTAAAATTATGTTGCAAACATGATCAGAGGACAGCAAGGATTATGAAAAAATGATTGAAATGGGTATGAAATTTTGGTGGCAGGTCCTCTTTAAGAGAGAAACGAACAAATCACTTCGGGAAGTGATTTGGTTCAGTACATTCACTTAAAAGATTTGATTCTTTTGAACGAATCGTTTGCGAACGACACAACATTAGTATGAGGTGGAATTGTGAGCAGGTGTACCTCGGCTTCTGGCCTCCAGTTCCTTCTCCATGAGTTCTTTTGGCGAAGGAAACTCGCTGAGCTTCACCTTTGTCATGGTGTCATTCTGACCGACTGTACTGATCACCTCTGGATCTTTCTCCTGGCTGTCCTCAGTCTGAACGTGAATCCAGGGGATTTTTCTTTGGATGGTGAAGCAGAAAAGAAACTGTGTGAGGTTTACTCTACAAAGGAAAACATCTAGATCTCAGTGAAGTCCAAACACACCTTTTAAACTTGTAGATGAAGAAAGCTGCTAAACCAACAAACACCACCGTGAGCAGCATCAACATGGCAGACCCGCTGTGGATGGAGTTTGAATCCACCAGTGGCGCTGAAAGGTAAGCACACCACATGAGTGTCAAATCTCAGACGCGATAAATGTGTTAAACCACTTTTTCCCGATTTCAAGGAGACGACTTTCATTACCCTGTGTCATGTAACAACAGCAGGTAGAGTTTGAAGAGCCGCTCTCTGAGTCTCATCCCCTCAGGGTGTTAAAAAGAACCTTTAGGAGGCCTGCTGTTTCTCCCTGGAGACCGTCATGCAGGTAGCTTATGCATAGTCATGGATTCCTAAATGCTGAGATGCAATATTCAAAGTATTCCCCCTTGTCGGCCATCTTTGTCTCCTTCACAGAGAAGCCTATGAAGTGTGTGACCTTTCTGAATCATTTTAAAGGCAACCCAGACCTTTGTACGCAGACACAAATGAAGACAGATCTGCTGGTGGATGAAAAGGGTAAAGCCACGCAGGCTTGATCGACACGTTTTTGCGATATGCAAATGACCCGGTGACCCTGCCGATTACCTCAGTGCATACTAAATGACTGCTTTGTCAATCATTTCATTGATCGTAAGATTTCAAAGAGAAGTTCTGTCTCACAGCCCCAGGTGCAAAACTGATGTACTGTGAAAGATATTTAAATCCTGTGATATACTTTATCACACAGATCTCACTCTGGGAATACTGTTGTCTTTGTCTTTTTTTCCTGCGTTAGAGTAAAACTCAATGTCAAACCGTCCCATGAAAAACACGTGGCTTATCTTTTGTGCATCTGCGAGCAGAACAAATGTGCTGTTGATGTGCAGACAGACTTCACAGATCTGCCTTAAATTCAGACTAACAACCCTTCAAACTTTTTCAAAAAGGTTTTTCAATGCAACAAAGTAGAAGAAATGTGAAGATATGACAAAGAGCTTTCACACAAACGTACCCAAAGTTTGCTGAGTCATGTACACGATGATGCGAATATCGGCTTTCAGCTCAAACTGGATCAGGCCTTGGTTCAGGGCAGTGACGAAAATATTTGATATCTGTTCAAGGATAGAGAATTAAAACACATTTAAATGTAGTTTGAGCTGGTTTGATGACTTATTTTATTAAATGTTGTTGTTGTGATGATGTGTAATTAGGATTAACCTATGTCTCATGTCTGTACATTAAAATAGGGATGAAACTAGAAGCTTTTTGCTTAGCTTAGCATAATCTAGAGCAAAGGTGGGCAATTTTTACATGGAGCCATTGAAGGGCTCAACCAACAATAACTTCAGCCTTTTTCTGCTCGATATTTATAATCTCCCATTGTAAAGAGCAGTTATTTAAACCCACAGACATCATATATGTGAACGCCTCATTACTTGCTGGAGCGTATTCCATCTCTGCTCTTGTGGGGAGCTGTGAGATAATCAGGGGGGATTCACACAGACAACAAAGCACTTGACAACTTGACAACTAGGAGGTGTCTACATATATTATGTCTATGTTTATAACTGTCTCTGTTCACGAATGCAGATCTAGGATGTACACACGTGCGTCCAAACGGAAATAAAACAACAGCTAGGTTTTCAAAATAAAAGCAAACCACTTGTTGTATAGCATATTCATGTTCTGATTGGCTCACAAAGGGCCGCGCAGGGACATCTGAAGGGCCAGATGCAGCCCTCAGGCCATAAAATGCCCAGGGCTGATCTAGAGGAAATAGTTAGCTATCTCTCTCTCTTTGTAAGTATAAAAAACACAAACACAAGAAATGAATCTAAAGTTAAAGCTCCTTTAAGGATCATTTGGTCAACCTCCCAGGGACATGGCAGTCTTTTCGTATCTTGTCTCCTATCTGTGTCTTTTAACAAAACATCTCATCCTGATGACCTGACAATCAAATGTGTCATTTTTAGTGATTATTTTGTGTGAAAATTGTAAAAAACAAAACAAAACACAGGGCTACTTTTTAGCTACACAGCTGACACTGACCTCTTCACACTGGTTTTAGGCATTATGACAATACACAAACTGTCAGTCTTGTTCCTAACACTTTTAAGAGGGGGAGGGGTGGCTACTACCAAAAGTCCTATTAACTATTACGTAAAACTGAATCGACCATTAACCAATGTTGTCAAACTTGTAGTCATTATCTGCTTACAGTTCTGTTTCATCATGTGAGAATAACTAAACATGGACATGAAAAGTTTTCCAGATGTCACGTCTCTTACTGTCTCTAGCGCCTCCTCGCTGCTCCTCTTGTGCTCGCTCGACATGTGTTCATCAGGAAGTATAAAGAGCTCTGCTGTACTTGGAAGACCTGGGTACAAAGACACCAGCAGCTGATCTTCAAGTACCCCGGACACCTGAAACAACAAGACACCACAACAGACGGGCAGAACTGAACTCTGGTTTTAGTTTAAAGTATGTCCTGTTAATTCAAAACTTTAGACAAAATAAGACAAAACTGACAAAGTGACATTCACCCTCTGCAAACATCCTGACACCTGTCTCAATTATATTCACACCTGACAAAGGTGTCAGGTCACTTACATCATAGTTCAACTAAAAAAAAGACAAAATTTCTTGTATGGAGCATAAAACATGACTGTGGTATCAGTGTTGCACATATCTATTAAATCGTAATAACCCTGAGTGCCACTGGGTGATGATAGTCCTTGAGAAGATCTCAGAGCGATAGAGTCTCGGTGTACCTGTGACAAAGCTGTCCGTACCACACGCCCTACGTCCTCCCTCCACTCCGGGATGTCAGGATTGTGCTCGTCAAGAGCCGGTGAGAATGACAACAGCAGCGACCTGAAGAACTCTGGAAAAACAGTGAAGTGTGTTGGAATACGAGTGCTGCTTCTGGTTTCCTTTTTTGATTAATCAGATGTGCAGTTTTGTCCTTTTTCATTTGGCAACATAAGCCTTGAAGTTAATTGCTCCTCAAGATTTTGTGTTTGCCTACCGTGACATTTTATTCATTAGATAAGTCCACGTTGACATCTACACGGTGCTGCTAGCAGGGTGGACCGAGAAGCATCATACTCTCCCAGAGAAAGCGGATTGCATATTCATGTAACGTGCAACGTACCAATTAAAGTGCTTTGAAGACTGTCTCCTCCACTCACCTTTAACAGTTATAACTTTTGAATCCTGTATGATGGTGCTCCCAGAAGCAACCTGGACCGTGACCTTGTTTTTCCCCTCTTTCTGAAATGTGTATGAGATGCTTCCCTCCAAGGTTATAATGGGCTGGATTTCAAAAGAAGAAAAACAGAGAATCTCACAGAAAAATCCTGCGTCCTCTCAGCCGGATATAGAAAACAGCATACATGCAGCCCTTGACATACTGCATAATGAGGTGGTGCTGCTGCAGTGAAAACAATCAACATGATAAATAAATACCACCAGTCTTGCAAGCTGGATCCCCCTAGAAAGACATCGAGCAGTCACGTGCAGTCACAGTTTACATGATTTGTGTGAAAGCTCTGTGGATTTTCACTTTGCAAACAACAATATAAGGACAATGAAGAGAAAAGAGGTGGGGAATAAGGATCGTAGCAGGAGATAGTGTGTGTGGAACAACGGTGGGAGTGGGAGGAGAAGCTTCTCACCTCGGAGCTGTTGTCAAACCACCAGAAGAAGGTCAATATTCTGGTGTGGCTCGGCCAAACCACTGCAGTCAGATTAGCTTCCTTCCCCCTGATGGCCACGATAGGAGCAGAGAGATAAACACGCTCCACTGGACCTAAGGCAGCAACACACGGACCGTAACGCATCCATACATATATGCAAACGCATGTGCATACATATAAGTGCACTGGCACCCACACATAGATAACGCGCGCAGTCTTATTGTTATCGTAGATGATGTAGATTTAGCTCCAGGTGTGTATTTTTGCATTTTCCAAGGCTAAAAGGCATAAAGACAAAACAAGCATGACTAAAATGAAATTCAGCAGATAGGGGACGTGACTATCCATGAAAGAAAAGAGGTTCACGCTATAAGCGCCGCCGCAGGAATGAGTAATGATGTTTCTTATTCACATACTGGTGATGTGTAAAAACAGTGTGCTGCTGTCAGATCCCTGGCTGTTTTCCGCAAAAGCTGTCACCCGGTAAATCCCAGTCGCTCTGTAGACGTGCTTGATGCCATCATCAGTCCTGCTCAGGTTAGAGTATGTGATCTTGATGCCGTCCCCGAAGTCGAGCTGAATGCTGGTCCTCAGCGAGTCTCCCTGAGGACACACACCGGAAGACATGGCCTCTGTCACCTCGGCTTAAGTCAGGATACTTCAATTACACCACATACAAGTGACGTAAGCACAGTCCACTACCAAAGTGCTCGGGCTGAGATGTCCTTTAAGAGGTGTCACAAGCACTTTGTGGGTGGATATGAATGGAAGGAGACTGAAATTCAACTGAGGAAAGAAAAGGAAAACAGAGGAGAGCAGCGGAGGCAAAGGAGGTCATGAAAGACTTCCAAAGTAAGAAGAATCTGTTTTTAATCCAGCGATCTTTCTGCTCACAAATCATCACAAGCAAACCAACATACTCCCCTTATTGATGTGTTTTTGCACACTCATTACAAAGAAAAACATGTTTTTTTAGTAACCCCTCCTGGCATCTAGCCATGCAGATATCTTTGGTTTTATCCACTCATGTTTTTAGGATTCTGTCCAGATACATTTTTGCTGCAGCACCACGGATCATAGATCGGTGAGGCTCCACTTGTATTGTTCATAACATTTTAAAAAAACAAATACAAGGAATCGATAACAGCGTGTCCGCGCAGGGAGGGAGAAATCTTCACAGCACCACATGTACAGTTGTACAGGGATCATCTTCTAAGCAGAAAGAAGTTCCAATTAAAAGAGCTCACACATCAAAGATCAAAAGATTGGTTTGAAGAACCTTTTTGATTTATTAATCCATCACAAACAAAATCCAAGTCACTCCTATCAAACCGACCAAAGACAGAAATCTGAGAAGTATCGCAGAACCCAAGCAATTAAAAACAAATTGATGGCTTATCAAGTTGATGCTCCAGAAACAGCATTGATCATCTGAAGGTAGAACAACTCTCAAATCTATTCCAGATTATAACATCTCAAATATTTAGTGCCAAGATTCATGGTTCTCAGAGGATGACTCTGTGATCCCCCGACTGTTCCTGCTGGATCACCACAAGGCTGCAGCTCTTATATCTCGGTACAGTACCTCCACAAATAATTGATCGGAAGGATGCTGGTCATTTTTTTGGTCACCTGATGATCTATGTGGTATCAAAAGCTGATTCTCAAGATTTAAAACTGCCCTGGGTGTTATTAAAATATCAGACTTGTCAAAAAGTTTGGTCATTGTGCCCAGGGGACGAACAAACCCCTTTTTGTGTTAACCCACCACTTATAATGTGTTATTAGCACATTTGTAAAGTCTTACTAATCTGATGAGGTTATTGTGACAGCTCATGATTACTTATAACAAATTTAATAAAGCTGAATTAGTAGTGAACATATTGCCTTACATAGAGATGGTGGAACGCAAAACTAATAACAGCATCTTTTAAATTCTGGATTTGATAAACATTTGACACCCACAACTTTACAAAGTGATACAAGACCATAAGGAACTTAAACAGTGTGTTATAAGTTATTGTTTCTATAGTTTCCAGAACTAGGCATTACATGTAAAGTGAAATATTAACTTAAATGAACAAAAGAGAAATCAATTTAACACTTTTGGATGATACACCAGGTCTAGTAAGTTACAAGTTCACTCATATCATTATTGACTTCATTTTTCTATGTATTTTTACATATATTTTATATCTTTATATCCATATCTTTGTTTCATTGCCATAATTTGCTGTATATCCAAAAGTACTTCTGGACTTGCTTCAACACAGACAAAAACATAAAGTCTCAGATTTTACTACATTAAGTAAAACTAAAAGTATGCGACTTAAACAGCTCTATAAAAGCTCATATTTTGTTGAATTTGAACAGATTTTTAAGTCAAAATATTTGCGAAATAAAGGATTTCTGATGAGCCTCTAAAACTGAATTAAGTTGTTGTCAGTTTTGCTTTGCGGTTTAATGAATTATAAATCAAACCTTCATAAGGAATTATGTCCACTGTTAATAACACTTCATAAATGTTGCTATTAGTTGTTATGAAGGCCGATAATCCCTTATAAGGACTGTTATAAAACCTTATAAATACATTTATGAAGCTTTATAAATATGAGGCATTATAAGTCGTGGAATTACTGATCTTTAACAAATCTTGAAATGTATCAAAGCATTTGGGCATTTGATTAAAACATTGATTAATCTTATTAGGTCAAAAAACCCCTATAACTCACATTGATCCTCTTGTTGCCATGTTGTCCCACCTACAGGTAAGAAAATTATTTGCTTTATGAATATATATGAATGTGCTTTTATGACCAAACAACTCCCTTGAAACATTTGATGATTATCAGATCCATCACTGTGCACATGTAGGCATGTGTTTATAGGTATTTGTCTCACTCATGTTCACAGAGCCTTCAGCCACACGAGCTGTGCTGCATTTCGGTTCAACAGGCCGATCAACACTACCGACGCCACAGTGACCTTTAGGCGATATGACTCACATCATCCAGGTAAACCATGAAGGTAACATTGTTCCCAACACTGGCAGCGAGCTCCCCTGGACTGGTGGATAGCCGGAGTCCTCGTGGTGGTCTGGGGCGACACGGCTGCCTCTTAGGCGAGTACACGTTCCTCCCGTCTTCCTTACAGTTATTGGACAAAACCTTTCGATACCTTGGGGGTGAAATAAAATATGTGGAGTTATAATTTCTTTTTATTTACGCTCCTGGCATAAAACATGTGCTGGGAATAAATGCTCGTACAATTGTTAAAATCTATGCATCTTATTTATACTCTTTCTTTTTCTAAACAGATGAGTGCTGCTACTGTGTGATTCATCTGTAAGCTGGACATAAAAAAGAGAAAGTCAAATGTTTATATGAGGATGCCATGCCTTCTATTACATTATACATGTTTATAGCAAAGAGGAGCAGATGTTTGAGGTTATACCTATTTAGAGACAACCAGAGTAACTCACTTGTTATTCTGTGTTCATAGTCTATAGTGTACAATATAAATCTATCTGCAAGTTTATTATCATAATTGTTGTGCATAGTCAGGCTCACTTTGCATTTTTATGTACTCTGGAATTGGGACACAGTCAAGGTTACTTTTTCAGCTCCCCAGTCTTTAGTATTTTTCTCTTTTTTTTTGCACCATTGAGGAAGTGAACACATTTTTTCCTCTGTTTGTATTCTACACAACGTGACAAACAAGCTGGAATGAAATAACATTGTTTTGTGATGGATTGAACATCGAGGACCACTTACCCTGTGCTGTTAAGAAAGCTTTGGCTGGTGCTGCAGCTCTTAGCTGCCCCATTTGGATTAAACCAAAAAGCAGGGGAACACTTCCCATCCACCTGGCGTTCCCACCCATAATCACTGCCAAAAAACACACACCACTTCATAAAATGATAAACAGTTCTACTCAAATAATCTGGCATGTACAAGCTTTTGCAGCGGGGTGCAGTTTGAGCTTCATGGCGTATTCTAAGACCATAACTAGAGACATGATTGTCAGACAAGCAGGATCAAACAGAATTTCAGACAGATGGATAAAAGATATTCAAAATTCATTTAGTGATTCATTATTAATTGAATTCTAATAAGTCACTTGACATTATGCAAATTACAGTGGCTCGATGAAAAGTTTCTAACTCCCATCTACAATTTTAAAACTATAATTAGATCTGATGAATATAATCCAATTAGTTACCCGATAAATATGCACTGTAGGAGAGATGTTAAGGCAGATGAAGTTCAGCAAACTGAAAACTTCTGGTTTTGATTACAAATGTCTACAAGTCACTGTAATTAGAGAATCTGTTCGACAAATACATGATAATAAAATTAAATCTCGACCAGGATGTCTGAGAGAGGAAACCGGTACCATTCAAAATCATAGGACGTGCAGAGGCATGGCTCTGAGGAGTACAGCCTGGAGTAGTCCTGGGCCAGCATGCAACGATTCCCCGGCCTTCGCTTCATATAGATCTGCTTTTCACCCATCACGCACTGCTCACCCTATCGAACAGAGTAAAAGATTATCTTTTTTTTTTATCACGAGACAAAGAGAAACTCTGCAGAATGAGCGCCTGAGTGATATTTGTTCATGCATTCAGCGTGCCTACAGTGTTTACAGTGACAACAGACAATCGTGCGTCTCTTGAAGTGGACAATAAATCAATAATGTTTAAAATTCTTGTTACCTTGTTGCGCAAGTGCCACGTCTGGTAATCTCCATCCATGCATCTCCTGTTAAAGAGACCTTTGTAGTCGATCTTGATCAGCTGCCACTCTGAGCGATGGCTGAAGTGTCCAAAAAAGCTGCAAGAGTTTCACCGAAATGCAAATTCAGAACAACAGCGTTTGCAGATGATGTTGTTGTGACAAAGTAACAGCACATCATGTTCTCAAAATACTAATTCAGTCAGACGTGTGGACAAAGAAGATAACATTCACTTGACAGAAAGTTTTACTCATTGTGGAAAATCAGATGGACCTTTCATCCCATTCTGAAAGCCTGGTATTTGTTTTATTCCTGCTGGTCTGTACTCGTCTCTGCTTACGTGATAATGTGATTGTCAGATTCCGGCTCCATTAAAACTCCATCCACATACAGAGGAGCCAGGGAGAAACTGTGCCGGTCCCATTTCTTCCCTTCGTCTAGACTGATCCTGAGTAAAAACAAACAAACAACAGCTGTCAGCGCGAGAACATCTGTCTGTCTATCTGTCTGTCCGTCTGTCTACCCGCTCATGTTTATCTGCCTGTAGTGGCACAATATATTGCTTCCTTTATGCATACAACATCAAACATTACCAGAACTTAGGCTGAGCTGTGAAAAACAACGCACAAGGAAATATGACAAAAGATTTCAGGTCATTTAGCTTTTGCCAGAGCTGAAAAATGAAGCGCCTTGGACTCTCTTCAAAGTGAAAAATTATCGCGACGGCAGACTGAACAATAGAACAAATGCTCCCCAGTGCAGGTAAATTTTTGAAGGTGACAAAACAACAGAAAAGAAAGATGTGACTCAGGCTGTAACATTAGAAACGGATCGGGGTGGGGCGGAGAGATGGGGTGAAATCACCTTTCTCAGAGCTTAATCACTCCTGACAGGGCTGTAGTGAGCGGGGACATCAAAGTGGATGGTGTTACAAAGCTTCAACATTATGAGCAACTTATGAGGGCATCCTCAGGCTTGTATTTCCGCCCGGCTCTACTTTTCATTTACATAAAAGCACTCAAACCATCATATCCGTCCACGAGTACACAGACATTCTTCTGCTGGAAATGGTTCTGACAGCTCTGAAGCTGCAGCTCTGATACAGCAATCAGGCCAACTTTGCCCGTCAGTATTTCAAAACATTAGGTGCAATCATAAACTCCATCAAAACCTGAAAAATAAAATTATACCCCAGTAATTTCCCTCTCTAGAACAACTTCAACACCTACAGCTTCTGCCTACAGCAATAATGACATCAGCTGATGTTGAACAATAGCTACACCTACCACAAATGTCGGATCGGTGTGGCTGCGTGCAGCACAGCCAGCAGAGCTCCACCATTATCCAGAAACCAGACGTTGTGCTCTTCATCAAAAATCTGCAGTGGTCAAAGGTGACAAAAGTACACACGATTTAACTCAAACAGACAAAGAGGTACCTCTTTAAAATAAGCCTCTGCTGGAGGATAAGAGTCCTTCTTTAATGTCTTCACTGAGGTTAGAGTGCAGGAGGAGAGGCTCGGAGTTGTTCTCACAGTATAGAAGTGAATGGTAGCTCTCTGCAGGAAGCAGCTGTGCAAAGCTTACTAACTATGAATCTCATCAAACTGGAAATGATCTAACTTCAAATTAGCCAAAAAAGAGCAAATTATCCCCAGGATCTTAATTATCAGAGCTGAGGTTTCTCATTGGTAATGTTAAATTGTTCATTGTCATCCATGTAACTATAGTTTTATTTCTCACTGAAGCCTCCTCTTCACTGTCTGGCTCTCTCTTTTTACTGGACTGTTCTTATTTAGGGCTTCTCTAATCCTCTGATCAATCAAACAACTTTTTACACAACAAATCAAATTTATGCATCCATCCACGCCACAAACACTCACACACTCGTTGCAGAGCATGCTGTGTGCCTATTAAGAGTGTTGAAATTAATCATTTTCATGATGCATCGCTGTGTCGACGTGTGTGATTCTGCATCGATGCAGCGACAGAAGATAATCAATGATGGTCTCTGTGTGCAGTGCACTATGTTTGAGTGTGTCAGCCCACCCTGTGAAGCTAACGCACAGACAGCAGAGGAACGGTATACAGACGATAAGTTATGTGTGAGAAAGAGAGAACGAGAGAGAGAGAGAGAGAGAGAGAAAGCGGGGGGACTAAAGCCTGATGAGAAGATTAAGGTTTTTTTTTGAGGAAGGTAAATATTGTTCGCAAAGTAGGGATTGTGGAAAAGAGCCTAATGTACACAAAGTTGCATATCCTTTCAATATTTAACGTATATTTCAATCCACGATAATTAGCTTACAACAAACGATAAACCATGCTGCTCTTCAGTAATTATAGAAAAGCACAGATGACGGGTTTCTCCCATAATAACTGACATCTGTAAATATTAGAGTGTCAGTGAGCTTCTTGTCACTCCTTCAAAGTAAAGTGAGCCTGTAAAGGTCTGTATTACTACACAGCGTTATGATGTATTGTTATGCAGTGTGGTATTGAACTGAGATGTTGGCAGGATAATGGTAATTGAATCGAATCATGACAACAGTGACAATGTACAATACCCATCAGTGTTAATTAATTCCATTCACATGCATTTAGACACCAGCGGCTGTGCCAGCAGGAGCACTTCAGGGGTTTAGTGTCTTCTCGAGGGACACTTCACTTTATCTGGACCGCCAACACTCTGACTGATAGACAGCTATTTCCACCCTTGAGCCCCAGCTCCAACCTTTTATCTATGATACATTAAGAACTACCTGAGATCAATTTAAGATGTTGTTCAATTCAAAATTAAAGATTACATTAGAATACATATTTTTTTCACGTTACATGGATTTCATAAATGATTTCAAGCACTGAGATTGATTTACCATGTGTTCATTTTGTGCTTAATTTTCCCCGATAACCTGTTACTGTCCATCCAATTAAACATTTACCAGTCATCCTGATGAACTCATCCGTCATATGTTATTTATGACTTGCCTTGAGGTTGAAAGATAAAAATACAGATTCTTATTGAACGACCATACGAGATAAAAATGTTGGTAATTCCCATCTAACAACAGGGGAGCAGAAAGTTTGTGTTCAACTCAGAGCCGGCCCGAGGCATAAGCGAACTAAGCGCCTGCTTAGGGCCCCACAGCCAGTAGGGGGCCCCTAAGAGCAATCAAAAATTAAACAAAAAATATATTTTTTTTTTTATTTTTTGCATGTATGAGTGATGCTTTCTGTATGATCAAATATATATTATTGTTATAATAAAATAAAGTAAAAACATTTTAGTGATGCTGCTGATGTAGGCCTATGATTCTTACTGCCAATATGTCAAAGCTCTGCTACCGTTTTGTGCTTTTTGCTGTGTAATGTTTACTGAGCATCCAAAGTGCAGGTAGTTGTGGGGCAAAACAATGTCGCAAAAAAGGACATATCCTTTAGGGGCAGAGAAAAGAAAGAGGAAGAAGAGAAAAAACGCCAAGATAAAGGTATGTTTGCATGTCAGGAAATGTTAAAGAGACTTGTGAAGGTGTGTGAATGATCAACAATCAATATTATTGGCAGAAATAGAGGGCCCCAAAATCAAATTTTGCTTAGGGCCCCATTGAGGCTTGGGCCAGCTCTGGTTCAACTTAAAGAGGTAAAAGCACAATGTAGTCAGAAAAATATTTTTAAAAAATACGTCTCCCTAAATACTTCAATACTTTTTGTTCTCTGTACTGCCTTCTCTGCTCCCATGATGGCACCCTTTAAGATAAACACATTATCTGTTTGAGGTAAACATGTTACTTTAAGTGGGCCTCACCTGTCTCCAGCTATTTCCTGCATCTGATGTTATAAACATCCCAAGGTTGGTAGAGGACAGCTCTGTTCCGATATTCCCTGAATACAAAAACATGAATAATTTCACTCTGTGTGTATTTACATAGCAAAGGCCTCCTAACAAACCTATATGCACAATCAACCAATGCAATCCTTATTTTTGAATCTGTGCATGTCCTCATTTTCCACCAGAGGACACGGTTATAACGTCCCTGCAAACCCAATCAATGCACTCAAAATATGTGATTTAGGAGCTGAAGTTGAAGTTTCTGATTTCAATGACACAAAAAGGGCAGTGTGTGATTAACTGTGTGTTTTTTTTATGTGGATGCACTGCAACAACCATTTATCTGAGAGAGTCGGGATGCCTCTGGGGATGGAAAATTAGCAAAGGTCCTCCGCCTGTGTCAGCTCTAATCTAATCAGTTTAATTTGTAAATCAAACGCCCGTCCTTTGGGGTAACTCTACCTGTAGCCACGATGATCCCCGGCACAGACTTTTTGCTGGTGATGGGCCCGGATGTGTAGGGATTCTCCGACATCTCCAGATGAAGATGTAGCGAACAAAATGGCTGTCAACAAAACGAAAGTCCAACGCAGAAAAAGGTTTAGACAATACGTATCAGGAGGATCTTCACATGCGCAATTATAATTAGCTTTGCCTTTAAACTCCTCTCCTCATTGAGAGAAAAGCGCCAACACTCACAGACACCATTTATGGAAAACAATGATACTTTGTTCTTCTCATCTCATCTCCTCTCCCCAGAAAAAAAAGGCAGAAAACGGCTGAGAGGACACAAAGGGCATTTGAATTGTTTCATTCTAAAGCAAACAAGGCATGTAATTAAAATTCTCCAAGATGCGCTGATAAAACTGGAGAAATTGATTCAAATCATTTCCACTCATCTCTCCGGCTGAAGCACAGTGAAAAACATCAATAAGGCTTTTCAAACAGCAGCAGTTGAAGGGAGGGTCAGAAAGCAGACAAGAGCATTATGGTCATTCATGTGACACGGAGGAAAACGGTAACCTGCTATTAACTCAACAACCAACATCATTTCAAACAATCTTTAAAGAGCATGCTGAACGAATGAGGTGACCATCATACCTGCTGAATAACAACACAGCCTCATAATGTGATTCTGTGTAATCTAACATTCATTAGTCCGCAGTGACTACAGGTAGTAAATTGAAATCACAGAGGTTAATGGAAAGTCTGGACCCCTGAAACTAAAGGCAATGACACTCTGAGGCTCGCTCTGATAATAAGAATATCCCAGCAAACATCTCCTCAGCCGTTTAGGAGGTTTAAAAAGGCAAGCTGATGCTGAGGTTGGCGCCTCGCCCTGAGCAAATACGGCTCAGGAACCAAGCGCATCTGAAGCACAGCTGATGAGGTTGAAACATTTGACGAATGATATGTGTCAAAAGCTTCATTCTGCATGAATAAAAACATTTATTCAGTCCTGCCCAAAGGCTCACCAGGATGCAGTGAAGGTTATTTCCTGCTACATCGGTGGCAGGAGCTGGCAGCAGGGCCCATGTTTGTCCCTTGTTGTAGGTGATAAAAGTCTTGACGTGATTGTCCAGCAGTTTGTTGGCGAGATACATGCCGTTAATCCCCTCGACCTATGGAGGAAAACAGCAAAAATGCAATTATGTCTGAGGGATGCTGCAGTCATATCAATCAAATTCATGATGTTCCCTGAGGCTAGGAAGAAAACTCAGTTAGATGACCAAAAAAAATTTTCTAAGAGGATCAATTTTTGATTTTGGAAAGTTACTTGAAACAATTGTGAGGAGCTTTCGGTTTGTGTCAATTTTCATGCCCCCGGTTGACAAAACAATAACTCCAATCTCTTTGCAGATCTTGCAGATTTTACTTTAGTAGATCAGCAGGGACAGCACAGCAGCATTACACCAAAGTTTAAGTGAGTGACACATTGCAGATTTATTTACTACCTCAACCCTGGTACCAATTTCTAGTCGACTGTAAAGTAAAGGATAAAATATTGTGATTTCTATCAACGATACTCGACTAAAATGTTTTGACTTTATGTCGACTAAAACTATTCAGGGACTAAATGACTAAAATGTGACTGAAACAGAAAGATGTTTAAGACTAAGACTAAACACTAAAGGACTGAAGCAGTATTGTGTAACCTTAAGAGTTTACATACTATTGTGGAGCTTGTATGCAACAACGTACCAAGTGCTGGAAGTACTATCTAAGATCTACTTTATCTAATAACCCACTGAGCAATAAACGGCCATTAGACATCTAGTTTTTTTTGTTTTAGACCTAATTTCGACCATCTAGATCCTGTATATCTTTAGACAGAATTTAGACGTCGTACTTTAACCTGCTATTTGATAACTATTTATTTCAAAAAACAACTGTGAGTTGCATAACTGATCTCAGAGTACTTAACCAACATAATTATGACAGCTGTTGAGCAATATGCAGTGTGGTATAGATATAGCCCAGATTTAGACTTGGTCTAAATTTAGATGTCTAAAAAACTTTCACTTTTAGACCTGTGTTATCCTGATTTTAGACCAATCGTCTAGGCTACATTTAGACATCTGTTAGACCTCTTTAAGACCAAAAAATGCTCAGTGGGAAATAGGCAATGAATAACTAATCTAAAAATGATAATTATGTTCATTTAAAAGCTTAATATTATCTTTTAGATTTAGGGAGTTGCTTAAAGTGTGGTACCAAAGGAATAAATGAATAAACATTGAAAACTGTACCAAAGCAAAGCATGTGAGGACAAATTTTCCCATTTTTATAGGGATAGTAAGGGCATGAAAAATATCTCTGAAAAATCTGATTACATCAGGGTTTAGTATGGAAAAATGCAGGTCTGCGAGTATTAATTGACTAAATAAAGGTTTGAAATGATGAAGTACATAACTCCAGGCTGCAGAAATGTGACAGCCGTCTTTGACAAATGTTACCACAACCATGTGAAATGACTGGAAACGAAAGCAACAGCCCATGAACAAGACTCAAACACACCTTATAAAAGTCTACGAGGAGGTTACCAGCAGGTCCTCTGCTGGTTCGCAGGTTCTCTAATGAAAGGATAAAGTAGACCCCAGGAGAGTCGGAGATGTACAGGCTGTAGGTGTTATTCTGATTCCACTCCTGGACTGCTGCAAACACTTGCTTCTCATCTGTGCTGATGATGTGCATGTCCTGTAGGAGGGTGTGCGTTTGAGAAAGAGAAATGTTAAAGAAGAGCAGGTGAGAAAGATAGGCACGAGGGAGAAAACAAAGGCATATCCCTGCTGAGGTGCTTCTGAATAAGTGTGGTATTTCTTCATAAAATAACACTTTTTATGATTCGATTTCTGCAACAAAGAAGGAAAAAAAAAGATGTGAACGAATAAAATCATCATTTTTGAGTGTGAGAATTAATCTTTGACACTCTCGTGCTTACTTTTGGCAGACAATACTTGGGTAGCTTCATCCTCTTGAATGATTCCCTCATGTAGGAGACAAAGTAGCTGGCTCGTCCTGACTTTGTTACCTGCGTGACAAAGTCAAAGAAGCTCTGTCATTCAAGCATTGCCTCAGCAGCCACACAGTTTTCTTTCTTTTTTCATCATTTGGGTCACAAGCTCTCATTTGCACATTTCATTTCTGATTGACTTCATGGGTGTGAGGTTTCCCTGCATAGAGAGAGTTATGCAGCCTGTCCAGAAAATGAAAAAAAGAAAAAAAAAACTGCGTCGTGATGGGAGGGAGAGAAATTGCCACCATCACCATCCCAAATGTGACTCTGCAGTGAAATGAGGACATGAGGCTCAAACATCTCTAGAAGGAGGTATATTAATTTCCAATGCATGACTGAGTTGATAAAGCGCTTGTGATTTTTATTCTACTTTCCAGAGTGTTGAAAGAAGATTAAAATTACAAGCACAACAGAAATTATTATCATTATCTCAATTAGTCTCAAGCTAAGAGGCACTGGAAATTGTGTTGGCTTTATCTACAGTGTGTCTTGAAGATCTTAATGCACTGCCACTTCCCCATCCACTTACAGCCAGGCCAACACTACTTGATTGCTTATTTTCTAATCAACTAGAAGGATGGTGTTTGTCCCCCAACACACTACATTAGGGCTCTAATGGAATAATCTATCGAAAATCAATGGGCTGCATTTTCCCAGGCCACATTTTTGAGGATGTTGCACTTGGCTGTTCCTTCTCTCCCAAGAGACTTTGGAGGTGTTGAAGACTGCTTATTTCGTTGTAGCCCAATCGATAACCTCATTACTCTTTGTCAAGTTAAATCCAACTGCCCCGAGCAATGAAAGTCACAAGAAAGTCATCTGTGCCGCCACCGCAGCTGTGCGCAGACCCTCCCTGGGTCCAGTTATTTTCACCAGCGTCTTCCTCATGTCTGCCTCTGCCTTGACGGTCAATCTCATCTCAGCTAAATGCAATTTGGTCGTTTTATTGAATCACCATTTCTGAACCTCGCTGTGATATTTTTTTCATACATTTTCTTTCTTGCATCGCAGCCATTCCAATCAAGTCTGTGGATTAAGTGTGTTGAAAGTGAAACTAGGTCACTGCTAAAGTATTGCTGCTGCTGCAACATCATATCATATCAAAAGATTAAATCTGTGGATAAATAAATTAGAAACGAACAGAAAACATTCAGGGGTGTTTATTTAAAATGGGGGAGTATGGCATGGTTTACCACAAACAGTGAGTTCAAGAAAACTTCTATAATTAGATATTTTTATTTTACTAAAACTTGGCTTGAGTCTAACAGGGATGACCGAATGCATCAAGGCTGGCCGGCAGAGAGAAAATTACTTCACTGTGGATGGAAATCAATGACAGAGGAGGGCATTTAGAAATTAAATTTCTAATAATGACCCTGACTGCTGCTGTCTAATTGGAGTCAAAGTCAGAGGGAATAGTAATAAGGACACCGACCTGTCTATTCACAGCTTCTTTGCCATGTGTTCTCAGCTAACAAACACATTTTTCAGGGATTGAGTTTTATCTGTGCTGAAAGTCACACACTGAGCGTGCCTTGACATGAACCAGACAAAACATAATCAAAACACACATCGGGCTGGCGGGGAACAGGTGTGTTGGGGAAAGCCATTATGTGAGTTTTGATGAAAAAGACTGGATGCACAGACGACAAAAAAAAAAAAAAAAAAGCGAACAAACAAAAACAAAACCCTAATAAAAAAAACAAAAAAACCCAGAGATATAAGCCTCGAGTTAAAAAAGATGACAAAATCTGTTTTTTGTTTTGTCATAAAAAGTCCTCCATTACTATACAAACCTGAGTGAAAACATATTCATCCTGCACAACCAGAGAGTTGGTGTCTACATGTCCAGGAAAGAGGTACTGTCTGTTAGCGTCTGTGCAGCGCTGGGCTCTGCACTTCACATACTGAGCGCCTGGAAAGAGGTGAAAGGAAATCGATCAGAAGTAAATTACAACCATTTACCCTCAAACAGTACTTTGTATGCACTGGAGCTGCTATACAGTATGCATATGCTAAACATACTGAAGTTCACAGTTCTGAGAAAAGTTAGCCAACTGTGTGATAACGACGAAATATTTGACTGGAGTTACAAGCACACATTCGACCTTTTTGCGCCCCAAATTAGACGAGTAGGAGCTCTTATGGGGTGTCAAATTTTTTGTGTTCGTAATACGAGACAAGAAAAGTTTGTATGCTAATTCAGACAGTTTTTCTCACCAGAGGAATATGAGTATATTTTCCAATGCAGAAACCCTTATAATTGGTTTGACAGAATGCTGTTTAGAAGGAGGGAGTCGAGGCTTGTCTATGAGACACAGGGGATAGATTAAAGGGGAGAAACATCCATCAACCCGCTAAAACTCTCCATTTTTGTCAGAAGACACCTATTCTGCTTTACAAGACTTCGGGGACCAATCTGAGCGGCAGAACGGGTCTCATCTTCCCTGTGACCTCGCTCTAAATGAGAGGCAAGGGGGTCCTGTGGGTCTTGCCACTGCAGTGGACAGGAGAGGAGCACACTCACGGCCTTTTGCAATGCGTGTCTCGATGTGGACCACATCAGATTCTCTGTCCAGCCCCATTACCGCCCTTGGAAGAGTGGAAGGAGGAGGAGAAGATGGAGAGGAGCAGAGAGAGATGAAGGAAGATGGGGAAGAAAAGAGAAAATGAGATAAGATAGAAGAGGGAGGCTGGGGTGAGAATCACAGCTGTAGGTGGACATTGTGTGAGAGCGATTGAAAGATTCTTTTATCTCCTGTAAATCAGTCAGTGCATAGAATCTGCACCACCAGCGGCAATTAATCTCAATTCACCAAAACATCAAGAGATAAAACAACAAGAGGGAGGAGGGAGACAAAACACCAGCTATTCCCAGAAGTATCCACCAAAACAAATGTGTGTCATTATGGAATTGTGGGTGGCTGCGGCACTATACGGAAAAATAACTATTTGACATAATATGTGTGAAGGAATGGTTTTCAAGAGCACAGATAATGCATTGTTTCGGGGGCCGGCATTCCCACTGCGTTGTCTTATTTATCAAACACTGTGCCGTTCATGCATGTGGAGAGGATGTCCTCCATCTAGTGTCCTTTCTTTCTCGACTTGAAACCACACTTAGGTTTGACACATACCATGACAAACAGGGATAAACGGGCTCACATCAATATTCACTGCCTTGTGCTCAAGCAGTCTGGATTACGATATGACAGCGACAACAAAAACAGCATGTCATGTTTGTGCTATGGAAAAGGAGCACAATATTGCTTCCTCCTACGTGATATGGATATAATCAGCTTTGTGCTTGACTGCAAAGAGGTAGATCTGGTTTTGACAAGGGGTCACTGGATCCTTCTGACAGCACAGGGTCACAAACACTATCATTATGCAAATTACAATCAATCACTGTGTTCAAAAATAGGATACGTGCAATCATACCAGTAGAACCGGCCTAGCATCACGTTGTCGTGCACAAGCTGCCATTTCCTCCCAAAGTCCAGCGAGCTGTACAGCTGCAAGATAGAATTAGGATGAGCTTCATTACATGTTAATTGCCATCATCACAGCCAGAGAGAAACTTATAATACATATTCTCATGCACATTGTGTACTCTGTAAAATCAACATGCATCTTTCACTTGAACAATTTTTGACTCTCTATTTAGTATCTTTACAGTCAGCTTTTTATATGGCATACACAGAGTGATCTGATGTAAGAGCTAAAAACATCAAGTAATTAAAGTAGTACTGTTATTGTTATATGACTTTAACCACTTCAGAGTCCAATTGTGCTAAGCTTACTATTTATACGGTGGAAATTAACTGGGGAAATGCATTAAACATACTTTTTATAACATCAGAAATTTAAGTTTCAACAAAATGCTACTCCCTGACAGAGTGCAGGTGGAAATTTTGATCAAATTACTGTAAATGTAATAGTAACCGAAATTATGTTATGATATAGACTCACTGGATGACAACTGCTCATCAGCCCTCACTCAGTATTATGTGTCTGCAAAGCCAGTGTCAGGACCGCATCTCTTGGCCCCTTGACTGACTGATTTTGCTCTGGGTTAAATCATCGTCATCAAAAACAGTTACATGACACACTAAAATGACAAATGTGTTCCCGCAATGTGGTCCTGACACTGTGTCCTCAAACTTTACAAAACCATTAAAAAAGATCATGATGTCATTCTTTATAGATTGATGCTGCGTTTGAGTTACCTCGGAAATGAAAATGACGGCACACCTGAGTTACCAGCATTTCAGTTACCAAGTCGGAAACAAGCAATAACGGAGGCGGAAACAAGATGGCTTTATCTACAAAAGTTATTGTAGCACTTGCCTTGTCCAAATATAAGGCCAGCACTAAAATAACTTTCATAGATGTAGCCATCTTGTTTCCCCCTCCGGGTGTGACGTCATTTTCAGCTCCGATATCTGACTTCCGAGGTAACTCGAGTGTAGCAACATATTCATGGTAGTAGCCTTTTAAGTATTTACATATTTTTAACTTAACTTTAACTTAATATTTATCATTTCGTAGTTAAGGGTTAGGGTTGATCATTTAATTGTGTGAAAACAGAATCCACGTCCATCTACATGTTTTTGCCACTACCAATATGGCGGATCAGTGGCATATGGAAGACGCAGGCTTATTCAGCCAATTATAAGCCTGCTTATCGACGTGCATTTGTTTATGCTTTCTATGATGTCAAGTGGATTCACACACACAGCCTTACACAAATCATTTTAATAACTTAACAATCAGATTAATAAACATGTGCAACAGATTACGTAGCCCTAAGCCCTTAGACGACAAGCATCCTTACAAATGATTTGCTCCCACTCCCTGTGATAACAAATTAATTTTTTTTCCTGAGCGACTGGGTGTTTTGACCAATTTTCTCCTCATCTTGGGATAACAAGTCGAGGGGAAACAGCCACGATAACAAGAACAATAGCAAAGCTTGTTTTTTCAAGTTGGTAATTTTCTGATCTGGTAAAATACAATGGGCTGGTCACTGTGATGGACCGGCTGACAACCAGCCATGCTGCCATTGCCTACACTAATGAGGTACAGTGAGCCTTTTTCTATGTTTGTACACTGGGAACATGACTTATATTGATTCACATAAAAGAAAACGCCATGAAAACCACTTGAAATGATTTGGAGTGAAAAAATTGATGTATGCATCTCCACTTGGCAGAGCTTCAGGACTTCAGGGTTATATTTATATCAGAGTTAATTCTCCTCAAAGGTTTGTTGTTAGGAGGCATACCTTGCTGTCATGACTGTAGGCCAGTATCCAGTTCTCTTGCGCGGGGTGGAAGAGCAGGCTCAGGATATTGAAGTTAATGGTATACTTCTCAAAGCTTGCCCCTTCATCTGAGCTGATGAGAACAGCGCTCTCTACCTCTGGGTCGCTAAGCATCATTATCTTAAGTACAGAGGGCCAGACCAGGGATATAGCATTAGAAGAGGGAGAGAGAGAGACAGAGATACCGTCATTTGGCAGCAATTTTAAAAAAGCTGTAATTTGATGTTGGGGCTAAGCTTTCCGGAGATCAGATGGGGAGATAAAAGGAAAGAGAGAAATGCTGACCTTCTGTTTGTTGGTAGGGCAGACGTACAGGTAACTCAAAACCGTCCTTGAGCCCACTTTGTCGTTAAGTTTGGTGTAGGTGCTTCCGTAATCGTTCGATCTGGACACAAACAAAAAGCATACTGCATGTTTGATGGGAAAAAATCCATAAGAGAGCTGCCTCAAACTGATTTCAAAGCACCATATCATTGGTTTTTGCATGTTTTAGCCCATTAACCGCAAGTCAGTTATTCTTTGTGTGAATGCATCTCCAAAGAACACCATACATTTTCAGATTGATTTTCTAACACTCAGGGAACCTCTTGGTTTATTGACTGAACCTGCAGTGACAGACTAGCTTCATGCTTATGTTATTATTTTGTTTGTCACTCTTGCAAAACACCGTGTTGAGGTCCTGGAAAGAAATTGTACTGACAGTGTGTGCTGCCATTATTACACCTGTCATCTTCTGTATAGGGCGCTCCAATCTAAAAGGGATGAAATATAAAAGAAACAGATGCCGCTCTTTATTCAAACAATGTGGCAGCTGGATAAAGGAAAATCTTTTCAGGTCACATTGTGTTGCAGACACATTCTTATGCACAAGCAGGATGATTAACTAAGAAACCCTGTGAAGTTCTTGACCATTAGAGGAAGATGTTTTGATAAGTCAGCCTCTACTTTGAATATCTTGTGCTGCTAGAAGCGGTGCCAAATAGTCTCAACAGTGAAATGTGGAAGCTTACCAAAAATATTCATTATTCAAGACCTCATGCAAAACTATCTACACTAGACTCTGGCTTAAGTATTGACTGCTTTTACAGGCTGCTACTGTATTATTGATGTGCATCTAAATCTATCTATAATTCCTATAAACCTGATGGAGATGAGGGGTAGAAAGTAAAGTCAGATAAATATGGACGACTGTCAATATTCAATTTAAAAGCGCTACTGTGAGTTCAATCATTGCTGGGTGTGTTTAACAGTCTTAATTAGAAAGTTAGTACATGTCTTTAATATTCTGTGGCGACACATGTATTTAATAAAGCAAGCATAGATACAAATCAGGGCCAACTATCGAGGGCAAATGCATGCATTAGTGTTCGCCAACTGTAAAATGCACAGAGGAAGGGGGTAAACTGGGAGTGCATGATACGACTCAGAGAAGGACAACAATGTCATCAGTTGAAGGTTAAGAAGCAGTGAAAGGAAATAAATATGTTTACCTCAGAGATTAGCCATGTCTATCAAATAAAAGGAGAGGGTGCAGTAAAGGACGTCCTTCAGTTAATTCCACTGATCGACAACTAGCGGTTAAGACCTGGATAGAAATGTAGCACCAGGGGAGGATGTGAAAAACTGCAAATATGTAAATATTCTGTTTACAACCGATTAAACTGGGATCTTTTGTAAGTGTATCAGCTTTGCCAATGATAATGAGGATTCAACAGGATGAGCCTCCACCTCATTTTGCTTTTATCCCAATATTTACGCTCTACTGGTATGTTACACCAGAGGTCCCCAACCACTGGGACCCAGACTAGTACCGGTCCATGGATCAATACTGGGCCGCAAAAAAAAATAACGATGATTAAATGTTTTTTTTTTTCTTTTCATCCGTCTTCCCAGTATCTTATTTTAGAAGACCACCGCTTCCCTTTCGTGCTTGACTCTTAGGCACGTCATTTCCCTGCATCGGCAAACCCAAGCTAGCCCTTGCAAAAATGAGCCAGAAACAGAGTTCACTGGAGAGAGAAAGGGTTGATTCTGCATTATGGTGAGTTGATGTTAAAGTGTAATGAAAAGTGCCTAATATAAAATGTAATTGTTGTATCCAGATCACATACTATGTACTTATTAAGGTTTTTGTTATTGGAACCTCCACGCCCAATAACACGGTCCTTGGAAAAAATGTCCTGCATGAAACTGGTCCCTGGTACAGAAAAGATTGGGGACCACTGTGTTACACAACCAGCCGCATGTCCCACACAAACCAATCGTAAATGTAGATGGCCACACAGCCATAGCCCACACAGATCAGAATAACAAACAAACATGGCTGAAAGTGATGAAGAAGACGTTTCTCAGTAGCTTGTCACTGAATGAGGCTCCAGATGAGGGATTTCCTTCAAAACTGGGGTTTAGATGGGAGGTGGATCTGCTGCTGTTCACTCTGTGCAATAAGAGTTTTCAACAAATGTTGAATATGTTTGAAGACTTGTTTGATGTCATTAGTTTTCTCCATAACCTACCATTTAAACTTGTGGTTAAGTATCTTATTTGACATCTCCAACTGGTGTTCTCAAGACAAAAATAAAGCTTGGAATTAAAATATTTTTTTATCGGGGCTTTAATTGTTATCACCAGAGTGGCAAATCTTATCATTGCCCATCCCAACAGGAAAGGTGAAAAAAATAAACCAAAAAAAAAGGGGGGAAGGGGAAGCCAACCTAAAGTGAGGAGCTTTTATGTTGGGTAGCACGCTCTACCTCCCCCCACTTCCCACTTCCACATTTTTGTTCAGCAAAAGAGGAGGGGAAAAGAGAGGGAAAAAAAATTCTGAAAAGAGATTTAATAACATGTAATCAAAACTGTGTTTGCAGGAAAAATCCACAGGGTACCTTTGGTGTTTGCACTTTTTCAAAAGTGCTTTAAGACTGTACGGTAATGCGCTGGCTTCACAGGGGATAGTGCTGACTACTGTAAGGAGAGAGCTTGCAAAAGAAACACATTTATGGAGAGCAGATCAGAGCTTGACAACCCAGTGAATATGTGGACGTCAAGTGGCTTTCTATGTTAAAGAAAGATTGACATATTCATAAGGCATTTCCTATTTGCAACTTCACCATTTAGCAGTAATGTGGCTTTGACAAACACATTAAGCAGACTGTACATCCACTTTACACATGTCAGGTCTCTGAAAGCATATTTTCATGCCACACTGACAGGCAATGAAAACAGCAGCTGCCATGAAAGGTGATAGATTAATTAATGAACTTCAGGTATGTTTTGAAAAATGAGCAGTAAAGTGTATACAGGAAATTTGCAGTAAAAGGTCAAGAAAATCCCATCCTGACAACATACTAAGAGATAAACACATTTTTAGTATTGTAAATCAGTCTGCAGGTTTAATTCCCTTATGAAATCTTCTTTTAACCTGTTTTTTTATCACAGATTTCTCCCAAACAAGTGCTAAAAATTGCCTTATGTTTTATCTTCTCTGGATATTTAGTCTCATTTCATGTATTCAGTAGCTGTGGTGCAACAAATTAGCAATATGAGGGTGATAACTACAGCTTCAAGATGATTCATTTTCTGCTTTTATCTCCTTTTTATGAGAACAAATGACCCATTTCTTGTCCCTTATTACTTAAACAGTCCGTGTTGAAATAAGGCATTCAGGTCTGTCGCAACATGAAAAGATACTTCACAGAACTGCCTGTTCCTTACAAGTCCGTGCCTCCCGTGACAAGGGTAGATGTGTTTGTCATCCCAATCTTCATATTTCTCCTCGCTCTCAGTTCTACCTGAGTGCCTCCAAATGTAATTTCACTGCATAATTGGATAGATACCCAGTGTCTGCTATCATTGTCTGTGCATTAATCTGAATCGTGCTGTTTGCTGCTGACATTGTTTTCAAAGACTTTCCCCTTTAAACACATTTGTAATTGCGCTTGAGTACTCTCTCCTGTTGTCTGTCCTGCTAAAGAAAGCCTCCTAAGTAGTGCAGGTAAATTGTGAAGTTTTCGCCGCCTGAAAATAGGGAGCAATTTCCAAACGCAAAAGGACTTGATGTGAGCAACGCCGTTGATCTGCGAGTCGCCCATTGATCTGCACGCTGCATTTTGCCACCAACAGTGGCCTGTAGCTGTAGCAATAAATCATGTATTGTGTTATCGCCAAAATCATTTACTCCTGTTTCTTTTCATAACATTCAGATCTGTGCTTTCCTAATACCCCTACTAAGAGGCTTCTTGCAGCCCCTGAGGTACACTCTAATTTACTTGCGGTGCCATTGTTAAGCAGACACCTTGATGATGGAAGACCTCCTGTACACAATATGGGATTTCAAAACGTGTCAAGTCGGGTGTAAATCTTAGCGGCGCCTTTGGTGAAACAGATATTAATTTGAAACTCTATGCTTGGCGGAGTGATGGTCTCTTTTTCGTGTGTATTTCAGAATGAAATGAGTTCTCTGCAGGCAATGGGAGAGGTGAGGAAAAAAGGCATATCAGAGGCTGGATAGGAGTCGGTGGCATAATCCTTAATGAATTCTATTCTTATTTATGACCTGACAGGGCACTGTAACTCACCTCTCAATATATACTGAATGGAATTACTACGGCTATACAGTGGCAATCGCATGTCAATTGCTTCTGAGACAAAAGGTTACAGATGACAATCAATCAAAAAACTCCATCAGGAAGTTTCTAGGTCAAGGAAAAGAGAGAGCCAAACAAAGAATCCCGCGGATAAGACTTGAGTTTTATCTTTTAGACACAGTCTTTCAGGGTTTTTTGTTTTCTTTTGCTCATGTTGGACAGGGCCCACATCTGGGTCTTTTTTTAAAAGGTTGTTGCTCTCTCAGTTGTGTTATTTATAGAGCTGCAAAGGGGAAGATGCTTCATTTTGAACTACTCCAGATTGCTTTATTAAAACATACTTTATATTGGCTTCCAGTATAACTTGATTGCTCATATCCTTGCAAGGGGGAACACTATAAATCAACCTTACAGTATACTGCATCCTCTATGAATACATTATGCTTATTGTTTTTGGGGTCGTGCTTTTGCATTTTTATAAAATTCGCACGATGACGCCACAACCTTTCTGTTTGGATGGGAGGCCTTACCTCCAGAGTGAGCTCTCCGTAACAGCCCCCAGGTTGAAGTCATACAGCTTAGTCAAGATCAGGATCACCTGCAACACAACAGCAACAGACATGTGTAATTACCAAATTGCCAAAGTCTCAGCCTTTGCTTAAGTGCCGAAGAGCATACACTTCCTGTCGACGCTTAATGACGTGGAATGAATTCAACACGCCTGTTACATCCTTTTACTAATAAATACCAGCTTCAAGCAGAATGTAACGCCAATGACGAGGGATCTTCGTGTCGTCAAAAAATGCCTGCTGGTGGCAGGATCTGAAAAAAAATCTATGCAGGCTGTCAAGAACTATGTTTGTATCTCATGTGGAATGATACCTACATGACAGCAAAATCAGAACATAATTGTTCAGTGAACATCGAAAAGAAATGCAGTCAGTCAGTCGCCGCACCACAACACCGTCTCACATCCCCGTCTTTTCTTTTCTGTCTCCTTTTTACCTTTCAGGCGGTTTAGCAGCAAAAGCGCCGACAAAAGTTGATTTCAGCTGTTGATGGAAGACATAATGCCCCTTATTTTAGTCACCGGAAGATGCCTGAGTCCAGTTTGGGCTAAATGCTTTTGCGTGTTCTCTGAGGATGGTTGGACAATGTGTTTCGGGGGGAAACGAAAATGTGGCTCATAAAAGCTTGCCAAGTCACAGAGGGCAGAGTGAAATGGTGTGCAAACGAATTATTGTCACTCCAATGGCATTATAAATGACTTCCCATGGGGATGCTCATAACTCAGGATGGAAAGGAGGAGAGTTTAGGGCAGGGCATGGAGAAAGGAACGGTGAATAATAACAATCGGGAGCAGGAACATGGCATAATATGACGAATTTTTAAAAGGCCTGAAAGATAGGTCAAAAGCTCAATTACAGTGAGTTTAAACACATTAACCTTATGGGACCGGCGAGGCGAGTCATTAAACGGAGAAAAGTCTGCTTTGAAAATGTTAAAAACCCAATTGACCCACAATTTAGCCATCAAACAGCCTACGTGCATGGCTGGGACTATCTGCATTACAGGTTAATTAACCAATCACACCCAGAGATAAGCATTTGCATAACTAAATGCACCATGTCTGTAAGGTCCAATGCTGGAGTCTGAATCAATTTGGAGTACCGACTTAGTTAAATGGCTGTGATGTAGGGCCTAATTGCCTTCTTTGAAAAATAGATAGGAGAGAAAAACTCTGCCAAACTGTTGATCGTTTGTCTCTTCACTTCCCTTTTTGCTTACTACAATGGCTCTGTCATGGGACGTTACGAATACTACGAGGTAAATTGAATCTGGAATTGATTTCATCAGAGTCAAACAAGAGGCAGTTCATTTCTTACCAAAGGGATTCAAATATCTAACACAGCAAATTAACGGCGTGAACAACGCGTAAATGTGTTTTCAATTGGGTCTCAACCATTTGCACCATTTTGCACATGGGTCCAATTTAATCAAATGTTCACAGATTTAGTCGGGGATGTAAAGCAGCCTCTAAAAATAGCCCCGAACGGCGAAACTTGATAACAGAAGGCCTCTAAGCAACCGCGCTGTAATTGTCCTTAAAAGCTCCGTCTTAACCGGCGTCGACATGTTAGCGTGGTCGGCTCATTAACGAAAGCTGACCCGTTGAATTGGGTCAGCGAAGATCCACCTCAGGGACCAAGACTAGTGAGGCAAATGACTGTTTGGATGATTTGTCCCTAAGTGGATACATCAAGAGTACATCACTGGAGACTGTGTGTTCCCACGTCCTCGACATTATTGATAGGCTGTGCATCCATGGCACAAGTCAATGAGAAGGAACTGCTTTACATGCTAATGCTGCGACCGGCAGGGTCATAACTTGCTCGGCAGATTCAGGAGTTACACTGTGAAGACCCAACAAATGAAGTTGCATTCAACACATATTTTAAGAGTTTATGGTGCAGCCATGCATTTATGTAAATACTGAGAACAAACAAACACAAAATGGCTCCAAGAATTATTTGGAGCCTCCTAGGTAAATATAATTTTCCGTGCACATCATCATTCACTTGCATACATGAAATTAAGTAAGGACCCTGGAAGGCCAAAAGCAGTGCATTTATTCATGTTTATGTTTTATTGATGTGAGCAAAGAGAGCTTTGCCCCAGGAAAGCCAACCAATCATTTTTCAGATTGGCTCCCACCCTCCAAGGAGTAGGGTTTAGTCATCCCTTTATCCTTTTTGTGGCTTTCTTTCTCTCCTTTTCTTCACTCCCTCTCTCCTTTCTTTCCTTCTTTCTTTTTCATTTTTCCCTTTCTTTTACTATCGTTTTCACTTTCTTTTTTCCCTCCCTTATATGAAATGATTCCATTTTTTATCTCCCTTTTCACTTTCAGTCCTCCTTCTGTTTCTCACCACTTTCTTTTCCTCGTCATCTTCTTTTATTCTTCTACCTCTTTTCTTATTTTGCCTTTTCCCCTAAATTCTCTACTTAGCTTTAGTTTCTTTCCTTTATTTCTCTCCCTCCTCTCAGTTATTTCTTTTTACTTTCCATTTTACTTTTCTCCTTCATAATATCTCTTTCTTTATTTAGTTTCTACTTTCCTCCTTAGTTTCTCCATATTAGTTCAGTTGTTCTTTGCTCTTCCACTTCATCTTCCTTCTTTCTCTCTTTCTCTTTCTTTCTGTTTTGTCTTTTTATCTCTTACTGAACAGGCTTACTGTCTTGCATCCATTATGTTTCAGAAGGAACGAATGCACAAAGAGGATAAAAGACATTTTAAAAAGGCGTATCTCAGTGGGGTGCTGATTTGCCGTGTTGAGATTTTAACTGTTTCTGATGCCTAAATAGACCCCCTCCATGCAGCCATATTGTCATTGTGATATACTGTATCAGCTCGCAGGCAGACCTACACACTCCACTTGCACAGTCGCTCAAGCATGCGGCGTGTATATTACAGACTCAATGACTCAGACTGTTGGACCAAATCCGATCTTTTGAAATTCCATATCAATCTGTTTTGGTTTTTTGAAGAGAAATGTTTAAAGTGCTTCAGTGGGACGTGATGGGCATCTCAAAATCATGTTGGTGGGCTGAAAATTTGCTACACAGCTCGCAATTTAGATATGAATCATCTCTGTGTGCTTTACAGCAATATGGCTATTAATAAAATGGCTGTTTCTGCACATCTGCACAGTTTTTCCTGCTTTCTAACACCCCGCTTCAAAAACAACCTGTTGCTCGCTCCACCTCCACTACAGCATCATTAACGTGGCGCAGTCCAAATATTATTTCTGTCTGATTTGGGTAGTCAAGGGGGGGTAGGGACCCCTGCTCAAAATATCACACCTCTAAATTACAGTTTGCTTCTTCCCACAAGCAACACATGACAGGGAAGGAGGAACAATTACCAGAAAAGCGAGAGATCCAGCCACTTTCATGTTCCTGCCACTGTTTTGAACCTAACCAGCGGGGATGACTGAAGGATCTAAATTAATTTCTCAGGGACCCCCAAAGTTGATAACAGTGACTGATGTAAGGCTCTTTGTAATAACCCGGCTAAGAGAAGTACTGACACATTATCACTGTTTTATTTACCTTGAGCATACTGTGAAAAGTTCACCTCTGAAATGATACACATTTACATTCTCATGAATACACATAAGCCTTTGTATATTGTACTGTGGGGTAAACACATCCACACAGAGCCATCTCCTGGGACTCACCCTTGTCTATTTACCTCCTCTGAGTCCAACCGCATCTTCAAAATGTCTGACAACTCACTGAAATGTGTTGACTGCAATTAAATGTTCTTTTTTCTGGAGGATAACTCGCATCAGTCAGTTTTTGCCTTTCCTCTGTCAGCTGCTCTGAGGTCAGATTGAGCGACTTTATTAGATAGACAAAAAGATTAGAGGTGGTTTTTTGTTTTAAACCAAATCTCAGCTCTGTGCAGAAATAGTTTTAAATTTCTTTTTTCAATTTATCAACTATACAATCATCCCTCTCAGGATACCCTATCCACCTTATTCTCAGATGCACTGCCGTAGAAATGATTATGGGCTGAGCTTCCAGCAATAAATCCAAGATAGGGTCTCTCCTGTGGACTGACCTCCCACTGCAGCTGCGTTTGAAGGAACTGGCCTTCCATTTGTCATAAACTGCTTTATTTTTGAGGGGTAACCAACTTCTTTAGCAGTCACATTTTCCCCCAAACATCCTGTTGAGCTGTAAACTGTTGTGCTGACATTTCAAACGAAGCCAAATTTGCAGTTTGAACATCAGTGTTAGAACACGTGCGTTGGAAAAAACAGATTATTTTTTTGGTTTAATGATAAAGTTTCCATTGTCTACAGACCAACACCTACATCAGATGATGTAACGTTTTTACAGAATATGTCAGTTTTGCAGTTATCTTTACAGTGTAGAATTACATGTTGAGAAACTGTTTAATTTATGTTGTTGCAATGGCTCACTCAGATAGCAATTAGTTACTTCGACAGGCAGTGTCTGTAGCTAGCCCAGCTACACAGTTCAACAAAAATCTGGAAATGCTTTTTTGTTGAAGAAAAAATGTTTAAAAATTCTAGTTTTATTCCTCATATCCAAAGGTATTATTCCACAAAATTACAAAGAACGTGGCTGGCCAACAAACTTGTTGTAGACTTAGACTTAGACTAAACTAATCTTGCAGTAGCAGGTAAGAAAACCATTCGCTTCTATAGATCATATGTTTGCTCAAGATCAACAGAACATTTCACGCACATATGCGGTCTTGAAGGGGACAAACCTTTTTATATCAACATTTACCAAATCACATGAAAACATGAATTTTAGTAGATTTTTAACATTTTTAACTACTGTTTGAACTTGTGAATGGAATTATTTATCTTTTAACACATTTCAATCATGTTAACTGTATGTATAACCATGAACTCTTATTATATTATTATTATTATTTTGTATTCTCAAGGTCACAGGATCATTCGTCAGAGGTCATTCACTTGCCCAGGGACACTTTGGCATATGACTCTGGGAGCTGGGATCAAACCTTCCAACTGATACTACAGTAGAGAGAGACAATGCTGCCCATTGGAGAGCTAAGGAGTCATGTAGAGAGGACAAATACAAATTCCCTTAAGCTCTTCCAAAGGTCACATATTTTTTCTCAGATGTTCCCAGACACCAAAGCTAAAATACAGGCACACAAAACCACAAAACAGCCTTTCACGACACAACGAATCAAAGGTCTCGTGAGGAACTTTTGGTTTGTGTCAATTTTGGCGACCCCTGTGGACAAACCAGTCTTGCCTTATCTCGTCCTCTATATATTGCTGTTGAGACTTTTGCCATCAATTCTCATCCTGCTGATGGACCTTATTTTATAAATACAGACACACCCAGAAAAGCTGATAAAGTAGCTAAATAGTCAAATGGGAGTTATTTGAGGCCTTTATATTGTCGTGTAATCCTCTCATTCCTCGATAGCAGATGGCAAAGGAATGATCACAGCATCCTGCTTAAGGTGTTACAGATGATTTCCCCTTTTTCTTGAACTCTGATTCTCTCTTACAACCAAGATTAATAGTCCCGTTGCTATGGAAAATGCTGATTTCTCATGTTCACAGAAAACAAAAGAGATCATATTAAGAGCTTGGATACTATATATTATTCTGTCCTCTGTGATAGTAATAGCAGTGGTAATTTGAAAGCAGTTGTGATTACTGTTTTTATGATATACTGTAGTATAAAATCTTAATGTGAAGACAGAGTAGAGGACAAACCCTGAGAGACATCACACCAATTTGCAGCTCTGTCCTCGCTCACCAACCAGCAAACTGATTTCAGGTCAAGTTTTTAGTCACCCAGCCTGAGATTCTACTTCCAGATTTCAGACACATCTTATTTTAGCAACCACTTTGTTCACTGTGGTGAACGCGCTGCTCACCACAGTGTTGGCATGTTCGCCACATGCCGACACTCAACAGCTGGCAGAAACAGCGAGTGGCTGGCTAGGCAACATAATTTAGCAACGGATTAACGAGACAGATTTTTTTCTTGAGGAGCTGGTAGAGACTAAAAACAGCCCAAAAGAGAAAAAAAGGAGTGAATTTAAGATTTTTATTTTCCAGATGAACCTGTTTCGATAATAGGTTTTGAATTTCTCTCCAAAAATTGTGGCATATGTTTTGATTTCGATTATTATTATTATTTTAACCTTTAAAAAATTGGGTTTTTGTCTTTCTTAAAACAGGCTTGCAGCTGAAAACATAATAAACAATTAAAGTGAGTGACACTGTAACTGTAAGGGATCGGTGAAGGTATACTGGTAAGTAGACCTGCAATGTGCTTGAGTTATTGAGATAAAGACCAAATGGTGATCATAATGTGTCTATAATGCCGTATCTAAGAACAGGAGATTCAGAGTTTAATGGCCAAATGCTTTCAGGTAATTTTTCATACCTGTCTATCGGTGCTGATTATTCCAAAAAACTGACTCATGCCATTCAGCTCCCGCTTCGAATAAAAACCCGAAGGTGGTTTGAAAGAGGATGCAGGGTGAAAAATGTGGCACACAGAGGAAATGGAGTCTACCAAATAATGCAGATCTGCCGAGTGCCCATAATGCATCACCACCATTATCAGACACCAAAAGTTGGCATTTCAGTGTGAGGAGAGCGGGCTGGGACTCCCATTGTTCAACCCGCTGCACCGCACTTCACTGGCACATTCTCACAGACGCAATCCCGAGGACACAAAAATAAAAGCGGTTTCATTTGTTGTTAAGCTCATTACATTTTCGACTTCATTAAGGGAAAGAAGACAGAAGCCAAGGGCGAGAAAGAGTCACTGGAGTAATTCGACAAACACTGTTTTTCTTAAGTCAACCAGCTAATTAATGTCCTGGATCTCTTGCCCATACTGAGAACATTTTAAGGTCCAATGTAGACTACCACTTTCATTTGAATTTCTTATGATATTAAAGATGAAGAGCAGCAGCCAAGAACAAGAAGAAAACTGCATGTTCTTTGTGGAGCCAAACGGGAATCAGAAAAACACTTGTGAAACTTCAGTGCCACAGCCCATCCACCACTATAGACATAAAGTGGAACTCTTTTTTTTATTCCTCAGAAGATTAAAGATTAATATATTCATGCATCCATTAGAAATTATCTGATGCAAACACCTGCAGAGAAAAGAAACACAGTATTGGTTCCAAATTTGCATAAATTTCTTAAAGGCTTGACAGCAGCGAGGGGCAAAATCAAGATGCACTACAAGTGGGTGGAGGGATAAAAAAATAACACAACATATTCTGATTGTGGTTCTGCGAGGACATCTCCAAAGTGGAGCACTTAGCAGGAAAAGACAAACTGCTTTTAAGAGAAATGGTGTGGTCGAAGAGAGAGGCCTTCCTCTGTCCTCGTCTTATCCCTGGACCAAATTGATTGTTTGTACTTTTGTGGGTGAAAACATACTGCAGGGATGCTGCTTTCATCAAGTAAACCTCAGAGACGCGTCCCCTGTGCATTAGTCTGCTGTCTGTGCGTTTGCTTATCCTCCCGACTCCTGAGCTTTCGGTCATATAGCCCTGATGCTTTGAGCTTCAGAGGTTTCCAGCAATCAATTCAGTCCATTATGGGGGGGAAATTAATGAAATGGGCTGACTATAAAGGGGCTTTACTTCAAATACAGCTCCTTTGTGTGGAGGTTTTGTGTGCGTGTTATGTCTCTCTGCTGCTAACAACAATGCACAATAAACTGTGCTGTTTGCCATTACTGGGATAAAAGAGTGTGATTGGTCTGCTTCTTTTCTTTGAAGAGAAGTGTGGAATAAAAAGTCAATGAAATATGTTTAATGGACTGGATATAGAAATGCACTCGCTCCGTAATTCGTACTTCTTGTTTGGGTGTTGACGTCACCACAAAAACACACTGTCTTACCAAAAAAGGGGCTGAAAAAGAGGGAACATGGCATTTCAAGGACAAATTTGATGGCAATTTGAGGAGTCATTTGAGTGTTTTGACACATTCGACAAAGTTTTAGTCACATCCTGTGCAATTTAAAATTAATTTGATGCATTGGAAGCCGTGAGGAAAGACAAAAATACGGCATTTGCATATCATTTTTACAAGGTTTTTTGTTCTGTTCCTCTCAGCAATGCTCTCGTGAAGTGTTCAGAGATTTCAGGGATGACTTCCTTCACCCTTTTTATATGTACAGCTGCCATTTAATGAGCGATAGCATATGACAAAGATTTCAAAATGTGCCTATATGTATCAGAATATATAGAATCTACATTTTTTTTTAATCGCTTTGAACCCTCGTCTTCATTTTGTAGAGCAGCACTCAGACATTTCTTGCAGTCTCGTCTCTTCCTTCACAGCTTTGGCTCTTAATGGCTCGGCTTCTGCCCACGGGAGTCTGAGCATGAGCCAAAGGCGGTAGTGGGTCCAAATTGAGATTTTGGAAGAGAGAGAAACCCTCCACCTAAAATGACCCTCTTCACTGCCAAAAGTGATGTGAGACTCACATCATGAGCTAAATTTGTCACGCATATCCCTGTTTTGTCATTTCGCTCGTCTCTCATTTGCATTTTTTGTAATGTGCAGAGGCGCGCAGACGAGCTTTGAGTTTAAGGCTCTGCTTCTCCTCTGGGCCACTTTTTGAACCGTTCGGGAGGTTTTCTTTTGTCATTAACTTGTAGATACAGTCCAGTGATCGACTCTTTCTTCTTTACGATTCAGAATGACAGGGCATTGAGTTCAGTGGACCTGACACACAGTGACTGAAACCGATGACCGACAAAACCAAACGTCCCCTAAGGTTATTACAATAAAGCTGAATCTCTTGACACAAAGTCATTTCTCTGTGAAATAAAGATTTTTAAATCTTCATCTGTTCACAAACGTGAACATCTGCATCTCATGTAAAGTTACTGTATCTGAAAGACTTTGTATAGATACTCCGAATGATTTAGACCAAGGTTTTTGGCTCATCAGAACAGATTAGCATGTTTCATAACATCTGATTTTCATCCAGCATTTGTGTCCGCTGATTCATTTAAAAGGGGCCTTGGCTGGAAACATGCACTATTTTAAAGCTACTAGACACATTCAAGACTTAAGGGTTTTGTTTTACCTAATGATTAAACATGGTCACCCTCCCCAAGTGGCACCAGATTGAAGTGTTGGTCAAACAAATAAACATTTGGTTACTGTTGGTCAAAATGCCCATCACATGGTGTGTCTAAACTGCAAGTCAGAGTTGTCGCTCCAGTTAACGGCTCATAAAGGTAAACCTATAATCTGACCTAGCTGATTATTCAAGACAATATTTGGTGTATGGCGACTGATTTATCTGCATTTTACTTCACCAACGGCTGATAAAATTCACTAAAAAGTTCGCTGCTCCAGTTTCGCTGCTGGTATGACTTTTCCTCCTGGTCTGCCATATTGTGTGACTTTAGTGTCCTGTTAAGTGTAACAATAAGTGTTTTCTCCTGTTTAAGATGTTGAGCTCCCTGCTTCTGGCCACAGCAGGCATGACTAATCAATCACAAGCATCATTCCTGAGAGACTAAAAAGGTAGATCACAGATAAAATGGCTGACAAGGATATTCATACAATAGAAGTCTTAAACCTGTTTTATATGTTTTTCTACTGCTTCAAAATAACTATATTACACATCCTTTTTAAAACAGTTTTTACCCTTCATGAACTAATTAGTGTTTTTTAAAAGACAAACTTAGTAATAACCTCACTTCCTTATGAAATTAAAAACTGATTTTTTAATATCAATGACCTGATTTGTAGCTGTTCAGTTACTTTAATCAGAATCTATCTATCACATTGGCATTTGAAGAAACTTGTGTCGGAGTTTGTAATATTCCAAATTATTGATTTCGACTGAAAGTTTCCTATTTTTACTGTTAGTGCATTAGAGGTCTGAATGTTTTTTTCCAAATACTAAAAATATACAGCAACAATTCTCTAATGCTCCACTACCAGGATGTAAACAAGATGGCAGTATTTGTGATCTTGTGACTTTGTGATCCTGTGTTTATTGTACCCTTTGTAGTCAGTTATTGTAAATCAACATCCAATTTGTTGCTCAGGACCAGAGCTTATTTTTAAAAAATGTACGGTGTGTAAAATTATAAAGCAGTAAACAACCATTGGTTATAATGCAGTGAGGTTATTTTATATGAATGCATATTTCACAGTCATTGAAAGGAGCTTGTTATTTTAAAGTACTGTCCAATATATGAGTATGTACTGGTGGTGAAATAAGTAGTGAACAACCTATGGTTACTAACCAACCAATATGTACCATCATGCTCTGCTGTGCAGTAGAAAATAGAGAGCTGAATCATCCTTTACACAAAATGAATGACAGGTAGAAGAGTTATATATCATAAGAAATACAGAAAAGTGCATGTTGGTGTATATTTACCCTAATCAAACTGTAGAAAGTAGCCTGCATAAGATGGATTTTGTTGTGCTCACTATGGATTTAACCAGGCCATTACATCAAAGTCATGAGGTAGGGGGTGAGTAGTGGGGAGTAAGTTAGTGATTTTGCACCGGGCCAAAGTCTGCAGGTGCAGCGGCACACCCAAGAGTAAATCAACCAAAAAGGAGAGCCACAAAAACAACAGAAGTTACAGGAAAATGTTACCTGATAGAGTTTGCTTCACTGTGACTGGAAAATTTATGGGCTCCTTTTTATTGATCATTCAACAGTAATATGTTGGGACACCAGTTTGGCTGATTTAGTATCTAATTCACAAAAACACTTCAAATCCACATCCATTGTGTTAAGTGTTGTAGATATTAGTTTGTTTGTTTACTTTACTTTTTCTTCATTTGTTTGTGTCCCCAAAAAAAGTTGCTGACAGCTTTTTCATTCACGGTGATTTCAAACACTGAGCCATGCGTATTCATCACACCAATTTTAGTTTTTGATATGTACCCTGCTAACAGCTGCAACAAACCATCTGCACTTTCTTTGATTTTTCCACAACATTTCTGAAGATGAGAAGGGAGATGACAAGAAAGAGGAATGTTTGGGCAAAGAAAGGCACCAGAAGCCTGACCAAACACAACATCGTGAAAGTTGTTATTTCAATTACCACAGCGTGGAAAATTGAGCCATCGAAAAAGCAAGAAATCGCAAGATTATGCACCAAAGGGCGATATAAAAACATTGGAACATAATCAAAGATGGTGATGAAGAGCACTATTTAACTACCAGAGTGTGTCTTGTATAAAAAGCTCAGCATGAAATCAAGATTACAGGCTACAGGCGTCAGCTTTAGAGGATGCTTGAAATGGTCAGAGGAGTAAGAGTAAAAGACAATTTGATGTTATTTCAATGCATGGCTGCTTATATAATTAGACGACTTTCTCATTTATTTCAATTTGTCTCCTCTTTTATGATCATTAATTTATGTAAATGATGAGCAGATTCTGTCTTTGAGGGAGTTTTTGTCCACATTTTGATCATATTATAGTTTCTACTTGTATATCCTCTGATTCTGTCAAAAGTTTTTTCTTAAAAATGGGGGAAAAAAAGGTTATTTTAGTCATTTAAGGATTTGTTCCAGGATACCCATTGAGTGAACAGTCCGTTTGTGCCATTATGGGTTTGGAAGTTTTCCATCAACTCCATTGATTGCTCACTCTGTGTGTATTGTTTGTGAGTGTGGTGCTTCAGTTTCAAGCTTTAATATCTCACCAGATCGAGAAAAAAAAAAACATTTCCTGCTGCAACCAATGAAACCCCGTCACTGTAAGCTGTCAAGTCAAGCCGTTATTTAAGCCTACTGCCACTTGAGCGAGCCCAGTCATCTTTAAACATGATAGTAGCTGCTGTGTTGCTTAAGGCGATGCACTGCTTCAAGGCCCGACCACGCTCGACGCATAATGTTACCGAGCTTCAGCTACCTTACCTGGTAGTAGCAGTGTAGATTCAAGAAGCTATTTCAACCAAGTGCGACAACACCCATGAGAATTACATATGCAGCATAACCTTACAAGAACAACATAATAAGAAATATAAAACACATGAAAATTAAAAGTGTCCTGAGGAGATGATACATTTTAAACAGCACGCAATCATCGCAGTAGCAAGCCAATAAAGAAGATCAACCAAAAATCCGCCATGACCTTTAAGCACAAAAAACTTCTTTAAGTGTCACAGTTAGTGTTGACTGCCTCGGCGATGATTAATAAAGAAGTCGTCCTTCAATCTGAATTTTAATTTTATGATTCTGCTAATCAGAAAACGCATAAATTTGTTTTCATAACCTCATCACAGCTATAGTATGTGTCTCCCACCCTGCGACAGTTATTAAACTAATTAATCACATGCAAACCTGTCAAAATGATTGTGCGCTTGCTTTCTCCCTTTGATTAAAATTGAAATATAAGTAGGAGTATGTGTGTGTGAAACAGGGGGAGAGTGTGACGGGAGGCAGACAGGAATCAAGCGGCGACTTGAGCAAACAACTCGTGGCAGGCTTCTATTTGCCGCTCAAAATGCACTTTGGGAGGCAAAACTACAGAGTAACTGCTGAGGAAGTGCTGAGAGTCTCTATGTTGATGTGATGCATTATGGTCCCCGAGCACAAATGATTCATGAATCAAAGGGCACACATGCATGTCTTCTAAGGAGTAAAAAGTGGGATTTCACTGAATTATTGCTACAGTGTGGGTGAAACTTGTATCCTGTGCGCTGTGAAATGAAACCAAGGATGAAAAAAGGAAAAGAGGAAAAGGAAAAGCTGCATTTTCTCAGCAGATGTTTCAAGTTTGCCCATCCAAGCTCTTGAGCGATTGTTTTTGCTGTAGTAACCGGCAGGCTACCTCTTACGAAGCACGGAGGAGGATTGCTGCGGTTTCTATCAGCATCTAACAATCACATCAGCGGACAGAGCGGCCCTAAAGGCTTTAGACAGGTGGGATTAATGAATAGACTTATAGTGCTGACACCCTTTGGGATGAGCAGTTGAAGGACGAGAGAATTTTACCTTAATATTTCTGTTTTCTTCTTCAGTAGCATCAAATTCAAAACCCTAATGAAGCCATAAAACAGAAACTGACTTTCTATTCAGAATCATGTGGATAAAAACATGAAAAAAACACTTTCCTGAACGCTGAAGAACTGTAAAATATCAGAATTCAAAGGCTGTTGCAGGCTCAAAACTAAAAGATGAACCACTTTTGTTTTCCATCATACGTCGTATAGATCAGAAACCTCTCACTTATCAAACAGGGGTCTCAAGGATGACAAAGAGGGAAAAAAAAGTAAAAGCTTTCACAAGGTCACACATCAACCCCTCGTTGACTGACTTGCGCCTTTTTGCATAAAACAGGATTTTACCCTAGAATTATAACAGCGCAAAAGCCGGGGCAAAGCAGCAGAGTGTGTGTAGAATCTGAAAGAGAAATGTGGGAAATGATCAGAAAAACAAAACCGCACTGAAACTTTCCCCCTTTGTTGCATGTGAAGAACTCAGCCCCGCTCGCTTTTTAATGCACTTTTCATCATCTTGTAACACCCACAAACTCTGGTCAAACACCTCTGTGGATTGGGAACCCATTCCATTTGATTTTATGGATCAAGGAGCTTCTATGCAACCGGCTCTGGCATGTTAAATGGAATGGCTGTCTATCTAATGAACCGGTTTTAAACTCAAATGTCCCCCAGGGCGGTGCCATTTCCTCTTTTTTATTGTCTGTTTATACCGATGAGATTATGTGCAACAATAACTGCCTCCTTCTGATTAAGCATGCGGACAACGCCACCCGGGAGGCCTGTCTGATTCCCAGTCAGCCGCGGTGGAAAAAGACAATGTTGCAGAGCTGACAGATAGGTTAGAAATTCAACATATCAGATAAAACCTTGTTTTTTGTCTTGAAAAAAAAAGGGACTGCATGAGAATTACAGCACAGGCCAAAAGAACAGCTGGCCTCATCAAAGTCTAATGGCCGGCCAGTGAAACTGACCAGACCCTTATCCTCCTGGACTGTATTTACACCAACATACAGTATCATTCCAGCTCAGGGGAAGTCAATAAAGACCCTCATTAACTGTCCTCGCCTCCAACACTGTGTCCTAGTTTGGTCAGCTTGCAAAAAGTGGTCAATCAGGAGCTTGAAACCATTTGGCTGCCAATACCTCCCTGATCACCAGCTGGCTTGCACACTAAGACTTCTGCCTTCAGGGAGATGTGAGCGAGGGGCTCTGTATCCCCCCGGGTGTAGGATGTGCTGCAATGGCTGTTAAAAAAGATTACCAACATAGTCATAACACGTCGAGAAAAACCCAAGAGAGGCGAAGGACTGATGCATTGATTTGCCTAACAGGACATCCCCAGCCAAGTGTGTTTATTAGTGTTTTTAATTAGTTTAACATCATTATTTGCTTGTATTTACAGCATACATCATTTGAAACTATAAAACTGTACATCTGCTGCGCTCACACTCAAGGCTGATTTAAGATCATTCAATCAATACAACACGCACTCAAGAAGCATGGCTTTAAAAGGGAATCCGTGCAGTATATGTTTTATTCCCCTGGTCGAGTCCAATCAATGTTATCTTTCTTAAAGTCAGAGACCAGAGAGCTATGACTCCAGGCTTTGATGTCTCAGACAATCGCAGAAATCAAATAATAGTTTGGAGTCTGATTCGGGGACAGATTTGGGGTTTTTATTCGATGAAATTCTTTTATCACATCTGAACTCTGAGGATCCCCTGCTGGCACTTCCACCATCACCTTCTACATCTTTCTCATTTTTTCCACCCTATGGGATTTTACATCACGGTCAGATCACAGGCAAAGTCTGAGGGAGAATATTTGATAGAAGTACCCTACACCACAGGAATGGAGTAATTTTCCTTCAAATGTCCCTTTTAGATTGGATTTATTATCAGTCATTTACATCTAATATAGCCGCAGCTCTAACACCCAGTCATAAAATGCCATCAATTTAAAACTCTGCAGCTCCGTGTCGTACTTTTTGGGGGGAGACAGACAGGGGTTCAGACTGTATAAATCTCAAATGTTGACTGGCTGCAGTGACAAGCCCATCAGTGATGATCCAGTGAACAGTTTGCTGCAGGACAAAAGGCCATCTCAGCTGAAGACATCTCAAAGCAACAACATATTTCACGATCGCAACATCTCACAAATCAGTTTTCATCAGGTGCATTTTCTGGTTTATGTCTGTCCACAGCGGTGCATCAACATGACAAAAGTCTGACATTCAAATCAAACAAAAAAAGAACAGCAGAACTGAAAATGCGAGTAGAATCTGAATCATGTAATCCATTCAGGGAGCTGGATTTGCATTTTTAGATAATGTAGGAATATTTTTAGTGATTTGGGGACACAGAAACTCCTGATGTGGTCTGAGATTAATGCGGCTGCCAGACACTTTTTGTGGTGATCTGAATCACCTGAAGTAAAAAGTCACAGTGTCTCTTTTCTTGTTTTTTACAAGGCTGTTTGTAGTTTCCAGATCTTACTGCCAGATAAATTCAGGAGCTTGCAAACACTTGCATGCTGAACATGTAAAGTAAGAGATAAAATCTCCCTGCCTTGGTCTCAGTGAGGAGTGTGCAGTTGTGTTGTTTGTGTATGCCTGTGTTTGTGTATGGGGGTGGGTGGTGCTCTGGGTGGTTGCTGCAGTGTGTTGTCATCCATTGAAGTTGTGCACATTCTCATCAACCTGTTTTGAAGTGCAAAGCTTGGCAGCATTTCAAAAACACAAACATATTGTGCTGTTGTTGTCCGCCAGGTAATTAGACAACTACCAACAAAGTGGGAGTCAAATGTCAAAGAAACAGGCTTGGTCATTTGCCAAAAGGTCAGAGTGAGACTCATCAGCGTCACAGAAAGGGTCAGGGTGGACACCATCCCTTTAATTGTAGCTACTGCTTCTTCCTGAGAGACATTACTTGATGATTTCATAAATATTTAATGTGTTTTGATTGCTGCCAAGACGCCTGCACCCTCCCATATCTCAGTGTCATTTAATTTTACCTGCGGGGTTAACTGTTAATTTAAAGTTCAAGCGACAAACACTTTGTCGAAATTAATGATTCTGCTCTGGTTTGAAAGGACAGAGAGGGAATCCTGCAAGTGCGCAGTCACATCCGTCAGGCGTCCACACACACACACACACACACAAAGAGCCGCTCAGTCCGCGTACAACTACAACTTCCACTAAGGCAGTAAAGCAAAGCATAATGCTTTATGAAGAGGGAGAGGATGCGTTTTTGAATTTAAGCGATGATAGATGTAAATGTATAGTTTAAGGACTGGATTCCCCTCCTGCGCGCGGTAACAGCCGTGCGTAAAGATGTGACACGTTTACGCCATCTCCATTAAGATGTCTAAAATTAGCATTAAACACATGCAAAATTAATTGTTACCTGTGTTACGAATAATGTCATGTTGACTGAAAGCTTCATGAAATGTTAGAGTGTTTGTGACAGACTGAAACTTACGCTGCTGTTGTGTCCGGACCAGTGTACCATCGCCTGGTTGTGCGCAGAGTCTCCCGACAGCGCAAAAGTAGAAGTGTCCAGGTGCGGCTCACCCGGTCTCGGGTTAGACCCTCTGGCTTCCTCCCCTGAGCGCCTGTACTCGGCTCTCGGGTTGGAAACACCCTGAACAGTCTCCAAAAACCACTCTTTTGGCTGCGCCTCTCCACTGTTACTCCTATCCACATTCTCGCCTGTACCCACGCTCCTTTTCGCCCTTTTTCGCGTATCAAAAATGTTATCTTCTTGCATCATACTCGCCACTGGTAGCTTTTCTTTGTGGTTTGACTTGTTCCCATACTTTTTACCTGCTGTTTTTAGATGTTGGTCAGAGTTTGATGCCGCTTTGATGCCGATCGGCACCTCCTCTCCTCGTCCACTCTCTTTTCCCACTCGATTGCCATTGTTCGGTTTCAAAATCCCGGCTGCCCCCGTCTCGAAAGCCCCGAAAACTTTTGTGCCATTGTGGATTTCGTGTAATACCTTAGATTTTCGGGTTACACGTGCCTCCGTCGGCGTTATCTCCATGTGATGAAATTCATCGTTAGTTTTAGCAGAACTTATTTCCGCGTGAGCCACAAACTTAGGGTACAAGAGGTGCAGCAGAGCCAGAAGAGAAAAAGTCCAAACTGACCACAGTCCCATCGTGTCCTTCCAAACTGAGAGTCAATCAGTTCAAGAGAAAAAAATATGTAACAGAGCTATTTCTTTAACTTCTCAGATGTTCAAGATTTCATCCTTACGAACCAAGACTCCATCCAGCAGACCCGCTCACATCCAGGAATTTGTCAAAGTGAGGGAGCAGTTGGGGAGGCGCTGCGCATCAGCCAAACGCACCGACGGAGAGTGACTGCAGGAAGGGCTTCAGCTCATTGTTCATGATCAAATTTAGGGAAAATGACTTTAAACACCAAAATTACTATTCAACCTTCTTATTTTCTTCATGAACGACAGAGTTTGTATATCGGGGCGTTAATGTAAAGCTGTCAAAGTTATCCAGCACTGCGTTTCATTGACTTGAAATGGATGAGAGTAAAACTGATTTGCGCCTCGGAGAAGAGCACTGAGCTCATGCAGGTGCATCATTTCGGCACCAAACACAAGGGGAGAAAAACAATTCCGTGCGTCAATCAACACAATGCACGTGCACGCGCGAGTCGGAGGGCACATTTTGAGGAAAGATTCCTCGGAATAGTTTTGATATGGGAGTTGCTATACTGTATTTCTCAGGGACCTGTTAGTCGTTTTTTAATTAAGCCACTAATACAATCTGCCCGGGGTGTTTTACTGCACAACAACCCTGAAAACCAGAGAAGCTTTGAAGTTTTAACTATGATGCGTTTGCTGCCATCCTCCAGATTTCCAAGTGGCACACAGGCAACAAGCCCCCCCCAACAATGGGTTTTAATCTCTGCACCTTCATTACTTTTACAGTGCACATTTGAAAAGTGTAGCTTTCTCCGAATCAATATGCTATTTTTCAAGGTATTAGTTTTAATTAGTGGAGTCCAATGAATCCTAAAAGGCAATTCTTATATCCTGCTGACAGAGCTCCCTGACAGTTTTTTTTTTTTTTTTTTTTTTGCTGAAATTGGAAGTCGGTGTTATAAAAACGAGCCACAATTTTTTACTTGGAACTGTTGTTATGATGCCTGGTGATAAGGAGCAAAAACACACAGAAGATGCTTTGCATCAGCTGCCAGACAGTTGCCCAAGGGAGAGCCATAAAGAGAAGGATTTCTATCTTACTCAAGGACAAAAAGCGTGTCTTTGAATCCCAAGAACAAGATGGGGAACATAACTGGATATGTCCTTGTAATGTTAGGGCAGATGTTTCATATATTTTGAGATAAAATTACTGCTTTCTGTCAAGGTTAAAACAATCTAGGACTTAAAGTTACTCCCTGAAAACTTCTACTCTAGTAATAAAGATGTCAACCAGTCCAGACTGGTATTTATGAGGCACACAGTAAAAGTTAAAAGGAGGCTATTACTGGGCCACCAAATGTCCTGCTATACTTTTTAAATGAGATAGTTATCTATATCAGTAGCTGAAAACAGGTTAAAGCATATCACGTGCATTTGTAAGATTCAGCAGCTTGTTACTGTGCTGTAGAAGAACTCCGAGCAGGGAAATCATGCATCTACTGAGCTGTGAAACAGAGTAGTAGGGGAAAAGAGACAATTCACCATCCTTGAAAGCAGCGAGAAAGAAGCACAAAACAGCAGACTGGAAGGCCTGACACTGACATGAGTTCATTGCTGAGAACAGCATCTTCTGATCTTACACACATCCTCAAGCAGGACAAAAACAACAGCAATCAGGTGTCTAGCCGGTGTAGTGCTATCCTCCGCAGAGGGCTCACTTCTAGGTCCCCTCTTTTTTTTTTTTTAAATCCTTTCTTTGCCACGGCTGTACAAACAAATTGAGATTCATACAAGTGAGGGCTCCGGGCAGCAGGTGCAACTGTTGCAACTCCAGTGCCGCCGCCACACAGCAGACAGCTCACTCCCTCTCTCTCTCTCTCTACAGGCCATTCCCGCCAGAACGCCTCTGCAATGAGGGGGTAATTGGACTGATCACACTCTGTTTACCCATTATGCTGCGAAAATGAAGTGGGTTGTTCCCAAACACACTGTGACAGACCCGGGGAGGGAGGAGGAGCCTCTTCCATCAATGACACATCTTTTAATCTGTGCTAACCTTGGGCCTAGAGGGAGCGGATTTAGGAGTGTATCTGTCTTGGTACGAATGCATGTGTGTGTGCGTGGGGAAAAAAAGGGAAAGAATTGTGTGTACGAGGGAAGGGATATCTGAGGGGGGGAGTTTTAATGTGCCTGTGCCCTACATCCTACACCCAACTATGACAAGGAATATTGCATTTATTCCTGGGTGGAGCACATCCCAGATTCTGCATAAGTCTGAGTCCAAGTGGAATAGAATAAGAGACAGAAGAGAGATGAGAGGATGAGACTGAAAACAGGACTGTACATCGGTGCAGTTCATTCAATTTTATGTGCGCTTCCCCCCAGTGTAGATCATTAGTGAGATTATCAGATGTAATCATCTCATTCTGGTGGCGCATAACTCAGACAGCCTCTGCCAACTGCACCATCCTCTCTTCTCTTTCGACTGAAGACAGGGGGAGCAAACGCTAAAGCTTTCAGGGACAAAATCCCATTTGTGCATCCGCTGTCTGCATCCCAAGCTTGTTAGTTCCAACACTTCAGTGATCCCGGTGGAGCGGACGCACAGGCAGTCGCAGGGAACCATAATGGCCATCACCCAGACAGCTTACACTCGCATGCAGGAGATGAACAGCAAGGTGCACTCCCCGCTCACCCATACCCGTGCCATTAAAAAGAGAAACTTTCTTTTATTGCACGTAGCAAAACACTTATTTTGTACCGCCTTGATCGTGCAGATGACATAAAGGCATTTTAAAATCGCAGTGGGAGGATAGTTTAGGAACGGTTTGCCACTGTAATAAACTGGCCCTGTCACTGGAAACACTCCTGTCCTCATTGGTGAGTCTCTGTATTACTTTCCTCTCTTTGATGCCTTTGTTCTTGAGCTTTTTCCTGTACATGATGAACACTGGGATGAGCCTGTCAAGACATCTATACAATTCACTTGATCTCCTCCAGCTGCAGCTCATCTTTCACACACAGCTGTAACGCTTCACTCCGCAGGATTTTCTCACATGTGCTCACTCAATTATACTGTCTCTTTTTCATCTGTATTCTGTATCATCTACTGAATTTCTCCAGGTTATCTAAACCCAGATTGACATACTTCAGACGTTATGTCCATCTGTTGCTACAATGATCGTGATTCTGCGTATAACAAAGTGAAGCGGTAAAGGAATATATAAGCAGGCAAATGATCACACAGACTGTGAGCCAGAAGTTTGAGTGCATTATCCATTACATTTTTTTGAAAATAAAAAGTAGCTCCTCCTTTGAGTCTTGCACCCTTGTGTGTTGCATTTATTCACATCTTATCACTCAGCTGCTTAAAAAGGAAGAACTGTGATGCCAGCAGAATTGGATTTTCTGACATGAAAATTGAGAAATGATCAAATAAATCTGCAATGCCACAAATTGTTGATTACTTAAATTTTTGCTGACATGATATTAGCTAGGAGTTCTGGTCGTGCAATTTGCTTTATTGCACTCGAATTACCAATACTGTGCTATTGGCAGCGAGGACGATTTTGCTGTTACTGTTTGTTGTTTACCCTGCGGTTCCAAATTTAGGAGTGAAATCAATACCCAGTAACTAGCAGCCTTTAATAATGGTAAAAAAAGACAGAACAAGAGCTATAGATCAATCTCACAAACTACTTGGAGGTTAACAAGCCACCATTGCTGCAGTGATGTCTACCCAAAACAACAAATTGTTCTCAGAAGTGGTCAGTTGCTATTATATATGACAATTTACCTTTTCTTTTTTAATTATCGTCATTATTAAAGCTCCTGTGAAGAGTTTTTGATGGGTTTAGAAACAGACAGAAATAAACAGTGATGTTTCTCTTCAAATAAAACCATCTATTTCAAGACCGACAATTTCTTTCAGTGCCTGTAACTGCTGTGAGGAGGTAGGCACACTGAAAAAACAGCCTTTGTTATCTAGTCAAATATTCACACTGAATAGTGAGTATAAATGTAAAAAGACACAAAGAGAAGATTTTGTATCAATTAACACCACTTTCACATGGATGAGACAAAATCAGCAATGATACAGTGGTTCACACTTCGTCCACAGGAGGCGCCAAAGTCAACACAGGCAGAAAGTTCCACATAGGAGCTTTAATTTAGCCTCATTCTGAGAGACCTGTTGATGGCATTTTGGTGTGCATTGACATACAATTAATAAAAGTATCAAGTAAATAATGTTCTTCTACTAGTTAACAAACTAATCAAGACCCTGCATGTAATTTTTATGGGTCAGTTTTCATTTGCAAATACATAAATACATTTGATGGGTTCATTACCTTCACTAGCAGCTGCATAATATATTTAATCCAGCTATTTATCATCACCCTATTAAAATAATGGCCTCAGTCATTTTTTGACGAAAAAAAAAATTAAATCATCTCTTGATAATGTTGGCCATCTCTGGTAAAATCACCCAAATCCTAAGTTGAAAAGATGATATTTTCAACTAAGGATTTAGGGGATTTATCCTGTTTTCATGATCAGTGTTGGACGCAGCAGACTAAGGATTGTCACTGCAGTAATGAAGATGAAGCCATAAATCTAAGGGCTCCCCCTGGTGACTAACTGCAGTATAGGCCTGAGTTTGCTTCCTAGATAACAAATAGGACAGTATAAAATTCAGGTTCTATCAACTGAATTTTTCTCAAACTTAGCTGTTAGGTCTTAGTTCTCCCATACCAGTTTATATGCAGTTGTTCAAAGGAAGAGAACTCTGGTTTCAACTAGTTGTTTAATGTTAACAAGGTGATTGACTGACAGCTCTTTTGACAAAAGCTGGTGCCTGTGGCAGGCTCCTGCAGCGTATTACATCAGCAGTGTAGAGAGGAAATACTGCCAGAGAGCATAACCAACACAAACACAAGAGTTATTGAACCATTGCCATGAGTGTCTGCTTCAAATCAAGAGAAGAATCATGTCTGGTGTGGACTGTACCAACCTGAGGAAACATGCCTTGACTCCAACCAGTACAATATTTCAGCTCCCATCATATTGGCCTCCCATCTAACAAACAGAAGTTGGATGTGTGTAGTCTAAATTAATACACTGCCAACAGCCCAAACTCACCAGGTAAC